GAAGAGTCAATCCCTAAAATGTACCAGCAAATGATGAGGCGGAACATTTGTTGAGACCTCAAATTTAAGTCTGCGCTGCGGCATTACGCAATGGAAGCATGACGCTTTGCATTGCGGAATGCAGCAGCGCAGGGTTCGTTTTTAGGTCTAAACGCATGTTCCGCCTGATCATTTCCAGAGCTGATTTCTTAGATCGCAGAAATTGGCTCTTTGAGTGTTCTGCAAATAAGTAGACACGCATTCAATTCTTAGAGTGTATCTCCAGACTTCGTAGTATTCCTTCTTGGACTCATGCTTTCTTTTTCGAAAAGGCGCAGCGGCGCTGTCACAAGCTTCTACCTGGCTGGTTCCTGCCTCCATAGTTTTCACGGGGGCTATGAAAACTGATTTTAGCGAAGGAAGTTGTCTCAGTGCCCCTCAGTGCTTCCAGATGGTCGCACAATAAACCGCCAAACGGCTGGAGGGAATAGCCCAAATGTCGTCAAAGTCGCTACAATTTGGTGTTATCCCGAAAAAAAAAAAAATCCATATGGTTACATCAAATTCCAGATATATACGGTGAACACATTTCTGTCAAACTAGCAAGATTTTCCTTATTCCCACATAGACCTGAATATTACCTTAGTCTGAAAAATTGCCCTAGGGTTGGCAGCCCTGGTTTGCAGGCGCTCCTCATGCAGCGGCGAAAGCTCGAACTACGGTTGTCACCCTAAAGGAAAACAAATTGCGCTACCTCTCCTTCCTCCTCCGCGACAGGAAAGCGCAACTGCCGTTCCAGACGCCAAGTCTAGTTCCAGTTTTCCTGCCAATAAGTGTCGCCTTCACGTAAAAAAAAAAAAAAAAAAAAAAAAAAATACAGTTGGGAATTTGTTTTTGTAATGTCGACAGTAAGTAGGCCAAAAAAATTGCATTCTACGGAAGTTTAGGTGCAATCCAACCGCACGTATTAATTTTTTTAAGCTAATGCTTATCAGGGTTTTTTTTCTGTTTTTTATGCGAAAAAAAAAACAACTAAACAATAAGCTCTATGTGTCTAACTTGAGACAGATGGGCACCCATTTATTGTAGGGACGTTAGCCATAAATGAAGCCACGGTCGCACTGCTTATACACGATACAAAAGACAGGCTTCAGAAACTATCTGAGGCATGCGTTCCTTCCTTGTATGACTGTCCTGCCGCATTGGTCATACAGAAACTGTGTACAGACATACTCAACGAAGCACACATGTATGCGTGTTTCGAAAATGCCCTTGCATGTCCGCATACAATTTTGTCAATATGCCTGCAGACCGTGTTTTTGTAGGATGTAGGAGCGGCATGACTGGCGGATTAAAAGTGTAAAAGTAACCGAAGTTTTATTTAAAAAAAAAACAGAAAAAACTTAGTTTAAAGTGAGGATGCTTCCTACTCCTTTCATTGCTAAAACAAAGGCGCGAGAATCTTTGTGTTTATCTAACAACAAAATGAAATTGCTGCATTTCTAGTGAAAAAAAAAGTGAATATGTCGAATAAACGTATAGGAACATGTATAAGATAAGGTAAGAACCAGTGTCGTAGGCGTTACCAAAAAAAAAAAAAGAGTAACGAAATGCCTTACTGTAAAAAAAGGAACGCGTTACCGTCAAAAAGTAACGCACGTTACGTTTGCGTTACTTTTAAATGCGAATTGATTAACTGTCTCATGGAGCGAGCGGACGTCGTCAGTTTGAAGCGCGAAAACGGCAGATAGTTTCCTTCGGCTCCATTGGCTGGCGCGCGTCGACGGGGCTCCCATTGGCCGCTGCGCTCGTTAGTTTCCACGACCGCTCACCCCATGGCGCTGCGTGTCCATCAGTGCGGAGCGTCCAAGGTCACCAGGGGAGCACACGCGCCGACCTGCGACGAAAAGTACGCAGCAAACGAAAAAGGAAGAGGACGAGCGGCTTCCATGCTTTCGTGTTCACAACTCACAAGAAAAGCTTAGGTGTACCTCGATCTTTTTTTCTTTTTTTTTTTTAATATGAATTAACACATCTTATTTTTTGACGTTACAGGTAAGTATGCATAAGCGCCATATATATAAAAAAAGGAAAAACAATATGTCCTTTCAGGAACTGAACATAATTACCTTCTTTTTTTTTACGGTTCCACATAAATACCCACTAGAAAAAACGCAAAGAAAATTGCAAAAGATGTATATAGCTTGGCGCCTAGAAAGATAAACAAAAAATGAGATGTAATTTTGCTTTACGTCTTAATAAGGATAAGTAACGAGTAACGTAACTCTGATACCCGTTACTCGAAATAAGTAATGTAAGTACCTTACCCGTTGGGTGGCACTCAGTTTGTTGAACGACGTTTTAGCGAACGCCGACCTTTCTTTGAAAGACACATGCGTCCCCGCTACTCTCTAAAACGTCATTCGCTGATGTGATATCGACCCCTTACCCGTTACGGATTTTAAAATGTAACGAGTACGTCACAGCGTTACCGGGAAAATATGTGGCGCATTAGCGGGAAACCCATTACTTTCTAACGCGTTAGCGCCAACACTGGTAAGAACCTATGTATTCCTATATAACTTCGGATATGTTTGTTGAATAAATCATCGAGCAAAAAATTCCCTTTCCATTAGCGATATCTGATAACAAAATACAGGACGCTAAAACCTACCCTCCTGACTACAAATTAGTTTGTAACAGAGAGAAATATCACTAATCAAGCCGACATCTCTTTCTTTTCTTTTTGGTATTATAAGAGCAGGAAGGCGAGGTGACTGGGGTTCAGTCACCTCTCTAGTCGCAGCTGGGCGCTCTGGCAAAATTATATGCGACACAAAGTGCATCGTGCTTTATGAATCCCCACCGCTGCCCGACACACGACCCACCGGCGTGCGGTGGGTCGTGTGCGTGTAATGCACGTTCAAGTCTCCCGGCTGGTGGTGGCACTGCACTGGCTAAATTTCCCATCTGCGGCGTAGAGGCAAGTCGTTCATTGAGGTTGACTAGCTTCCGGCTGTGTCTAAACATGCATACAACACTTTACGTGACAGCTGAAAACTCTGGTTTGCTAGAACACACTTGGTTCCCGACAGAAGAATTGATAGCATAAACAAAAAGTTCCGCGTCCCGGTCGTTCACCTGTCTGAGTGCGCAGCTGACACTCCGCGAAAGCATGAACTAACCCGAGTGAAAACAGCAGTAAAGCGACAGTTTCCCATAATTACCCCAAATGGGTAGATTAAAAAAAAAAAAAAAAAAAAAAAAAGCTTTTGCGTGTTATATAACATAGTTTTTTTATTTGATATTTTGTATGTCTCCTCTCTCTCTTTTTCTGTCTTTTATTTCTACCTACCTATAATTTTTTTTAAATACCTTACCTCATTCCTTTCTTCCGACGCGAAATGGCAAATCAGGATTCAGACCGGTTGGCCTCCTCGCTTGTACGAGTTGCGTTTCTGAGACGCAACGCTACCAACGATTGTACTGGAGTGGTCTAGCAATTTCCAGCCATGAATAGCAGAAACAAGATGATGCTGCTAGCATCTCTTCCGGTATTCACACCATTCAATGGTTACAAACTCTAAGACTCTAGAAATTTATGTTTCGAGTATTCTCTCGCATTCACAACAGTGGCATATCCATGAATTGTACTCGGGTGAAGTGGGGATGAGACCTTCATTTATAGATTAGTACTTCATGTCGGCGCTTACTCAGTGCGCAGATCGGTGTGGTTTGAGCTTTCTTACTGCCGTAATTTCAGCAAAAAGCTGCTATAGGTAAAGTTAACTGCGATGGAACCAGCAAAAGGTCCCACCCTGAAGTGCAAAACAAATGATTTCTGTTCGCCGTTTTTTCTATATACGAGCCATATATGGGTTTAGTAAGCTAGGCAGAACTTGATATAATGTTTCTTTTTTTCTAAGTAAAGAAACCGAGCGCATTTCTTTTTTATTTGGGTCATGTCCGTTAGGAGTGTAAAGCGTGTCAAGACCATGCGCGATGTCAGCCGACGACCACCATTCTAGGGTTCTGACTCCTTTCGACGGAATGCATGCATACACGGTTTTCGTTCAATGGTTTGAATTGCAATGGCATCAAGTGGGCAAATGAAGCCATTTATTGTTCACGTTGCCCAAAACAGCCTCTCGCGTCTTCACGCATCACTTTGCTTTAAAATGTTCGCTTTCTCGCACTCGCCTGCCTTTATGATTTTCCAAAGATAGACGGCATTTCTTCCCGTCGTTTCATATCAAATCAGAGCGCAGTCTCGAAGGCTAAAAACACACTTACGCACACACATAAACGCGTACGCATCGAGACTAAAAGCGCATTGGCACGAAGCACTCTTTTTTTCTTTTTTTTTTTTGGGGGGGGGGGGGGGGGGCGGTGGAATTAGCTGCGAAGAAAACCCATACAAGAAAAGAGGCTGAGAGCTGTAACGTTGCGCTTCTGGCATTTCTTGGTTGGGGCCATCGTCTCACACCTTCTGCTGCGCTCTGGAGGTACAGGCACGAACCCTCCCTTCACTCCTCCTCCTCCTCTTCCTTCGCCCCCGCTGCCGAGCACACTGTTTTACATCTATTTCTTGCTTTTCTGCACTCGCCCGCCGTTATGATTGTTTCAAAAATAGCAAGCGGTGCTCTTGAAATGATATCGTTAGTTTTCCATATATACGCAATTTCAATATTCGCCTTCTGTGCGCTGCCATATTTGTTTGCTGGACTGTGGAACGCTCTGGGCGAACGACGCTCTGTGGAATATACGTGAAATATACGACGCCGCGCGCATGCGTCATCGGTCCAATGTAGTCGAACCCTTTCGCCTGCCCGATAAGCGATGGAAAAAGTGTGTAAAAAAGTTCTAGGTCCGTCTTTTTTTTTTTTTTTTTTGATCAGTGCGGGGTTGGATGTTTTTTGAGAGCAACTTAGAGACAAGGCTCTTCACCCTCCATGTTGCATAGGTCGTGTCCAGGCGCTGACCGCGAGCCATCGCGTCGTTCTCGTGGGGACCATGGGAGCATGGCCTCGGTGAGCGATGACCCCATCTCGCTGTGGCTGAAACTGGGCGCTCTGGACAAGCTGGAACAAGCCCTGCTCGACGGTTACGGGGAGCAGCTGCTGGGGAAGACCTCCAGGATTCCCCAGGTGGCCAGGTTCCTCAAGCAGGTCCCCATGCTGCAGGTGAGCTCGGGGTACCATTCCTTCCCAGGTAGCACGCCAGAGATACGCGCAACGTGGCACAGGCTTGGGAATCATATAAGGGCTAACTTAGGCCTTATACGGTTTTGTTGATCCATGGCGTTAGTTACCGCCACAGCACTTTTCTTTGTCGTTTCTGTGGCTTCTTCTCTGGCTTGCCACATAACTACAAAAGTGCCAAACTTGACCCAAGCACGGCACGTATACACCGAAGAACCAGCAGTGAAGTCTAAATTCGGCACTTGGTTTGACAATTGATGCCAAAAGTTCCCACATAAAAACAGAACATCCAGAAGTGAGGGTATAACTCTGGCACCTGTTTGGCAAGTTAAGCCCGAAGATTCCCGATGACAGCCAAACTGCCAGCAGCAAAAGCTAACTTTGGCACTTGTTTGGCGAGTTAGGGTCAAGGTACCCAGACAGTGGTCAAAGAAGGTCAAATTTGACTCTACCCCTGGCTTCTTCGAGTTTTTCAAGACCATAAGTTCCCAGACAGAAACGAAATTTTGCCCAAAATACTGTGCTATTTGTGTTACCTTGATCGAATCAATCGGCCGGAACAACGGGCACGTCCAGCCCTGACATGGGAGAAGTGTGTCCAAGGTCTGCTCGCATTTTGGCAAACGTCGTGAGATACGCAATATGACTCGGGGCTCTGGGAACCGCCCTTATTCGCACACACGTTTTCAAGAAGCGCTTTTGGCCGCGTCTGCATGCGTGGGGACCCTAAGCCGACAATGTCCTTTCCGAGAGATACGTGAAACCCAAGGGAAATTCAGGCTCCCAATATGATCTTGTTCAAACTATATAGGGATCTTAGTTTAAACAGCTCTCTTCTTCCACCGTGTACAGTAGTTTCTACGAAGAACGCTGGTTGCTCGCGTGATGTGCTTCCGATCATGTGTGTACCACGTGGCATGCGATGTAAAGAACGGTCTCAAGCACCATAGACTGAAAGACCTGCCTACGACTATTTGGGACCTTGTATAAGCCGTAGCTCATATGGATCCTCTCACATATGATACTTGGATAAAGTACGACAAAGGGGCCTAGTCCAGAATAGTGTGGACTAGGCATCTTTAGAACACCATAGATGTTCGTCATTTCTAATTCTTCTACTTGTCCATCGTTTTTAGCTCTTTTACTATCTAAATATTGCATGAAACGTCCTGTGCCACAGTAAGCGTACCTTTCACTCCGACTGATAGGGTCGAACCTTGTGCACAGGCGCAGATCGAGCAGATCCACGAGGACACGATGCAGGGCAAACTGGACGAAATCCGCTCGCTGCTGGGAAGTCGGCAACTAGCCTTCTGCCGAGACCAGCAGGGCGCCAGTCCCCTGCACAAGGCCGTCCTCTTTCAGCAGCGCAACATGGTCACCTTCTTCGTCGAGAACTTCCCGGGAGTCATGCACGCCAGAGACCATGTGGGTTCCCACAACCGAGTCGAAACAATACCACATAGAATACGTCACCACTATAGAGGTTACACGCATAAAGCAGCAGCTTGCGTCAGCATCGCCAGCTTCAGCGTGTTTTCCGCTTGGGGCGAGTAGGGGATTTACCAGCGATGACGTCATACACAGGCCTTGTCTTCTAGGGTGTATACCGTGTAGGTCGAACACGGGCGCGTGAGTGCCGGCCCAATAACTTTGCCTCGTGGACGTCTAACTTCAAAAATCCTACAACAGTTTTTTTTTTTTTTAAGCGGTTGCATTGATACGCAAAATGCGAGATTGTAATTTGCCTTATACATCTGATCTACATGGGGGGAGTTTACTCGCGATTTTGTAGTTTCGACGCCGAGCACCGCAGCTCTCCCCACATTTTGCGTTCCCGGATAGGAGCGACATCGCAACTATAAAAGAGAGATCCCATTATGCGAATCGGGTTTTAAAATAGTAACAGCGTTGAGGTGCAGCTATTTTGTCCGACTCTATTTTGGTGTGACATGTAAAAACATTATCAATGCTTAGAACAAAAAAAAAACTATTTAAAAATCGCGTCAGCGTTTACGAAACGTTGCTGTCACATGCCAGGCTTTAACGCAAACTTCACTATTTCGAGGAATGGGGAGAATACAGTAGGCATTGGTAAGACAATAAAAAATGTCAATGAGCCAAATGACTTCTAAAAAGGCACATTCAAGTTGAATGTGAACAAAAATCGAACTGACATCATGCTTCTACTTACAGATAAGAAATGCTATCCTCTAGTCTAAAATCTCTCGCAAGACTGCTTATGATCTTATATGGCCAATAGCCAGTTTTTTTTATAGAAAAACTGGCTATTGATGTGACCTATAGACGTTTTACCATGCGGTATATATTGTATTTCTGGGTACATACAGTTTGTCTTGAGAATGGGGAAAAAACATAAACTTACGTCCCCTCTTCGATCTTTCCAGCAAGGGCGAACTCCTTTGCACTACGCTGCGGTGCTCCAAGACAACTGGGAGATCTACAACATGCTTAAGGCAGCAGGCTCTGACGAGAACGCCACCGACGTGGTAGGTCTTTTCCGTACAAAGCTTGCGGGTTCTTTTTTTTTTTCGTTTTTGTTTTTTTACAACGCGGATTGTTTATTGAGACTTTCCGTTTAAGAAGAAGATGTGTGTCAGGAATGATATGGTGTGTCAGGAATACCTTGAACTTGAGCACACGCTTGAATGCACAAAATAAGAAATCCGCACGATGTTCGAGGACGCAAATGCTGAGGAAGCACCACTGTAGTCGAAGTAAACAAACACGAGCGTTTCTGCTGTCTTGAAGGTGCTGCCACCACATCACCGCACGAGTGATGTGGTTATTTAGCGACACCCGACGAGGATTCTCAGTCAAGGATAAATGCGGAATTACCACGCCGACCACGTCGACGATCACCACCGACGGCATGTTTTTCAACAGAAAGAAGGAACCGCGATCGGCGTGCAGCGCGCGTGGCCGAGCTTTCCTTGAACTGTGATTGGTCTGTCGGTGCGCTGGCTCCCTTCGTTCCCGAACGGGTCGAAAAAGTTCAGCCCGGCTCATTTCCTTGCCTTGTGAAAGAACACGAGCGAAACCAGCGTTTGGCGCTCTGTTGCTTTCTCTTTCTCTATTTCCCTTCCTATGAAAATTGTCCATTGAGGAATAATGGTGCTCGTGGGTTTCTGTAGGTTTCGGCTTTTGTAGCGGTGCCAAAAAAGTGAGCTGCAAAGTTCATTTCTGACAAAAAAGGAAACATGAAAAGCGTTTACAATTCTCTGTACTGCCGAATTAGAGCGCAGCTCTTGAGGAGGAGGAGGAGGGGAGAGTATGCTCTTTCGTACATTCTCCTTCTCCTTCCTGCTCCCCTCCCATTTAGCGGAAAAACTTTTCCCTTAAATTTAGCGGAAAAAATTTTCCACTAAAATTAGCGGGGAATTTTTTTTTTGCTAAATTTAGCGGGGAAATGTTACCGATAACTTTAGCGGGGAAATTTGCCCATAATGCAACGCGTGGTTACGCCGACGGCGACCGCGACGCCGCTCAAGCCGGAAACGGGTGCCTAAGAGCTGCGCTCTAAAAAATACAACAAATAAATAAGAGCATTTGTGCCCAGTACGGCCACACCCCTGACTTCTACCTGGAGGCCCCCGGGGAGCTGACCTTAGAGCAACTCAAGGAAGGAGTGTCCACCCCCAGGTCTAAAAAGTCCAAGCACAGGAGAAAAAAGTCGGAAGAAAACGCCACCGGTGCCACCTTCCGGGGATACTCCGCGAGTATGAACGCCAATTCTATTCCTTCCTTTTGTCACTGTTCAACCGTGCAAGTATTACCGAAGAAGTTACGGAGATCTAGAGAATAGCTCGGGCTCATAGGTTTCTTCTTCCAGGTGTCATTCATTTTATAAGACACCTTATCTGTTGGGCGTGCCACGCCCGAGTATATACGGGCACTTTCCCGTGGTGTTCCAATATCGGTTTGCTCCCTGTCCGTCCCAAACTTTTATTTTTTTAATATTTTTTTACGTATAGCGGAATGTATTAGTAATCGATGCAAACAATGTTTTGTCTTGTGGTGTCACTTTTTGATGGCATGCTTTTTATTTTTGTTCATGCTACGTCTGTTTCGGTATACTCCTTCGTTGTTACAGAATGGCAAATCTACTATGTCGTTCAACCTCGCGATTCATGGCGAACACTGAGATCTGGAAATTTCTAATAAGCTGGGTACTCGATGACTGGGAAGAAAAAAAAAGAGGAAGTTACAGTTCCGAATAAGCAAAGACCGAGTAAGGCCGCTCAAAAAAGTGACTTCTGGGTGCGAGGTCGAAGTACCACTGCTTAGTGTATGCGTGTCTCGAAAAGTAATAATATGTCATAGGTTGGAGGCATGCAGCCACGAATTAACGTTTTACCCATGGTATAGTGCGCATTTTATAAATAAATATTTTGTTCAGAGCAGGTTACGGTGTTACTGAGACTAATATTTGCGTTCGGCATGCGGGAACAGAACCCGGCACTCAAAAGGTAAATAATTGTAAGTTTTATTGCACATAATGGTAAACCCGGAGACTCCAGAAAGAACAAAGTGAGAATTAATTTTTTTGTTTGTTCATTTCAGAATACTGTCAATTCTTTTTTGGGATTATAAGAGGCAAAGCTACCTAAAAGTATGATTTCTAGGTGGACGAAAACAATATAATAGTCAAAATCGTCACTTTCTTAAATATTCAGTCAACTCATTAATTTATTGAAGAGGTGGTGTTCAAGGACATTAATCAACGAATCTACACTCGTGAAGCTAAAGAAATATGTGTCAAGGTTGTTCCAATCTCTTATGGCGAAGGGGAAAAAAAGAGTACCTGAAAGAATTGTTAAATGAATAGTCGATAATTGTATTGCCGTGTTTGTGTTTTGTTGTTCTTGTTTGCGAAAAGCTCACATACTTATTTTTTGTCTCTTCTGAAAGCGTTGTTTGAAAGGGATACCATAATTTAGGTTGTCCTAATTATGCGCGATCAGCAATGATCAAAACACCGGATCGTTTCAGCAGCTCAGTGGGAAAATCAAACCGTTCATATTTCTGGTAAACAAATTTTATTGGTTTCCTCTGAACACTTACAAGGATATTGATATTGGTTTGTGTATGAGGAAACCAGGTTATGATTGCACATTCTAATGCCGGGCGCACCAGTGTGGTATATGCGAACAGTTTGGTTTCATGACTAAAACATTTTAACGTTCTTTAAAAAAAAATTATGATAAGTATTTTACATGTCACATATTTTACATGTGCGTTCCAGTTATATGCGCGTCCCAGTTTATATCTGACGTTATCACGACACCTAGATACTCGTATTCGGTGGCTCTACGCAAATTTATACAATTTAAACTGTAAAAAACAAAATGTAGATTTTTTTTCTTTTTTTTTTCGGTCAGGCACATACAAACCGTTTTTTTTTGTGATTGGAGTCAATGCTCCAGTCTGCCACCTTTCTGAGACACCTGTTTAGTAATATAGTGAGAGGACAGAAAAAAAAAAGAGGGACACAAAAAAAGGATACACTGTCTGTCCCCCCCCCCCCTCCACCTTTTTTTGTTTTTGTTTTCTCCCTGTCCTCTGCCCCCAGTCGCAGGCTTTACCAACATGTTCAATATTCACCATCTTGCCTGCACTCTATGCATTGTCTTGAGTTTTTTTGTTTTTTTTTTTTGTTTTTTGTTTTGGCTCTTGCACGAAACAGCTCTTTCGATGTTCGGGCTTTTCTTGAAGTGCAGAACTATGGCTACTAACAGCTTGAAAAACGCAGAGTGTGGCTTATTTTGTTCAGGCTCCCGGCTTCGTGATTGGCTATTTGGCTTTATTATCGACAAATCCAATAGACCGATTTCACCAAGCGTTCGGCGCATGCGTGACGCCGCCATAACTTTAGTTCACCGGAGGCGGACGGCGGTGCACGAGAGGGCTCGTTCCGTCTTGTGCTCTACACGCGCAGACCTCCAGCGAGGTTGTCGCACGCGCCCAAAGACTGAAGTTCCCTCGATGCATTGCGGCAGCGGTGGCGTAGTCAAACTGCCTGGTAAGATCGGTCTATTGGTTGCGGAGCGATGATGAGATGCCAGATCAATACTGATGACGTCCAGCCTTTCTTAAACTGCCAGCGACTATAAGTAGGGTTTATTCTCTATCACGTGGTCCTTTGCATCACATTTTTTAAGACGTAGTTGAGTATTGATTTTTTTTGCGCTGGTGACCACGACTGACAGGAGTGACAAGCACAAAGTTACATAGACCAGGGTCATGCACATGTTACAAAGACTGCTCGGTTAAATATATTTCGAGAATAAAAGGCGCAAACCCATATATAGTTGGCAGGTAATTGGTACACCTGTACGATGTTCTGTAAGGGTTAACGTTCATGCCGCATAGACGAATGTCTATAGGGACAACATAATTGCGATACAAACTTTTTGCTTCGGTTCCATGTTTGCGATATGCAAGAAACAAAACGAAACTAATTATAGGTACTTCACCCTTGCCAGAAATAATAAAACTTTTGCTGTATACCATACTAAATTCTCGTTCAGAATTTGGCATTAGTAGAGGCATCGTGTTGTGCCTTGTCGACGTTTTTGAAAAACTAGGACGCCACACGGCACATTTAACTTGATGCAACCATCACAATGAGAAGTCCTCAACTATGCTTACAACTTGGCGGTAAGTTGGGCTAGTTGGTTTAACATCGTCAAACGTGAAAACAGCGCAAAAAATTGAACAAAGGACAAGTGAAAGAAGTGCACGGACAAAAAAAGTCTTTGAAGCTTACAACTTCTAAGACTTTTTTTTTCTGAAAATGCTGTACCAAGCTTGATGAAAGGACCCGCTGATAACACACTTCGTTCTTCTCGCAGAACCAGCGGGCCTCAAGGTTCAAATCCGCGAAGTCATCGCCCAGGGCAACCTGGAAGCTCTCGAGGAGCTTGTCCTCCACGGTCACGGGGACAAGCTGTTAGGCGAGATCAGCCCTAATCCCGTCGTCCAGGAGTTTCTCGACACCGTGCCTGGTTACATGGTAAAACTTATTTAAAATAAATTCACAGCATTTAGTTCACCTTTGCTCACGTCCACCCGAAACTACAGCCTGTCGCACACGTTAGACACCGCACCGAACGGATTGTCCCTGAGCTGGCCCTTCAAATGCCGGCCGGCCGCTGTGTAATGCCAGCTGCCTTCCTGTCGCTGCTGGGCCCACGCTTCTGGTCAAGAGATCCAACGAGTCAAAAGATCCAACGAGTCAAAAGGTCCAATAATGGATCTCTTGACTCGTTGGATCTTTTGACTCGCCAGACCCGATTCAAAAGATCCAATGTGGGTCAAGAGATCCAACGAGCCAAGAGATCCAACGAGTCAAAAGATCCACGGCGAGTCAAGAGGTCCAACGAGTCAAAAGGTTCAACGAGTCAGAAGGTCCAATAATGAATCTTTACGCGTTGGATCACTTAACTCGGCAGACACGAGTCAAGAGATCCATTGTAAGTCGAGAGCTACAATTACCCGAGAACTGCCGCTTAATATTGCAAAGGGGTCACAAAAAGCCCCTCACCATTCATGCCCTAGTAGCGGGGAGGCGTTGCACAATAAAGGTCCGTAAATGTGGTAGTAAATGTAACGTAAGGTCCGATGACGCCATAAAACTTTGCGTAAAAAAAAATCAAGAATATCAGGCTTTTGACGCGTCTCTTCACGTTTCCACGACAACATCTGAAAAAATTAGCCTCAAATCGAGCAGAAACTTACTGAGCTTGCTAACTTAATACACTTTCAACCAGTTCGCGTCACGCGCGTAGTTTTATCGGCCGGCACAAGCGGCTGCAGGATGGAAAATAGTCCCCTTTCGTCTTCGCGATTTCTCCGCGCACTCGCGACATTTAAAAAATTGGGTTGTGTGTGTGTTTATACAGCCTAGAACTTGGTCTGCCTCACAGGGGCGACGAGTCTCCCAGCTGTAGATGAGAAATTTAGCCAGTGCGGTACAACCGCTAGCCTGGGGTCTTTAACGTGCATCACGCAGTAGTGGTACACGACCGCACGCCGGTACGATGCTCATCCAGATCGAAACGGGCAGGGGTGGGGCTCGAACCCAGGATCCCTGGGTTCTGCAGCGCGAGCTTTCGCTCCACGTGCTCCGAGCTGGTGTGCTCTAGACCACTCGGCCACCGATACCCCCCTCGCGACATTTAGAAAACTCAAAGCGTGCTTTCTGTTTTTCCTTTTTTTTACTAACCGAAAGTTAAGCGAAAGTGACACGCACCAGATTCTTTGAACATTAAAATCATTCCACGGGCCCTTTGAAGGGGTCACGAAACGTTATCGGGTTGGAACGTTCCTGACCTTGCCGGTTCGTACTGGTCCCAGCCTGGCACAGACCACCATTGATTCAGATACTTCTCTGTCGTGGGGAAATTGTGAAATTACGAAGATAAAAGGGCACTACTTCTTTCAGTCTTGCCTTTGCAAAGCTGGATGGCGTGATTGTGGAATCAAAACCACTTGACTTAAACTGACGACACTCGAGCGCGGCTCATGCATGGATTGGACACGAGAACTGCGTGAGTACTCGACTTTAGCTCGTAACAATGAATGCCTCGGCGGACACTCGGGTTGTGGCTCGTGTCCAACCACTGCGGTGATGAGGATAGCTGAACTCTAACAATGCCCGGAGCTCAGCACGCGTTTTCTACTTTGTCAACCCCAGCACGTGGGCATGATTAACGTTGAAGGTATAGAATAGGCACCATGCCACCTGGCCGCTTGTTCTGGCTCCGAGTTGAGGGGATAAACGATGCTCATATTTCTCGAATTTTATTGGCGACTGCCATTGCCTAGGAAAAACTGCTAAGGCAAGTTTATTGAGTTATTAACGTTAGGAAGCGATTCTAAGTAGTATTAAGCAAAAGTAGAAAAATTGTTAGATTTTTCTACTTCGAAGAGAAACATCTCTTCAATGTGACCGTAGATGGCCACTTCGAAGAAAGTAACTCTCGATAACTCACCGGTTCTTTTCGTGCAGGTAAGATATCGAACTTGGCCAATGGAAAGGCAATATGACGAAAAATAATTTAAAATAATAATTCAAAAAAAAATATATATATATGTATTTTTTTTAAGGCGGGTTGATATTATGGTAAACTTTTCCCTTCTAATAAACTTTCAGGTTCGATATAACATATATCGAAATTTAAATTAGCATTTGACAAGCGGTTGCAGTAATGGATCATGGGATGCAAGGTTCCAAATATGTCGCGAAAATATGGAAGGTGCAATGTTGTTTTTTCCTCGGCTTTATTACGTGCGAATAAAATATTTCAGTTTGAACGGACAAAATTGACTAGGTGCCGTATATTAAAAGGAGAAGTAATATATGATTTACGTGTTTATGCAAACCAAAAAAATAAAATAATATATATGCACGTACTATCGCGATACCTCGAAAGACAAATAAAATTGTGCATTTCTTTTGATCAATGCTGCTCAACCTGGACACGAGCCAGTGAAGCGTGTGCATGCACAGCAAGACAAGGGGTACTAGGGTTTTCATTCTACTCTAAAATGCCTCGAACACAAAGGTGTTCAAGGCGTTGCGCGGAGCGAGATGCCCCATGATGCTCTCGGCTTCTGGCAAGGCTGCGGTGAATCCTTAGGTGAAAAGGAGTATAGCCTGGGGTCTTTAGGTGCACCACGCAGTAGTGGTTATACGATCGCACGCCGATGCTGGTTCTCTGTACAGCATGGTGCCAGCCAGCAGTCATGCTGTACTGACCGGCAAGATACTGCTACATGTGGACCCTCTGGATGGCTGCCAAACATTATGCTGTCCAAATGATACGCATAACTCTCCCTCCCAGTTCGGCTCATGCTGCGTATAAGACCAACGCGCTGTTTTCATACAAGCCCACACAAGCTGTGGGGAAAGGCGCAGTTTCTGCACGAGATGTGGGTACTGCACGTGCGCAGGAAGTGCGTCAAGTGGACCGTTTGTGTGTGCGCAAACGCAATACCAATAGCAGCGCCACCGCAGTGGCGGGACGTCAGCACTGCGTGTTGGTCCATACGTGCCTCGTAATTCAGTCACCGATTAACTGTTCGTTGATTTCTAAATTCGAGAAACAATCTGCGTCCCTACGACCGTGTAGCGTGCATAACTCACGGGAAATTCCTGAGTTAGTCAAGCATACCGCACGAATAAATGGGTTGGCCACCAGCCGATTTAAATGGAAAATGCACAACGCCGTGACACAGCCAGCCATTCAGGATCCTGAAACTTTTCATCCCTGAGGCCACTGTATCCTCTTCTCTTAACTCCCTCTTTTTTATTGCCTTGTTAATAGTCGCGGGATCCGACCCCGCTGCAGTGCAGTGACCGTCACGCCCCTCTTTGCCATTCGAAAGTCGTCATTCATTGTAGTTTTGCTTTTCTTTCTTTCCTGCTTTTCTTCAAAGTCCCTCCTCCCCTTTTTCGGTGATCGGGAAGGGAGTCAAGAGGTCCAACGAGTCAAAAGGTCCAATAATGGATCTTTTGACTCGTTGGATCTTTTGACTTGCCAAACACGAGTCAAGAGATCCAATGTGGGTCAAGAGGTCCAACGAGTCAAGAGATCCAACGAGTCAAAAGATCCACGGCGAGTCAAGAGGTCCAACGAGTCAAAAGGTCCAACGAGTCAGAAGATCCAATAATGGATCTTTTGACGCGTTGGATCTTTTGACTCGTTGGACCTCTTGACTCGGAATCCTGGGCCCAGCGCTCTCGTTTTGCAGCCGCGCCCCTTGGTCTTCCCTCTTCACCTTGTTCCATCCGCCGTTCTTGTCCCTTGCACCACTTTGCTGGTGCACAAATCCCGCAACTAAGAGCATTCATAGTATACGCGTAGTCGGCTTTGGTGCCGAAAGCACACTGAGGAGAGCTCCAAGAGCAGTCGCCGATGTTACGCTGTTCACGCTGTATTGAGGCTACATCCCAGTCTGGAGCACGAAAGTGCCAAGAGCTGAACCTACAACTGCTCTTCATTAAGAAGTCCTGAGTTCTATGTTTACTAATAATTTTATATGGCAGCATACGACGAAATGACTAAAAACATTTTTGTTTTGCGCTAGAAAAACAAAAACAAAAAACTCATGTTTGTCACGTCTTCAGTGTCCCGATTATACTTTGCAGGAAAACGAGCGTTGCGACGAAACGATCGGGCTTTCACTATGTAGCGAAGGGTCACCCTAATGACACTGGCGTTTGCTGGATTATTGATTCAAACGACTCTGTCCGCTCGCTGGCCTCGCAGGAACAGATCAACGACGTGCATCGAGCCGTGGTGCGTGGACGGCTTCGAGAGGTACAGACCCTGATGAACCACAAGTCGCTGTCGCTAGCCAGGGACTCCCTGGGCGCCACGCCGATTCACAAGGCAATCATGCACGGCCACCACGAAATCGTCCAACACCTCGCCGAAAACTTTGTCCAATGCCTCAGTGCCAAAGACCTTGTGAGTTCCGCTGCAAAATTATGCATGGCTTGAACGTGATGTCATCGCACGATGCTGGTGGTCATTCCCATTTGTTCTTGCCGAGAAAAACGAATTTACTGGTTCGAAATGTATGCTTGTTAAGATGAGCGCTCAGCAGTAATGCCACCGTAATAGCCCAGCCGATATGATTTCGATTGGAGTAATGTATTGCTGAGAATATTTGTTGGTCGCTCGAAATTGCGCCCTACATGTGAGTTCTTTCTGCGAAGAGGAAGTTAAAGTAAAATAATTATGGACGATTTTGGTCCCTTCTTGTCGCCCGTCCCACGGAGCGCCTAAAGACACTGGATCGTGAGAAAGTTATGCCAAACTCACTATATGGTCGCCATTTTTGTTCATGGATCGAGCAGTTTCTGCTTTACCTCTTGATTCTTGGTGAGCCGATCCAAATTGCCGGTGATAGGTTGCCTTATAAAGACATTTATTGAATACCAAGATTTTGTTATCCACAGATTGACGAAACTAGCGCATATCTTGGTCCCGCCACGAGATGCGGCGTCGGTGTTTGGCGGCATAGAAAAATAATTTTCCTCTCTTAAAACACGCAAAAACAACAATACCGTGTAAGAGATCTGTGGAGATAAGTGGGATTAATAAATTGATTGCATGCACAGAGCCGAAGGCGCCTACATTGGCGAGAAACAGTTTCAGTACGCTGATGCTCCCTAGAGATCTTGGCACGAGTGGTTCAGAACGAACCTTTCGAAGCGTCGAAGATTTAAAGGGACCAAAATGGCGATCTTTATGGCAACTGAAACAGATCCATTAACTTTCCCAGAATCCAGTAACTTTAGGAATACCCTTTCATGGTTTCGACTATATATACCATTTTACTGTTTACACCGCTGCTAGCGTCCCAAGCGACTTCCGGTCGCTTCGTCTTTGCAAGCTTGTCGAGCTTGCTTTTGTCACCAGCGCTAGCAGGGATGGGCAGTATTTCAAATAAAAGTATTTGAAATACGTAGTTCAAATACTTTATGTATTTTGCATTTGTATTTAATTACAAATTAGATAATGTATTTGACATGTGTATTTAAATACTAAAACGTGAGTATTTCAAATACAATTGTAATTAAATACAATTTTGTGGGCGAAATTACATCCCTCAAATTTATTGTCACTGTCCAAAGCAGGAAGAAAGCTACGTTCTGCACCCAACGCAGTGTCTCTCAATCAAGCACGAGCGTTTAGTGCTTTTCTTTGTGATTACGGTGCTAGTCCAGGGCAAGAATAGTGACGAAATCGACGTTCACAGGCAGACTGGCTAAATAAGTGCCCATGACACCTTGTGATGCTTTCCAGCCTGATTTCCCATATTTTTGCCTGGAACATTCTAAATGCGCGGGTCGTCCAGATTTTCGTAACTGGTGCGAGTTGCAACAATAAAAAATTCTATAGCTAGTGCTGCGCGTCTTTATCGTCTCGCTTCTTTGTTGGTCTATACCAAAATGTAATCGACAAAAAAAGCTGCTTGAAGCTCTGTACTTTTTTCACTTATTACGTCCAAGCGGATTACATTTTTTGGGATTACATTTCTATTACGTTACTAGAGCCTCGCACACCAACTCCCGAGCGTGCGATGCAAAATTAAATTGAGATACCCAGAAACCCGTTGCAGGTGTCCTGAAGTCGCCGACGCAAATTTTGAGGAATGTATTTGGAAAAGTATTTGGAGGAGACCAAATACAGTTGGTTGTATTTGTATCTTGTACTTAAATGCTTTTTTGGAAATGTAATTAGATTTGTAACTAAATACATTTTTGACGAAGTATTTTGTATTTGTATTTCGATGCATATTTGCATGTATTTTGCCCATCCCTGATGCTAGAAACCATATATGCTACACGGAGAACAAAGCTGGAGATTTTAGCGAGGGCCTTTAGCTGTACGATTTAACGACTTGAACAAGACAAGTTGATTTAAAAGAATATTCGAAAACTTTGAACAGATCTCGCGCTTCTTGGTTTTTTTGGCATTCGCCTGGAAGATTGGTGGTTAAATGTTTCATCGATGTTGCAAGCAGCGGCGTTAGAGGCCGACTTGAAGAATTCTCTTCTGCCGGGCAGAAAACCGGTCCCAGTTTCCTTCTCGCCATTTTCTCTCGCCCTCTTCTCTCCTTCTGTCTTGAATGAAAAGGATTATTTGAGGGAGGGTTTCCTCCTTTCTGCTTGTTGGTCGGCCTTTGAGGTGGGCTTTGTTCATTTCTTTTAGAAACCAAGAGTTCGCTGGGACGTCAAAAACAGAAGCACCGCCTGGTGGCGTTTGCAAAAAGGGTTTATACATAAATTGCACGTTACGTCATCGCATTATGCTAATTGTCATTCCTTCTTGTTCTTGCTAAAAAAAAATTCAATAGTGCAAACTATAAGCTCAAGACGTAACGCCCCAGCAGCAAAACCACCACAGTGGTCGCTGACGTGACGTCACTGCAAGTCATGTATATTCAGTATCAGATCACATGACTGTATTAAACGAGGCGCCGAAGCACCGCCATGTCTAATTAACCGCTCACTTTTGTCTCGGTGCAGCAGTTCACTTAACCCAGAGTAACCGTCTCTACGAAGAATATTTGTCTTTTTCACTACACTAGCCTCAACACTATTTCCCAGGTGTCATTGAATGCAACGTCCAAATACATGATTTAATATAAACGTTTATAACCTACTAGCTAATCCCCGGCCGAAGCGCAGCAAAAAACGAGAATCGATTAATTAAGTGATCATTTTGACGAGCTTAACTTATTCTTGTGACAAAAGGGCAAGTTCGACTAGCCTCGTAAAATGTTTAACGATATTGATTGAATCGATCTGCTGCCTTTGATCAGCTCCTTCGTTCCTTAGATTTGCTTCGGATATCCAATTCTTCTTAGTGAACTTTCGCGGGGCGATATTTTTTAGTCAGCAAAAAGGCTCCAACTTTTCTGATCATGGTCATCTATTGTTTTTTTTTGTTTGTTGTGCAGGATGGAAGGACACCTTTGCATTATGCATCCGCGATGAAAGACGGTAGGAAAATGTACAACATGCTGCTTTTAGCCGGGTCTCCGACAACCATAGTGGACAGCGTAAGTAGTTGCCGTTTCTCTATAGGGGGTGTTTGTTTGTTTTTTGTGCTTTTTTTAACCTTTACAGATTTGTACAGGTGGTTATTGGAATGGTCTACCGAGGAACAAAAATGTGGCCCCCAAAATAAAAGCTCAAAATGAGCACATTTATTACTCTAAGCTCTAAAATAATTTAAAAAAAAACATTAGAAACTAAGATTTTTTTTCCAGATAATTGTGTCGTTCTTTGTACTCACCGTCTGCTTTGGTTAAAACGAGTTTTTTTTTTTTTTTTCTCTCTTTGACTGTAGAAGGGGAAAACGGCGGAGTACTATCTTCAGTACCCCGACAAGTTAAACATGGAACAAATCATAAAGAGGAATCAACTAGCCAACGCGACTTATCTCGGAAATACAATCAGCAGGCTCAAGACCCTGGCACCTTCCTTTCAAAGTAAGAGGTGTACGCGTCTGCGCCGCGAGCACGCTCGACACCAAACTGCAGTAGTGAAAATTGTCACACGTTTGGATAGGTACTCCTCTCGTTTAAAGCTAGTTACTCAGAAAATCCGTTGGTCCTAAGGCACGCGTGCTCATCACGGTACACGGCCATAATGCTGGTAACCTCATATTAAAGTTTAAAAAAAAACAAAAAAAACAACAAACAAACGAAGAAACAAATGTATGTTTATTTTGCTGAGTACAGTTGAAACTACTTTCTTTATTTGGTATGCTTATTATGAACAAAAGCATTTAACGTTTTCTTAACTCTCAACAAAAGCATTGAAATCATGACTTCAAAAGAGATATGGCCTTAAGTACTAGGACAAGCGACAACAGATGTGCTACAATCTAAAATATGTGGTAGCCACTCTTTATTACGCCACCAAAAGTGTTTTATTTGCTTTTACGCTTAGCTTGTGGGATCACCAAAACGATGTCATAGTGCATTAACACAAATCACGTAACAACTTTTTTTTTTATAGTATTTTTCTTTTCGGAAGTACAAAATTGACTTTCTATTAACGATTTTTTAGAAGTCTATGTCAATCACTCAAAAAACATAACTCAAAAAGTCAAAACCCATCAAAACGCGGTTGTACAAAAAAAAAAAAAAATAATAATAAACACATCGTTTAAGACCTTACTGCTCTATATGTTTATAAAGACGCTAAGTCTTGTTGATCTGGAAAAAAAGTTGTATTACGCTTCGATCATAGCTTGGATTCTACCCCAAACAAAGTGGATAAAGTGATTTTTTTTAATAAGCTAAAAGCCTTACTTTGCTGGATAAATTGCCCATCTCCAGTAGATATCCTAAGGTCAGCGAAGGGTTAGAACGGCAGGGAGTCTGTTTCCAATACATGGTCTCCAGCATGCGCTCCTTGCCTTCCGTCGTTCTTTTGCTGCGCGTGCACGCCCGAGGCTCACGATACACCGAAGCATCACCGAAGGTGGAAAACTCGTGCTGGAGGTGGGACAACTGAAGGACCGCCCTGCTGTTCTAATGTCGTCAGGGCCAAAGGATACACCATACGCTATTTCAAAGTAGGCTAACTTCCCGCCGTCAAAACTTCTTCCATACAACTAATCTGACTTTAGATGTTATCAAAACTTTAATTATCCAGAAATATGTCACGCTACTCAGTGGCTAAGGCTCAAAACAATTGTGTTTAGTATCATCCGGCTCTAATTGCCCGAGAGGATATTGAGAAGATGCCTTTTCTTATCCCCCATTTATGCAGAAAACATTGTCAACATGCACGAAAGGTACCACCTAACGAATGCACCACCGAATGGCAACCAGGAAGGATTCTTCAATGGCGACGAAGAGGTACTGACCATTCCCCCCAGCTTTTGTCCGTACCACAGTGATTCTATCACATTCCTATTCGCGACTTTAGCTAAACGGACGACACCTAGCGGGAAAAAACACTGAACTGGCCGGAACAGGTCCTTCTGCAATTTCTTCTCGTCTGTCGGGGCTTCCGTGTTTGCGTGTCGGCAGTTGGCGCGATAGTCGCCAAAGTAAATCGGAGTAAGTGGCGTTGGTTGTGTCCAATGCAACTAAAACGGCAGCAACCAATGACAGGGGCGCACGGAGAACCATCAGTCGTAATGGCCTAAGGAATTAGGTGCGCGTTGTATGACTTCTCATGTGTATACGGCAAACAGTTGTCCTTGTGAAATGCCGCATCAGCGTGTCGCCTAGCGCGCTCGGGACGCAACTATATACGCCAGCGCGTGAACCAGACATTTTGCATTTATCAACGTTCATCAGCGCGATAGAAGGATGGTAGGTGGCTTTCGTTGCTTCCCTTAAAGAAGGCCAAAAAAGCGTCCGGAAGATCGGCTACGCCAACAATCCGCCGCAGGTTTAGAGCGTAGCGGATACGAGTAGGGCCAAACCTCTTTGAGGCCAATGCTTCCTTGCTGAAAGCCAAAAGTATGCGGAGCGCAAGTATCGTCTGCTACTTGCGAACGCCGAGCTCCTCAGAACGCCGAGCTCTGATTGGCTTTGATTGAAGGATATGTGTGTAGACCTCAAAGCAAGCTGCCTTGAGGTCTACCCACTATTCTTCCAATCGATCCAATCAGAGTCCGGTGTTCTGACGTCTCTGCGACCCCTGCAAGTAGCAGACAGTGCTTGCACTCCGCGTAGTGCGTTGAGCTGGCACATGCCATGGCACGACCTGTTTTCGACCGCCATATTTGTACGAAAGTGGCGACCCCTATGGGTCCTTGGAGTCGCGAATACTCAATTAAAGCTCAAGAAACGCAGGGCGTGGCTTATTCAATTAATTCACACTCCTTGATCTACGAATGGTTCATCGGGGCTCTTATCGGCGAATGACGGAATCTCATTGACTGAGGAGTGGTAATGAGATGCCGGCGGCACTCACCCCTCCCTGCACAGTGACTTCATGCTTGAACCACGTCGGGCAGTGTTTAGGCTGAATTTTGTCCAGAAGTTTTTATATCCCGTGAGTTCAATTAAGTGGGGCGAACGCCTAGTTTCAGTAAGGCGTGTCTTTGGATGCATTGGAATAGTATGTATACCAGAGTGTACCGAGAATCATGCATTCGAGGGAAAAAAGCTTGTCTATAACAAAACAAATTTGTGTGCGGAATAAACAAAGCTTCATTTGTTTCAGTGATTCTTCCCTGATATAATCGAGAGAAAAATATATATATATATATGGTGTGTCTGTTTTCCCACAGAGCACTTAAAAGAACCAATTGCTGCAATCTGTGGAGGGATCAGCTTGACGAATACTCTTTAAACATATAAAAAAATACAGTGTGTGGTGCTACACTGAGTATGTAGTTTCATTATAATGAAATGTTTAACTCATACTGTTTTTGTTTTGTTTTGTTCGTCTAAGCATACTTTTATTATTATTATTCGCCGAATTGCCTCTGCATATGGCATCAGTTGACTCTACCAAGTGCTTTTGTAGGAGAGTAGACAGACACGCACTGGATTATTTAGAGCGCAGAAAATCACGTTCCCACGCATGTACGCTGTCGTCGCGAGCAAAGCCTTCCCCAACCTAGGAACGCCAATTTGTTTACGTTTTGCGTCTTTCTAGAATCGATCCGAGGGCTCCGAAGAAGCGGGTGATGACAAAACGGCAGCGATTGCTTCTCAGGCGGAGGCGCTCAAGAAAGTGATGATGCGAAGCAAACCAATCTTGCCCCCCGTCATCCTGCCACGTATGTACAACATCTTGACGCACCGTCGCCATTTAATCTTATATGGCAAAGTCCTGTGCTGAACAACGCCCCCTTTACTCGTTGTCACATCAAGAAAAAAAGGAAGTTTTACGCAGTTTTCACACGCTGCGCCAAGTAGTTGTTTTCAAAATTTGGTTGTTAAAAAAAGTGTTTCTCTTTCTGCTTTTGAATTGTGTACATTTTGATAAAATGACATAAAGCTAATCTAAGATGCACCAAGATTTATCTTGATTTAAAACATAAAAGGACAAATTATTGCCGTTTCGCAAGAAAAACAAAAAATAGACTGTTTTTTTGCTACGGTTTCTGAGGTAAAAACAAGTATAGATAACAAGGCTCGATTTTATGATGTCACCCAATGGAGGCCAGTGCTGCGGGTCACAGGTAAAGCCCGAGTGCTGTGTCAGGATATGGCTGGGACTCGTTTCCAATCTGTGGCTCGCGCTGGCCTCCGGTAGGTGACGTCACAAATCGAACACCCCAGCCTTGTTATGTAGGAAGTGTTGACTGTACCGACTCTTGAGATCAAACATTTACGATTTATTGAAGTCTTTTGAAGCACCAGAGACTAGGGATGTCGCGAATCACCCTAGGTTCGATTTCGAAAGGTTTCGATATTTGCGAAGCGAACTGAGGTTCGATTTCGAAAAATTTCGATATTTTCGTACCGACCGAGGTTCGATTTCGAAAAATTCGCAACTTTTGACCACAGCGGAGTTTCGAATTAAAAAATTTCGAAGCTTTCACGGTTTCTAAAATTTCGAATTCGAATATTTCGAATATTTTTTTACTTCAGGTTCGATAAATTCGAAGATTTCGAAATTCTTTGTAAAAAAAATTCGAAAACTTCGAACGCTTCGAATTTTTATAGACATGAAGTTCGAACAATTCGAAGATCTCGAATTTCTTTTTGCATAAAGTTCGAAAAGGTCGAAGGTTTCGATTCCCTTTTAACGCTAAATTAAAAAAAAAAGAAAAAAAAATTTCGAAGATTTTGAATTTCTTTTTACTCCAAGTTTTCAAAGTTCGAAGTCCGATTTTCAAGTTTTTCCACAGTTTCAGTTTCAAATAACATTTTCACGACTCACTGGTTTTCACAAAATCGAGTTTAGAAAGGTTGGGGTGTGATACATAGAGTTATTAAAATGTACGCTAGAGGTTCAACTGGCGCTAGTGTCTATGTGACTTCCGTGACGCAAATTGAAGCAGACAGCAACCAGTCTACTTTTGCGTTGCTCCTGTGCATTCCTATGGAAAAATGCGCGTGCATTTTGTCTCTTCGCCGGAAAATAACACGGAACACTTTGGTTATTTGGGTCGTACCGAATAGTATACACCTTGATTAACACTGTAAAAGTGTAATTGCTTTAGTTAGCACATTTTTCTTCATCGGTGAGTGTTGTTTAACTTCGCTACATTTCAGTCCAAAACGTGTGTTCCGCAGCAGGTGTGTAAAAACAAGCGATGATTTAAAGCAACATTACAATCGAAAGAAATCTAGAGTGTGTTCAAGGCTCGCCAGCATTCCAGTGACGCTTATATATTGATAATATGCCAGTCCTGTCAATATATAAAAATGACCCCGTCGTGCATGAGCGGATAAAAATATTCAAACCGTAGAGAATAAAGTTCGTGGGCTATGAGAGGTGTCTCTTCGTATTATTTTCTCTGCCGAGCACTTGGGCTCAAAGATTTCAAGCGTGTTGGTGATATTTTGAAAGTAGAACGAATATCATTTTCGCTCAGAGCAGAAAGAATAAAGCGGTACTTATTTAAAATCGGAATAGATTACGTGGCCATCAATTTATTTTGATCGCACAAGCACGGGTAGTTACTGATCTAGTGTTACTGCGTAGTTCTTGCCGTCTCCCTTAATTTCCAGATGTTCTTCGTTCGTTTGGCACGTGTATCCCTCATGCTGAAAAGCGCCGACGTCGTGTTCGCGCTAACAGTGTCCGACAGTGCACATAAATACACGTACGAAACCGTTTTAGCACCGTTTTTAATAAGATGAATTTGAAAGAAAAACGCCGTAACTGACCAAATATTTCGTCGGCCTGACGGAGAAATGTTCTAATGTGCTAGTACGTACAAATTATTTGAGATATTTGCTGTTATGATCGAGCGCAGGGAGAAAATGCACTCACTTTTTCCCATAGGAATGCATTACCGGAAGTCAATTTTGGACTGGTTGCTGTCTGCTTCAATTTGCGTCAGCCCACTAGCGCCACTTGAACTTCTAGCGTACATTATAATATAATAACTGTATGGTGCGATATCTAGATTCTGCGAAGAATATTTGCCAGTGCAGAATTGTGATTGCCAGCCCCCGGGGGAGGGGGGGGGGGGGGGGGGGTCTTTAATTTGCATCACGCAGTAGTGATTGCACGAACACACTGTTTTACGAGACTCATCCAGTTCGAAACGGCCAGGGGCGAGCAGGAGGTTGAGGCTAAAAAAAACCTTGAAGCGACCTGGCGAACTAGCTCGCCACCCCTTGCACGCTGGTAGTAATCCGATCCGGTGAAGTTTATAATTGTCCTGGAGGTTTATTTTCTGGGACGGAGGAATCGCCTCGCAAAAAGCACAAAAGCCGACACAACTCGAGGTCGAGGAGCGTTCTACCATACAAGTGGCGTCGGAAGAGGAAAAACGGGGGGAAAGAGGGTAGCGGGGGGGGAGGGGGGGTTGGGGGGGGGGGGGGGGGGGGGGGCTTCAGCCTCCTTCTCCCTCTTGCAGGTATTTCGGACTGGAAAAGAGGGCGTGGTCGAGCTTATTTTAATCTCAAATTATTTATGCATATGTATAGCTACTGTCGCTCTTCACTGCATAAAAGATTGCGTAGATGGTCATTGTTAGAAACTCGTTGTCAGAAGGCACTGCTCGTCACATGCTTAGTGGTTCGGAAGTTCAAAGCTGTCTTTTCGACCTAAACACCTGTGCCGATAGTAGAAAAAAAAAAAAAGAAATAATAATAAATGCGGGAATAAAAAGCAGGAGAAAAAAAAAAAACTATCAAGAATTCGTCGGAAGTGTTCGATTCTTGCATATTCAGAGGTTCAGAACTTTGAAACAAGTTTCTTTTACCAAAATGTGTACAGGCTAAAAGAAACACGTCCCAGGAACGTGAAGTGAAAAAAAAAAAAAGTTTTCTTTTAATGACGTGCTGAACTTGAACACCATTAGAAATCTTCTCCCATGAGTTAATTTATTCCTTAACGTGAAAAAACAATAAATATATTATTTTGTATTCTGCAGATGGCAATGATATGTACTGTCTGTGGTGTTAATTTAAATGCGATACCTCAAACAACTTAGACGAAAATAAATATCAAGTTTAGGTCATAATTGCATGCAGATACATGTTTGGACATTTCTTCGAAACTCACGTTGAATAAAAATAATCACATCTTAAGACGGCACTTACCTAGGCTATACATAGATCATTCTTAAAAAAGTATAACATATCTACCATAAATAGCTCCGGCTGCAGCGTGCTTCAAATCTGGCACAAACGACAATCGTCAAAAACCCGTCGTCCTTCCTCGCCCCTTCGGGGATTTATTTCTTTAAACCTAAGCATGCCAGATCATTGAAATAAACGACATTGTCTTTCGTAAGGAACGCAGCACCACGTGTAAAAGTTCGAGAAAAAAAATTACGAATGTACCCCACTACTTGAAATCAAATGAAACCGTCCGCCGGTCTTTCGAAGTTCGACGAACGTCGAACTTTCACCCTAAAAGTTCGAAGTTCGTCGACCTTATGACTTTTCAGAATTCAAAAGTTCGAAACTTTTCGAATTCTCTTGATAAATAAGTTCGTAAGTTCAAAATTCATCGAACTTTTTGGTCAGTCAAGTTCGAAAGTTCGACAAGCATCGAACCTTGCAGCGCAATAAGTTCGAAAGTTCGAAAAAGATCGAATTTTTTAGCGTAATAAGTTCGACGGTTCGAAAAGCGTCGAACTTCTTAGCTTAACAAGTTCGAAAATTCGACCTCCGTCGAATTTTACGATATAGACAATTCGAAAAATCGAAATCTTTCGAACCTTTCGAACCGCTTGATTCGATCATCGAAACTTCGAATCGAAAAAAGTTCGCGGCATCCCTACCAGAGACATACTGTGTGTGTGGCAGAAAAGATAACAATGTGTATCGATCTCACCGCAAAAAAAGAAACGACGCTTGACCGAACGCTGCAGTGTCCGCCCAAATCTAGCGCTAGCGGTTGGGGTCAGAGGGCAAAGCTTTTGCACTTATCGTTATCTAATTCAATAGCTATAGGCTATATTCAGAAATGTTCAATAAGAAAACTGGACCCGTTTTTGCCCGTTCCCGGTGCCATTCGTATCCACACATTTGCAGGCATCGTTGGCCGCCATTTTTCTCAATATAAATTTCCGAAAACTGCTCTTAATCTTTAAATGAAAAATCGGCGAGCCCCGAACTTTGGCATCATGTCCCAAGTGCTAGCGCTACAATCGGGCATGAAGATATTGCTCGGCGATGCGTGGTCCTTCTATAGTGTGAGAAAAACACCGATCTCTTTTCTCCAAGACACCCTGTATTTTAAATGATCATAGCAATTTTAGCACACTTTCTCTCCCATTACCGTAGAAACCTAAAACACATAGTAAACATATCCTGAAGAGAGTTAACACAGACGACAGACGTTCTGTGTCGTCGGTAAACATGTACTTGGTGAAGACATTTTTTTGCAGGATATGTTAAAAAATATATATATATATAGTTGCAAGTCCCATATAAAATGCTACAACATTTCTCGGTGCAGAATTACGTTCAAACACAAATTATTTACGCATTCATTCGTTTCGAGGTCGAAATACAGACAGACAGAACTTTAGATGTCGAAGGAGGGATAAGACAAAAAGAAAAAGCTCTGCAACCTTTGAAAGTGAGGTTTGCCCGAAGCCTCGTCGCGTATGGGCAAGCCTTTACTTTGGATGCAATTTCGACCATATTGGTTTATTCTTTACTTCTTCGTAGCACCTCTATTCAAAACTGCCACAAAAAAAAAAAAAAAAAAAAAAAAACTCTACGCTTTAGAACATGTATCGGCGTTACGCTCTTCTCAAATCCACAGTGCAATAATCGACTTCAGATATTGTGTATTTAAACCAACCACTTTTTTTTGTAACATATTTGTTACAAAGAATATACAAAAAGGCCCGTGTTCATTAAGTCCATCTTAGTAATCAGAAACAAATATAGAAACATAAAGCTGAAAACCTTTGGTTTCGCAATTTAAGACAAGTTCCTCTAAGTAATACGCCTCGCAAGTGGGCTCATTTTCGTCTTCTGCGCATGAAAAAGGAAGTAGCGGTGACGTCAGAACGCCGAGTCCTGATTGGCTGATCGCGACCCCCTATTGAGCGTCGTCTGCTCCTTTGCAACGTCGTCTGCTCGCAACATCGTCTGCGTCTGTCTTACCTTTCCTGCGACTTTCGGAGCGAACTCGACTCGAAATAACTCGAGCGGTGCGTTGTTTTCGTCTAACAACTAGCAGACGCGCATCAAGGAGGGAAGTCAAAGGACTCACTGGCGAGGTGTCCCGGGGCGCCGAGGTTTGTTTGCTTTGTGTCCGCAAGTTCCCTCCCAAATACTTTTTACCTCCATTCGTGTGCGGCGAGACCCCTCACTCTTTAACGGCGCCGGCGGGTTGGCGCAGTTAACGTCGTCTGCTTTACGTCTGCTAGTCAAAGCGATGGCTGCTTTACCTTTCCTGCGTCTGTCGGAGATTCGCCGCTTTTTCACCGGCGAGAGTCACCGTTGCCTCGGGAAACAAGGAGATAACAAGAGGAAGAAATTGACCTCTTAATCTAAAATTGAGGTCAGCGATCAAAGTATAACACGGGAAGGGTTCACAAGGGTCGCGCGGGCATATTCCATTCAGCACGTCAGCCGGTCGTGGGCAGACGGTCGCCGAGTCGCGGAGTGCCTGCTAGGCCTAACTGCCCAGCTCGTTTGGTCGCGTTCGGTGGAATCGTCGCCGTTGGAGCTTTTCCCCGGTGTCTGTGCATCCAGCGTTCTTGTTCGTCGTGCTCTGTTTCAAACAATTTTTACTTTTTTTTTGCTGCTTGAAGTCAGGACGCGTGAGCTCACGTAGAAAAATAAACGTCCGTGGGTCGTCGCGACCGCGACGCTGTCGGCCATGCTGACTTGATCGTAAGAAGTGCGTAACAGCTTCGGAGCTGTCGTAGGATTTCGCCGTAACCTGCGCAAAACTTACGAAAATTTCGTTTCGTGAATACGAATTTGTTCTTAAGTTTTGTCTTACGCACATTTTTGGCGTAAGATCGTTTCGTGAATCTGGCCTCTGCACTGCCGAAAGTCGCAGGAAACGTAAGACAGACACAGACGACGTTGCGAGCAGACGACGTTGCAAAGAAGCAGACGACGCTCAGATAGGGGGGCTCTATCAGCCAATCAGGGCTCGGCGTTCTGACGTCACCGCTACCCCCTGCGCAAGGAGCAGACGAACTTGCCCTCCGCATTCTACGCTTTTAGGTAACGAGACTTCAGTCGTTTTGCTGCCTAAAATCATGGTTGCCAGTTATCCAAAGCTACATCTGAAATCGCAGAGAAATATTTTTTTGTCTTGCATAAGTGTTAGAACGGTTCGAGACAGTGCAAATCGACACTGCCTGAACCTTCTGACACCGTAACTAAAGGGGTATCCACACGAAGGAGAACTCCGCGGACGGATGTCGTGACGTCAACATCCCGGGAAACTCCGTCCCCGGCTCCGCCGCGTGCACTTGCGGAGCTTTCGTGCTTTCAGTACAAAGCCTCCGCGCCTCCGCCACGGAGGAGAACGCGCCGCGAGGCGTCAAAAAGGGATGACGTATGTGTCACGTGATGCGCGATCCGCGGAGGAACGTGGCGGATTTCTCCTTCGTGTGGATCCCCCTTAAAGGGGTATCCACACGAAGGAGAACTCCGCGGACGGATGGCGTGACGTCAACAACCCGGGAAACTCCGTCCCCGGCTCCGCCGCGTGCACCGGCGGAGCTTTCGTACTTACAGCACGAAGCCTCCGCGCCTCCGCCACGGAGGAGAACGGCGGCGCGAGGCTGGCAAGGCGTCAAAAAGGGATGACGCATGTCTCACGTGATGCGCGCTCCGCGGAGGAAAGGGGCGGATTTCTCCTTCGTGTGGATCCCCCTTAAAGGGGTATCCACACGAAGGAGAACTCCGCGGACGGATGGCGTGACGTCAACAACCCGGGAAACTCCGTCCCCGGCTCCGCCGCGTGCACCGGCGGAGCTTTCGTACTTACAGCACGAAGCCTCCGCGCCTCCGCCACGGAGGAGAACGGCGGTGCGAGGCTGGCAAGGCGTCAAAAAGGGATAACGCATGTCTCACGTGATGCGCGCTCCGCGGAGGAAAGGGGCGGATTTCTCCTTCGTGTGGATCCCCCTTAAGGCTCAGCAAGTCGCGTGTTCGAATCATAACCATCGCCACTTCCACCGACTCTGCAGTAAGCACAAAAATGGCGGCTACTCAAGACAGTCGGGGAATGGAGTGTCCGTACGTTACAAGAGGACTATACTATACGCGCAGCTTATTTAGTAGCTCTACATTAGATAATTCCGCGCAGAAAAATGGAATTGTGATTTTTCTTGTGTTCTTTTGCGCCCAGGACTGGAGGTGACCTCTGCTAACATCCGAAAGTGGATAGACGAGCACGACCTGAAAAAACTCGAAGGAGCCGTCTTCGAAGGCTACGGAGAGCGACTAGCAAGAGAAACCTCGACCGGCCACCAAGAGGTTGAACAGTACCTCCGAAAGGACGTGCCGCGCATGCTGGAGCGCATCCAGGCCATCCACCGAGCCGTGGCCGACGATGACGTGCCCGGCCTGGAGAGCCAGCTGGACAGCGCCGACTACGCGCTCGCCAGAGACCGCATGGGCATGACGCCGCTGCATCGCGCGGTCGTGCTCGGCAGGCAAGACGCGGTCAAGCTACTCGTAGACAAGTTTCCCGAGACCATCAACGCCAGGGACAGGGTGAGGATGCACGCTGCTTGATGTCATGCCGCCGTAAGTTGCATTCCGGAGAGACTTCGGGGACACTGACTGAAATGACGAAATGGTATCGCAACTTGAAAGGATGCCTTCTGCCTGGTAGGCTCAGAATGGTAACCAATGCTTTTCCAGGACAAGCTGAAGTCTATTATGCCCGAGTCCCACTATAGAGCGACCACAGAAACAACCGATGCCGACCAGCCTCAAGCACGCGTAGCATGCGTATCTTTTGCAAGCTTGGAATCACTCGTGCTCATTTCACGAGTACCGAAAGACTGCAAGCCTGCTTCGCGTGGATCCTGCATGTTCTGAGGTCTGTCGGTGTCGGTTGTTTCTCTCTGTCGCTTTAATGTTACTCGGGCATTAGCGAAACGTCGCCCTGCGGCTCTGATTCTTCTAAGAAACACTTTCTCGGTGTATTTCGTCTAGTTTGGATTAGGGATGCCGCGCACTTTTGTCGAACCTGAAGTTCGATGTCGAACCTTGGTGCGTCTAGTTTCAACCACCTTAGTATTTTGTATAAACAAGGAAACAATGAAGATTAAGTACATAAAAACGCAAAAACAGTGGCTTTAATTGGAGCTTCGTGAGTAGATAGCATGGAGCATGGACTACAGTCAACGCACGCTATGTAGTACAGAAAGTATTATCTTGGGTTTTAAGAAAAAAAACATAAACGCTTGAGTGTGAAAGGCCAGCAAAAGTCTCTTTTTCTGGAGAACTTCACGCACAATTTATGGGATTCTTCTTGTCCGGATGATTGTGCTCGGGTGTGCTCAGTTTTGGTAGACCAACTAAGTTTAATATTTTAGTCTTCCCCGGCACACCCAATCATAAATGCCGAATACGTTGTTAGAAATCCTTTAGTCTCATATATGACTGCAGACCTGTGTGCCCTACAACGCTGTTGTCCGTTCTCGCATATTCCCTTCTAGGAATCTGAGAACGTTTCCCCGTTGTGCCTGCATCGCATGCTCGCATCATTTGCCACCATCTTAACCCATAACAGCTGTAATATTTCAAAGAATGACTGACCATGCTTTTGGGTGTAGAAGAAAAGGGAGGATAGGGGAGAGTGAAGGGTGAAGAAGTGTATACAAAACAGAAACTCACTTAAATTAACCGCTTTTTTTTTTCTTCTATTGTTTTGCAGGAAGGACGAACTGCTCTGCACTACGCTGCGGCAGCATCCCGACGGAGCGGCCGAAGTCACCTGTACCGGCTACTCCTGCAGAATGGCTCCGATCCTCGCATCAGAGACAATGTAATTTTGAGATCATCTACTCAATACACCTCGCACAAATTTTTTAATCTTTAAATTCAAACTTTTGACACATACATTTTTACATACGTATGTCTAGTCTTGGGTAAGTTACTTTTATACAGTAATTCGTTAGTTACAGTTACTATCAGAAAAAAGTAGCGAAGTTACCGTTACAGTTACCGCAACAAAAGAGTAACTCGTTACAGTTACAGTTACTTTTCAGTTACTTTTCTATAACACAAAAAAAATTAGGAAAAACTAGAAAACGCCCTCACGAAGTTTTATTGCATAACGTGAAAAAGTACGCTTTTTACTTCATATTGTAACTTAGCAGAAGTTGCTTCTCAAAATTAGTGTTTGAAAATTTCCACGCCAGAGCAGTGGCGCAAATCAAAATACGAAACATGCGCAGTGGCCTCCGCGTGTATTGTTGTTTCACGGTTAATTCACCCGATTAAAAAGCGTTTTCACAGGAAAAAGAAAAAACACATATAGATAGTGCTTCAAGACACTAAGATCTAAGTGTTCAGTCACAAAGTACAAGCGCGTGCCTAAAGGTAACTAGATTTTTTTCGTGAAATTTACACGTGGCTATATTCGGGTCGTGACTCGTTAGGAAGAACGTATTCACAAGTTCGTGCAAGCCCGGCTTGACAATCGAAATGTCAGAATAAACGATTTGAAAAGTGCAAGGAATATCTAAATTGTACTCGTTCAGTGATATATTATTCATAAAACACTGGAAACTAATGACAAAAGTAAAGTCGTCACTTTCATCGTTACCTCAGAAAAAAGTAATAGAACTACAGTTACAAGTTACATTTAAAAAAAAAAGTAAATCGTTACAGTTACAAGTTACCAAAAAAGTAATGAAATTACAGTAACACGTTACTAGTAACGCGTTACAGTAACACGTTACTAGTAACGCGTTACCACCCAAGACTGCGTATGCGTATTCGAATTTCTATCAGTGAAACTATTTAGGCACAGCATAGCAATCATGTTATTTAACATAGATATTAAACTTACCCTCACTTTGCCCAAAATAGTAAACTTTGATTCACTCATAATATTTTTGTGGTGATGACAAATGTGCCTGCAGGATACTTCATTGCATGGTCACAACTACCTGCGGTACGAAATTAAATCAAAATGAACTCATTTATATAATTTACCGCGATTATCAGTGTTCTACTTTCTCGGGCCTTTTACAGGCAAAAGTACATTTTTGTTTGACAAGTTTTATTTCAAAGTTAAAATTTTTACTAATTAATAAAATGTTTACTTTACTACCGGCTTCACCATCATTCCTACATGTTGATATAATCACCGAAATACTCCTTGGTTAGTTTGCAATCAATCACAAGCTTACGTAAAAGAAGTTCCCTTCGGTAGTGAACCAAACGAAACCAAAACCAATAAGGTCACTAAATATATTTAATTCAAGAAAAAAAAAAGCAACACAGTTCTGTGAGAAAGAAAATTGGTTATCGTCTGGAAATTTAGGGCTCAAAAGAAACCAATGGATAACTAAACTTGATATTCTTCGGACAGAGTTTCAGTATCTGGTCCCTCACCACCAAACAGGTGCCAGAGTTAGGTTTCACTGCTTGGTTGCTCGGTTTTCACCTGACATCTTTGAGCCTCAATTACAGGAATTGACAGAGTTAAGCTTCAGTGCTGATTGTTCGGTTGTCATCTAGCATTTTTGTCTTATGCTTTGCGCTTTGCAACTCATGCGAAAACCAACAAAAGCCAGACTTTGGCTTTTTTTATTTTTCCGGCTAGTTAGGGTTAACAAAAGCTACCTTGGCCCAACTAATGCCTTGGAGCCATCGAGGTAGGAAGCTTCTGGAAGCGACATGACCCAACAGAGGTGAAGCCAGAAGTGCGGAGGGTAACGCGCCCCAACGATGACCAAAACAGCTGTGGTTTTAGTATCGTTGGGGGCGTGTCCCTCCACACTTTTGGCTTCACCTCTGGTGGCGTCATGTCGCCTCCAGAAGCTTCCTACCTTCATGCTTGGAGCAAAACCTTATTAGGCTAAAGCGATGACTTTAGGATTGCCAACCTTGGGCCAAATTAGGTATTCCTATCTGGCGTGCTGCCTCGAGAATTCCCAGATTCACAGCCTATCTTTTGACAGTGATCCTGTTTTGTTTTGTTTTCGTAGAGAGGCAAGTCCTCGGAATTCTACAAGACGCACCACTTACCCATGCCTCCGGAGATTGGCCAGCTGGGACCAAGTGCCAAAGATAAGGCGAGAAGTCGCTCCGAGCCTCCTGGGAGCAGACCTCGAAAGCATTGTGAGAACCCTTTGTATCTCATCTTTGTGACAGTTTCGTCAAGGGCAGTTCAAACAAGACACGTTTCTTGCAGTCACAGCATTTGCTGTACCGAAAGTGGAGCTTTTTTTAGGGTTCCGGTCCCATTAGAAATCATTTTTTTATTGCTATTGTTAATTCATTTCTTTTTTTTTTTTCCGGGGTGAAAGTTACATTTTCCACTTCCGTCATTGGACAGAGGTTTAAAGCATGCTCATCACGTGGGTTGTCAGCCACTCATGCACTCTGTTGTTGTCGGTCCCCAAACTCGAGAAAATGAGAGCGGGGAGGAGATGGACATCAAGGAACCGAAAGGTAAAGCCGTGCTGTTTGTGTGGTTAATGTTTTCAATAAAAACTTACGCGCGCCGCAGCCTTCACATTTTAAAAACGCACGCACGCACTTTTTTTTCCAGCGCACAGCATTGTTGTGTTCTGTTTAGATATTTTTTAAGGACTGCTATCAGCACGGGTGCGTTTTGTTTTCGCACTGCGTTTTCAGCCTTTGCGACGTCGCTGGTGGTCGAAAAGCTGAGCTCGGCGCTGCAGAAAGGAGACCCTGCTGAGATCCGAGAGCTGGTGCTCGAGGGCCATGGCAGGCACCTCCTGGGGAGGACAAGCTGGAACGAGGAAGTTCGCCAGTTACTCAAAGCACTCCCTACCCATTTGGTATGTCCCTGTTTCCAACCGCGCAAAGTAAAACCTGACTGTTGACGCGCAGCTGGCGATAAAATAGCATGTCCTCATGACCGATATAAACCGGCCTCTGTCTTATACTCTAAGAAATTTGGAGCGTCTACTTTACAGCAAGGCACTTGGGAAAGCCGATTGCTGCAATCCACGGAGGCACCAGTTATCTGTCTGTCAGTAGTCTGGCAGAACTTTTGAATGATATGCCTAATTTTAAAGGCAATGCATTAACTCTATGGATCAGGCTTTGCATTATTCAAAGCGAAAGTTCTTGTCGTTTTTCGGTGTTCTTGTCCGCCAATGGCGCAGTGTCGTTGAACGCAGAGGGATAATATAATGCTGGTGACCCTTGGCACCCTGCCTTTCTTGGGCTATCAGTGACCACAGCAGTCGATCACGTGCACAAAAACAGACCCTCAAAAAGTTTTTGAATACCTGACTACAAAACTAGAATTTCGTCATATAAGACCACTTTCTTTTTTTTTTTTTGTCAGCAAAACGTCAACGCGACGCACGAGGCTATCAGCAGAGGAGACGTTGCCAAGTTAAAAGAACTGGCGGCGCTGGACGAAACCTATCTCAAGACGCGCAGCGAGGACGGATGCCACCCAATCCACGCGGCCATCGAGAATCGACAACTTGAAGCAGTGCGGCTCATCTTGGAAAAGTTTCCGGCCTGCATTAATCTCAAGGCTTCGGTAAGTTGCATTAGGAAAACCCAATCTATCCGCGATACAACTTATGCGCCATCTGATTCTCGACTAAGTGCAAATGTGCCTTCTACTGTGTTGAGGGCGCAGCAAATGCAAAAGCCTCGGATATTAAACGAGTTGCTTTCCCGATAAACGAAGGAAAGTGATGAGTCTGGATGAGGGATGATGACGGGCTATTCTTGTGAGCCAAGCAAAAAACAAAAATAAATAGAGAGAGAGAGAGAGAGAGAGAGAGGAAGAGCGTGTGAGAGCTAGATAGAAGTCATGAGGGTTAGACTTAGACTGTGCACTATTATTTGTCGTGTGGAAGTAGCATAATGCTGTACACATGCCACATTGTGATCGCTTCTTTTCAGCACGGCCGCAATCCACTTCATTTGGCGGCTTTGAGAAGAGATACAGCCATCTACAAGCTCTTGGTTGAATGCGGTGCGGACCCAAAGGCCCTGGATCAGGTGACGTCTGTGGATATGTCCTCGGACTAGTTAAATTGCCCATCATTGCATCGTTTAGAACTATAAAGTAAGAACAGATCAACCTGTTCGAACGTCATGCGCAGTGTTGATACTTTGAAGCATAACTTATCTAGCGGCTTTAACGTGGACGGTTGCATTAGTGACGTCATTGCTGTCGTTAAACCAACCATAGGAAAGGCAAGTGTCGCTGTTCCGCTCATCTAAAGTGAGAACAGGACGTTAACCGGATTTCTTTTGCTTTGACCTATGTTCTTCCAGAAGGGAAAAACCGCGGAGTACTACCTGAAAAGCAGAAGGGGAAGGTCCAAGTCTTCGGCATCACCCAACCCTCCTCGCGAAAGATCGCCTCCCAAGGAAAACCCGTTCTCCAGTAAAACCACCAAGGTGGAGACCATTGCAGTTCCAACGATGGAAAAAGAAACACTCAGCGGCGGCGCGGAATTACAACGTCCTCGTGAAAATGTGGAGGAAAAACACGAGAGTGATAAGAAGGCCGTTCCAAACCGAGAAGACGCCAATGCTGAACAGAACGCCACCGCTGACGACGGCAACAGCCCCGAAGAGAGTGATTCTGGAGATGCGGAAGGTAAGCAGCCCCACAACGTACCTTCGAATTCTGATTCGAGAAGCACAGACGTAGATGTTGGAGAGATTGTCGCTGCAAACAATCCTGCAGTTGCTGATGTCACCTCTGCTGTAGATGACAGCGTTCGGGTGCCCGAACCCGATGTTCGGAACGGAGATGGGATTGGTGATAATAGACCAAAGGCGGACGATGTGGCCGACAGGTCTGCATGTAGCGTGGAGGAAAATGGCGGGAAGCAAAGCGACGACCTTGAAAGATGTAATTCAGCAGCTGAAAGCGCAATGAAAGATGGAAAGCCACCTACCGGTGACGAAAAACAACAAGAAAACGTGATGCAAAAATTTAATGGTGACGGTAAACCCTCTCACGGCGATACAGAGGAAGCAGACTATTCTTCCAAAGCGGTAACAACTCCTCTTAAGCGTCAAGATGTTGTCGAAGTTGACGCCACTAGTTCAAATCTTGATTTAAACTCTAAAGCGAAAGAAGAAGAGACAAGTGAACTGCATAGCTCAACTCAATCCAAGCCTGATGTTATTTCTCAGAAAGGAACGTCAGATTCACCAGAAGAAACTCAGGGCCAAGTTGACAAGAAGCGGGACATATCTAGTATTACTGTTCCACCTGATGGCATGCATACTGTGAACGTCGGTCAGACGAAGGATGAGGAGCCAGAAACTGGTGATTCCAACATTAAGTGTGATACAAGGCCTGACAAAGAACGCACCTTGTCAAGCACGGATGAAGGGCCTGCTCAGGGTGAACTTAACAGCTACAATAATATCACTGGTGAAGCTCACATCAGTGGTGAAGCAGATGCTGCAGACATTTCAAAGAGGTGTGAAACTCACAATAATGATGAAATAAATACTGATGAAGTTTCAAAGCAAAGTTTTTCGCTCCAGCAGGAAAACCAAACTGAAGATGAATCAACCGCGCAAATCGTCAATCATGATATTGCTCTGAAGTCTACATCAGAATACCCCAGCACATTAGATGAAGGAAATGACTTGCTCAAGAATGGAGTGCAAGAGACTCGAGGCATTGAACAAAATGGCACTGCAAGCTCAAAACCTGTGGTTCTCTCGAGACAAAACCATGTTAAAGCGAACAGCGCATCAAGCAAGCCCAATAGTAGCAAAAAATTGGATGAGGTCAAAAAGCTTAATAACAAAGAAAAAGCCACACAACTCGCGAGGAGAAGTACGCAGATTGTTTCTAAAGCACTGAACTCCAGCCCGGCAACCAAAAAAAGTAGAAATGAAAAAGGCAATGTCTCGGCTATGAATCCTAGAATCACTCCATTTGTGGAATTGAGGGTGAACGGCGAATTGCCAAAGACACCTCCCGAGGAAGACGGTGACCATATTCAAGAATCGCAAGAAAACGAACATGAGGCTGCGCGGGTCGAAAACAATAGTCGGGCCACGAAAGCTAAAAAAATGGGAACAAAAACTGAGACGTTTTCCGGCACAAAAGACAAAATACACGAACCAAACAAAGCTCATCTTAGATCTGTTCCAGAGGAACAGCCAGAGAACCATCAAGAAAAACAAGGTGCCGATGCTTCGGCTAATGGTGACGAGAAACAACCAAAAAGCAATGCTTTAGTTACTGCTGATCCAAAAGAACAAGAAAATGGCAATGACATTATTCGGAATTCAGACAATATTGTTTCTGGCCTTGATTTCAGCAAAGATAGGCGATTCGAGAAGGACAATGCTGCGAATATAGAAAAGGCCCGTGAAAAAAAGTTGGCTATACTTGAGCCTGAGCGTAAACACGCGACTTCAACAAAGGATACCCAGAACCTTGAATTCAGCAATGACGCATGCAAGGAGACTGGTAAAGACGCCGATAATCAAGATGAAAATGCTACGCTCAACGATAAGGCAAAACCAGCCAATGACACCACCAAATCTGTATCAGCGTCAGAACCACGTCACTCCACAGAGGCTGCCAACCCAACATCTGAACAAATCTCCATAAACGACGTGTCCCACGTAAAGGATGAAGGGCGTGACGAAAGGCCAACTTCTGGAGAAGGGGCTGATCAGCTTCCGTCCAGCAGAACTACCTTAAGTTCGAGGACGAAGAAAATACCATCGGACAAAGATCCAGATAACTCAGTCGCGAAAGCAGCTGTGCCTACGGAAACCTACAAGGATCATCTTGAAGGGCCACCTCAGGTTCAAGCCAGGACAAGCGGATCGACGAAGGTGCACGACGACCTTGTAGAAGCAAGTGATGGTGACCAAGCAACAACGGAGGAAACCAAAACCAAGCAGGCGGATGTCAAACGACAAAGAAGGGCTTCAAGTTCGAATGCAGACAAGGAAAAGCATGTTCAATATAAGGGGAGTAAGCTGTCCAGTAGCACTGCCATGCAACTAGGTAAGTAGGACCTCTCCGGTCGAGTCAACTAAATGCCCCCACTTTGCGCACACACAGTAATGACGGACACCTTTTCTCTGGACACCTAGGCGAGAGAGAAAGCCCGAATTAATTTTTGCTTCTCAAAGGCTGCTTGTTTTGTTCAGAGCGGAAATGCAACTTCCACTGCTTTTGGTCCCACCATCGTCCCCATCTCATCTGCCGCAACTCGAGCAATGAATGTGTTGAATATATTTTTTCATCTCATTTTGCGTAGCTTTTGCATGGCTACGTGGCCTCTACTGCTGCCACATTTCATTTACTGTGGTCACAAGATATTAATTTTTTTTATGCGCGCAAAGTTTGTCAAAAGTGATGAATCCTTATTATATATAAAAATTATCATGCTTATGAGGGTAATGATAAATGTCCGACTCATCAAACTAAAAAGAAAACTACAGAGCGCAGTTTTTTTTACATTGTTCAACATCTTATCATATGCATTCAAATTGTAACGTATATGGGACGCACGTACTACAGAGCTTGCACGAAACGGCTTATGGCTGAAGTTCACGTGTCTGCTTGTAACCACCTCTCCTAAAGCAGCCACCAAAGCACCACCAAAACAACAACCACATTATTTTGTTCCTGTTTACGTCCTCCTACCTTAGCACATACCGTGTGTCCATGCAATACTCGGAAAAAAAAAAAAAACTTCATCGCTCGATCATCGTGGGGTGGCATCAAATCACGTAAACATCATCAGCGTGTCATGGGAAGGCAACCATCCGCGAAGATCGACACGTCGCTGGTGGGCTTTGCTGCGGTCAAGCACGGCTGCTCTTTCTGCATGCGTAACATCCAGAATGGCAAGGCCGCTCGAACACCTCATTCCCGTCGTCGAGCATATGCTTCACAGCGTAGCCGTGAGGCACCATGCTGCACTGCCATGTGCGTCACCTTTTTCCATGGCCCCAATGCATCTTCTGTCTAAGAGTTCTTGTAGTTACGGCCTTGAGTGACTGTTCTACCGTATAAAAAAGAAATGTGTATTTTTGTTGGAAGGTAGGTCTACTCCGTTTTACTTCAATAAGGACTGCAGGCGAGGCATGCCCTCACATTTGACATTGGCCGATTTCGAACGGTGGGACATGGTTAATAATGACGCCGTAATTCGCGGCTATATCATTTCATGGTCCCTTTAACCGCGTGATGCTGTGACTTTGTTGACTGCCCAGTATAGACCAACACGCGCCTCTGACGTCACGCTGCTGCGGTGGCGCTGTCGACGGTACTGCGCATGCGCAGACGCTTCAGTTCACTCGAATTCGGTTTCTGCGCATGCGCAGTGCCCACACCTGGTGTGGGCAAACGCGGGCTTGTTTGTAAACAGCGTGTCGGTCTATACGCCATTCCCATGTATACAAACTCACAGCCCAGCGTGCGATTCCAACAGTCCAGCACTTACGTGTTGGTCGCTTCGAAAATGTGTGGAAATCACGCGCCATGCACACGAATGCTGAAAATAGCACCGACCAGAAGCTCGTTATTGGGACGGTCTTTACTATACAAAAGAGCACCGCAATGTTGCGTCCCCGCAAACTGAGGGAACAAACAATCCCCACAGTAAAACCGTTCCTTGCAACGTTCATGAAACAGCTCATCATTAATTCTCCAGCTGCTTAGCTAAAGGATCGGTTACCGAAAAATTCGTTAAAAGCTTTTTGTTTTTTCTTTTTTCATTTTTGTATGATGACTTATCACATTTTTTTATGTTGAATTACTGAATAGCATAGTATAAGGACCTTGCTCCATCTCCGACTTCGTCATTTCTGTAGCACCTTCCGTGTCCTAGCAATTCCAACATAAACAAGCTCGAAAATCTTGTTGAACCGGAGACACCGGAAGTTTCTTGAGCTTGTTTTTGTAAACAAAGAAAACGGTATATGAGATGGTCAGGAGTGATCGTCTCATATACCGTTTATACCAAAGATGAAGCCCGGGTGGGAGATAGTAAGCTCAGGGATTGGTGCCTGAGCCATTGCAAAGCCTTTGTAGCGCAATCCCTTCCCTCAGACAGACAGAAAATAACCAAGTCGGAGATAGACATATGATGCCAGTAAAACCTTTATGTTATCATACAATAGTTACACGAGCGCTTTTAACTGTCATTAAGCCAACGATCGTTGGCATCTCCCAACTGTCATTAAACTGAACTAAGTTGTCCGGTGGTACACGGTACATAGGCCTAACAATTAACCCCAGTTGAGATGCGCGCCAGGGGGCACAGTTTTAATCGAAATGAAACCAAAACTGATGTCACATTACCTTTTTTATATAAAGTGATGCAAATGAATCACATGCGCATTTTTCAATCATTATAAAGGTTACAAAATGAACTTCTTTTTTTTTTGTTTTTACAGTAAGAAGCGATAATCAAAACGTTTCACACAAATTCATGCAAGAAAGACAACGAAAGTCTTATCGGCACTGACATCACAATGGCCGCCCTCGCCGAGCTTTGGCTTGTGCGACGTGCCATGATGGATCTAGCGGCAGCCCTGGCCACGAATCATACCTGTTCCGACAACATTTGCTGCTAGGATACTTTCTAGATACCTCCCCAATCTTCCGCAATAATAAGTGCCTCGCTGGCGCTGGCCATGGGCACCGATGCGGCGGGCGCCGCCATCTTTAGCTCTATTGGGGCGAATCCCCATCAGTTAACTGAGGCAGGACAGCCCAGTTTAACTCAATGATCGTTAGCGGCTCGATGACAGTTCGCCCCGCCGTGTAACGCCGGTCGATCGCGATTAAGGCACTTGTCATTGGCTTAATGAGTTAAGAGCGCTAGTGTTGCTAGGGTATTACTGTGCGCATTACGCCTATAATAACCCTGCAAAAATAAATAAAAAAGTTCTTGTTGCTAGTGATTTACACAAAGCGCACAAAGCTCCAAAACTAATATATATATATATATATATATATATATATATATATATATATATATATATATATATATATATATATATATATATATATTCCTATTTTATGGTGTTACAGTATTGTTTCATTGTATTGAAGGTTTCCCTTTTTTATTATGCCCTGTACTATGTATTATACGTTCACCCCTGCCGGGGCCCTGAGGGACCTACAGTATTGCTAAATAAATAAATATATATATATATATATATATATATATATATATATATATATTAACAATGTCGCATATTAGTCTTGGCGAGCAGTGGAACGATCCACGTCACTTTATCTTCTAATTTAAGTGTTTTGCATTAGCAGGCGCAAACAAGATCTGCCTAGCTATGTTTGGTCTCGTGAGAGCATGTCAGTAAATAGAGTTTTGAACGTGAAATAGACCCATAAATAACATGTTATTTATAAAATGGATACAGCGACGTATTGCCTTTGCCAGGAAGCGTTTTGTGTATCCTGATATAGCTTCTTCTTTTTTTATCTTTCTACAAGGATTTTTGTATACGAAACGTACAATCTAAAAACGTTTGTCACTTCACTTTGCTATACAGTACAGATGTAGCCAATCACGGCGAACAAGAGAAAAATCCCAGCGAGTGACGAAGCTCCGAATGTGATTAGAGAAATCAAAATGCAAAAAGTGCTTCGTACTTCGCGCGCGCTCGCGCGCGTGTGTGTGTGTGCGTGCGCGCGCGTGTGCGTGCGTGTGTGTGCGCGCGCGCGTGTGTGCGTGTGTGTGCGTGTGTGTGTGTGCGCGTACACGTGCGTGTGCGTGCGTGCGTGTGCGTGTGTGCGCGTGTTTGTGCGCGTGTGTGTGCGCGTGTGTGTTCAGATCGAATCGTATTCCGCGCCGCGTCATTCGCTGAGTTCGTTGTATTGTTTGCCGTGATTGGTTGCCTGTGAGTTCTAGGAAAAAATACACCCAGAAAGTTTTTTTTTTCTTTCTTTTCAGTGTAGGCTGTAGTAATAGCAAGTAGGAAGTGCTTTATTATATTACATTTCGCCTGGGCGGAAGCTTCAGGAGCTTTCACCCAGTCGAAGCACACACTGTTTCAGATCGGCTGAACGAGCTCATCGATCTCTGGATCAAAGATGGCGACCTCCTCCGCCTTGAACACGTGGTCATCGCGGGCCAGGGAGAGCGCCTGCTCAACAAGACCTCCGAGGACAAGCAAGTCCAGGAGTTCCTGAGCCTCGTGCCCGCGTACATGGTGAGGACAATGCTGCCTTATCGTCAGCATTTGTTCGTTTTTATGTGTGGGTATATTGCTCTTGAGTGCACTACTTTTGTCGTTCTTCAGCTTAGTTGTAACTTGTTTCTACTATTCAACTTTTAGCAGCACAACCTTTTGTGTAATGCCCCATGGTAGGACGTACGAGTAATAATAAAAAAATAAATAAATAAATATAACCTTTTAATACTCTGTTTCAACTTACGAAGGGCCGCAGAAAATGGTACGAAAAACCGGAGCCAATCCACAGCTAGAAGAAAGTCACGTTACCCTCGGGTTAGGACGAGTGAACCACGGGACATGAAGTCACGTGGTACGTGTTCAGCGCTCAATTGGCTCAGATGACACCTGGCGTCCGCTACTTTCCATCGCAAGGTAAAACGGATTAAAGTTCTGCCTTAAAATAAATTATTTTAATTAATTCAATATCATAGTTTACACTTAGAATACAATTAGCTTGGTGATTATCCAGCTTGATAATTGTTTTACTGTTTATTGCAATAAAATGAAATCGAGGTCTACAGTTCGTCCTGCACGCTAAACAATTAGTGTGAGTCCACTTTCCTACAGATCACGGAGGCAAACAACAACGGCAAAGAACAGAAGAACAAGGCTTTACAGCTTCACAGGCAGTGCGATGATTCGAACCTGATCAAGAGTCGAGAAAGCGCGAATATATCTGATAAATGCGAAGTGTGAGGGCATAGTAATGAGCAAGTCAAATGTCATGCTCGATGTCCCTGCGCAGATCGCTTCTTTATTTATTTATTTTTATTTTTTCGCTTCATCCTTTTGTGAGCTTCGCCATTTTATGGGATCTGTCGATTTTTTGCCTCGATTGGCTGTCTCTGTGGCCTACAGGTGAGTAAACTCACGGAACTTTTTTTCATGGAGTGTACAGAACAGAGCCTCGGCACATAGTAGCTGTAAAAAAACGGCGTAAAAAAATCACCATAAATTCGCAAAAACACAAAACAAAAAAGTGTTGAAGTATTATAGCAACATTTGTCGAATCTAGATCCTCGGACAAGGAGAAATTAAATAACGGACAAGACGACTTGAGATTTTCTGTCGTCTCGTCCGTTGTTTTATTTCTCCTTGTTTCAAGGTTTAGAATATGACGTTTCCTACCCAGCTCGCCTGCATAGTTTTGCTCCCTGGTGAAGTATGTCTTGATCACGGAAATTGGCACTCGAGACCAACACACGTCATCTATATAAATGTCGGTTCATTTGAAAAAAATTCAGGCATTCTGTCGGGCGCTTTTTTACGAGGAAGCGCTTGGGTGCACAACGATGAATTGGCATGCACTAGGCAAAGCAAGCTTTACGGGAAATACGAACAACAACCATACTGTGATTTTAGACCTTCTATCGACCGCCTTTCCTTCGTGATAATGATGCGGTTTTACAAAAAAAATGCAAGTAAAAAAGGGTTTATGTGTGTGTGGGGGGGGGAGGGCTTTTTGGTTATTTACTCAATATTGTCACGAACGACAAATGGTGAGACGGCGAATTAACTGAAGAAACTAAACATTTAATGGGGCAAACTTGTGCCCAACACAAAATAGAAGAAGGTTAGCGTTTCAGGCGTCGATGTCGGCGAAACAGCAGAATCGAGCGCTGGGGCGACACTGACTCCGGCTCGCCACGCGGAACCCTTTATGTGCACGCGTGGACTTCTGAAATAATTGGCGTAGAAGTTTCGGCGCGTAGAGCATTCGGACCTAGAATAAACAACTATGTTCTCGAATTCACCAAAACGCGACATTTACAGAAATAACAGAAAGGTGCGTTTGCTCCCAGGCATCGAACCTCGAGCCCCTTGCGTAGGAGTTAGGAGTCAAGGAGGATGACCATTCAGCCACGACTGCGCTTGCTTCAAGACGCGCGTGGCAACATCCACTATAGTCATTGGGCGTGGCTTGTTACTCCTTCTCAGTCAATAAGACTGCAGCCTTCACCAACGAGGACGCCGTAAGACAAATTACGAAGCAAGAAGCGGAAATATAGCCACGTCCCGCGCTTCTTAAACAGTCTCTGACTACAAGCATATCGACAGTTTCAAGACTGCCGCGGTAAAAGCAAACATGGAGCCCTATGCTGCACGGCGGGACCGAGCGGGAAAAACGACCGGGATAACGCCGTCTGCTGCTATTGGTCAGCACCACGCCGCTGACCGATTGTGGCAGATGGCGTTGTCCAGGTCCTTCGGCCCCGCCGCGTAGCAGAGGGCGCCTGAAGATCATATATCAACTGGTGCGGGCCGTGATTAGCCCAGTAAAAATGAAGACAGCGAGGAACGCGATAATGTTTAAAACAACATCTGTCGAATCAGTCGGGTGAGTCGCCGCAGCAGTGTCGTCCAATCCGCCGGCTAGGAGTGAAAGCGAATCGGTTACGACGATTCTTCGTAACATGTATTGAGGGACACTAAATCAGTGTGCTCCGAAGCACCAAATAAAATCTTCGTAATTTGTTATTGGAGTGTTTTTTTTATGCTTCCTCTAGGAAGAGTTGACTTCTTTGAGGGCTATACATTATTTTACACACTATTAGACTGAATCAGTCTCTGCCACTTACATGTTTCATTACGTTCTGTTTGAAGCAAAAAGTAAGCAGGATAATTTGCACCTTTCAGAAAGTATTCGCAGCAAGAAGTTTCGGTATCGCCGCTTGGTCGAATTTCTTCACAACCCAAATTGAGGATATTACAACTTACTCTGCTGGTGCAACCGCGTGCAATGCCAAGCTTCTATGCACTATTAAAATTAAAACCTAACCGAGTGGGCAGCACGTGTACTACCCAGAGTGCGGAAAACAAAAGCGTTCTTAGCGAGATTCTCACCGCGAAAAGTCCCTCTTCCTTCACCCCTCCCTCAAAATCAAATCCTCTCGCCTATTTTTTTTTTTTTCTTTTTCATCTTCTGGGCTTAATGAAGTATCACCAACCGCAGGCCAGGGTCGCTAAACTCGTCAAACACGAATTTGAAGGCGAAGTTGACGGAGAGCACCGATTGGCCGATCATGGCGATGACTTCGCGCTTTTTTCGCCGACGTCCAATCGGCGCGCTCAGCAAACTTTCGGCTCAAACTTTGTGTTTCACGAGTTTAGGGCCCCAGCGCGGTGCACAAACTTGGCTCGAGTGCTTCGTCAGCTTTCGGCAAGGGCTCGTGTCCGGTGAGAGAGAACACAGGTCCCAGCCGAGCGCTGACGTACCGTTCATGTTGCATCTGTGCCTCGCGCTGGCCCGACAGCATCTACAGCATGTCGAATAACGCTTTTAAGGCAATTTAGACGGCCCGAAAATATCGGTTTTACAACGTATCGCACTGCGATTTACTGCAGAAGTGCAAGGCGGTGAAAATTTACAGTGGAAAAAATAAAAAATAAACTCATCTTGTTAAAAAAAAAAAAACCGCTATAGGGGCAGTTTACGTTGCCACTTCGCAAATGATGCACGCGAGGTGGGAAGTGCTGCCGACAGGTGGCGTACGCCGTGTCGAGGGGGCGCCCGCCAGTCTTTTGCGGGATCGTCTGCTACCACAGGCCGAATCGGCCGGCATTCCCTCGATGCGGCGTACGCCATCTGTCGGGAGCACTTCTCAATACGCATGCATCGTCTGCGAAGTGGCGGCGTAAATTGCCCATAACAAATTTCTGTTCTTCTTTTTTTTTTTTTTTTTGAACGGTGTAATTTTATTCCTTGATTTTTTCTCTGTAACCTCTCACCGCCTGCTAGCCGCTTTGTAGTAAATCACAATGTGATACGCTGAGAAACCAATCTTTGCGGGCCGTCTTAAGTGCCTTAAAAGTATTAGTTCACGTGCTGTAGAATAATCAACGCCCATGCACTAAAATTTTGACGCCATCAGAGTGAGATCGAGCGCGGACACAGATTGGACACGAGTGGTGTGTCAGCGCTCGGCTAGGCCTCATGTCCGTTCAGCACGACGAAGGAACCTTGGCTTCGGGCTCGGGCTCCATTGCTAAGTTGGCGCACTTCTAGGTTGACGTTCCACGGATGAGGAGAATGCCCTTCACAGGCTTCGACGTTCGTGTTGGTGACGTAGTAAATCTAACGCTGCCGTCTCGTTAACAAGGAAGATGAATAATTAGAAGTGAGGTTCTCAAGATGTGCACCCATGACCGTTTGACGCAGGAGCGCATCCGAAGTGTGCACGAGGCCGTAGTGCGCGGCAACTTGGCGGAGGTGCGTCAAGTGTTGACCAGGAAACGCTTCGCGCTGAGTCGAGACCACCTGGGCGCCAGTCCTCTACACCTAGCCGTGCTGCATGGTCACACCGACGTGCTCAACTACATCGTGGACAAGTTCCCGGAGACCCTGGATGGACCAGACAATGTACGTCAGTGCGTTATATATATATATATATATATATATATATATATATATACACATATATACGAGCGCCAAACCCGGTCCCACTAATGGACTTGGTCGTCTGCGTCGTCGCCCGCTATTGACCCTGACAAGTTTTTTGGCCCTATTTTTTACCGAAAGAGAGCATAAGTTTGTAATTTTACAAGAAAAGACCGGCCTGGGAAATACACCTTTGACGAAAATTTTAGATTGCTATGTGCAGGCGTCGATTTTTACGGTCCATTTTAGACCGAACCTGGTGACTTGGGACACCCTTTATATAGACGCTTTCAGGCAGCTGTGCATGGGCGCCGCCATAACTGACCTTCAGTTTTTGTTCCCTAGTATTCCGTTCGCTCCACTTCATCATTACAACAGCAGGACCGGCTATTGCCATTTTAAGTGTTATTGTGTCCTTCTCCCCAGCATAGGCCCTTCTGGAGACTCGTCAAGGCCCGCTTCAGTGGCTCGGCATCTCGGTAAGACAAGAGAAGGTCGGCTATGGCGGCTCAACCTGGCGCGCGCTGAAAGCGTCTATAAACAGCGGGCTACGGCAGTGCGGCTCATTATAGGGGGTATTCACAAGACGCCATATTGTTGGACGTTGTTCACAACGCATGCTCAGAACTAGCTGCCATTTATTGTCTTCTAAGAACAATGGTTCTGATTATGTAAATGAATGTTGAACGTGCATTGTTGTGCATTCCTCGCAGTCAGTACAGCAAAAGCTATGGATAGCCGTGCGCTCGCGGACCTTTTGCACCGATCAAAGCTGTGCACACGCAGTATTCGCTTCCTCTGAAATGCCAGAAACAGATGTCCTCAAGCATCGTTCTGCGCGTGAGCTGCGAACAACGTCCAACAAAATGGCGTCTTGTGAATACCCCCTCCTATGCAGCCCGGAACGGCGTTACTTAAGAACTAGTTCAGTTTCACAGCTCCCCAGGAAACGTGGGCTCCTCGGCGGTCGCAACGACTAGTGTCGCTGCAGTCGAGTATTGGTTCCGGTTCCTCGAGCCGCTCTGCTGAGTATGCGATGGACGCTCGCTTCGATCTTTTGTTCTGCTTTGTTTGTGCCGAGAGACCCCACTGACTTCAGAAGGTGAGACCAAGCTCTACAAAGAAAAGACAGAAACCTTACTGCAAAGTGTAAAGTTTGTGACGTGCGCATCGAAGACGAAGATGTCATCAAGTATTACCGTTACGTTATCGGCGGTAAAGAGGTGCTTGTTTCTCGTGAGAAGTGGCAGCTTGCACTTGATAACAGCACCGTGTTCGGGGACGTTTTCTGGTATATTTTGGAGAAGCTGGAGGCTCCTCCAAAAGCAGACGACGCACGGGAAGGAGGCGCAATACTCGACTGCAGCGCCGTTGGTTCTTGCGACGTCCACATGCGCCACTTTGTTCCATAGCCTGGAAAAGAGAGCTGCGGAACTGAGTCGGTTCTAGTAACGTTGGCCCGGATGCCACCGAAACATGTTCGCGATGCGGAGGAAGAAGAGGCCCACAAACGAAAGCGAGCCATGGCGGCGCGGTTTCGCCGGGCCAAACTGCAGAGTGGCTGGTGTTTAAATCGGAATGGTAGGAGTCGTCTTTGCACGGTACGAATGTATGATGCGTCAAAAGACACCACGGTTACCGCCACCTTTTTATTTCTAGGGTACGGCAATGAGCTTATTAATTTTCGTTCTCTTTTGCGAGCTTATTTGGATATCGTGTTTCCCACTCTCTGCTTCTAAGAAGACCCTTCAGGTTTTAGAGCGCACTTTGAGCTAAGGTGCCTGGAGCGCGTCTCCGACTGGTGTGTTTAGCGTCCTTTGTCGCCCATACATTCAAAGTGGTACCGAAGTGGCAACAAATGACGTCACAGAAGCCAGAGTGCCATGCTGTTGGATGTCGCGATCCTGGTGGTCGGTCGTGGAAACGCTAACGAGAAACTGCGAGTGGCACAGCCGAACGCGAGTGTCGCTGTCGTTACGGCGTCCCAACTTCTGGCTGCCGAAGCTTCCGAGGACTGCCACCCTGGAGAGCGACTTAAAGCAGAACAGGCATCTGCCACATACACCACAGTTGTTTGGACGCCGCCAGTATCGCGACTTGTGACAGCATGACACTTCTATGACGTCGTCAGGCGGAAATCGAGGGACCACTTTTTTGGACGCGGTAAACACACCAAAGTGTATAGATGTACTCTTATAGCCAACTATACTTCGTTTCACCTTGTGTGCGAGCGAAGGCAAAGCTGGAAGCGCGAGCACGAAAGCTCCGTGCGTTCAGGCTTTGCTCGAGCGCGCGAGCTGGGGAGAAATGCAAAAAGCGCTGGACTCGCGCTTCTAGCTTTGGCTTCGCTCGCAGATAAGGTGAAACGAAGTATAGCCCAACAGTTTCGATTCACCAGTCGGAGACGCGTTCCAGCCACCATGCTTTGAGCCTCTCAGTTTGCGTTGACACTGCCGCACACAGCCGGGATGCGTACCAACGACGGATGCTGCTCTTGCAGGAAGGCAGGACGCCGCTACACTACGCTGCCGTCGTGATGGAGGCCCAGAACTACTTCGACATTCTCAAGAAGGCTGGGGCAGACGACACCATCAAAGACAAGGTAAAGTAAATATGGCAGAAACGGTCTGTAATATATGAATCAACTCTGCCTGCATTATTCTAGTGACGTCTTAATGACGCCACATCATGTAACACTGTTGTCGAAGTTGCTTCGCACCTGTTATTGGTATTGCCATTTAGTTTTTCTTACTGTCATATGGCTAGGTTGCTAGAATACGTATCTGGCCATCCAAACGCTTGCACATGTCTATACCTTTTAATCGGTAGAATCAGATAGAAAGGTAGAGATTCTGGAACATTAGGCTTCACCATTTCTGTTCTCGTGCTATGCACATAAGAGAAAGGACAAATGATAATACGTTTATATGGATATCATCGGGAGACAATGCTATCCGCATCGTCTCCCCATATGACAACCAAGAAAATAACAATATTCAAATAGACCACAGATAATGCGCAGCGCTTTTTTGCAATACTTCTGATCACAGAAATATTCCCACTCGTTAAAGAACTTATAATACGAGCATAACAATTGATTAGTTTTTATACCACATCTCATGAGGTAATGTATTCGACAAAATAAGGTACAACACCCAATCTGAACTGTTGATAAGTCTGTGATTCCTACAAGCTACATTATTTTTCGATTTGGAAAAGACACCATAAAATTTGGCCTGAACGTTGAGTTTACGCCCTAGATGTCTGGACGACAACTTCTTCAGAAAACTGACAGGTCTGTCGAAGCATGGCAAGCAAATGACATTCTTATTTTACGCAAAGGACACTTGTCAATAAGTACACAGTAGCTCGCATGGATTGATCATTTGAATTTGCTTTAATTGTCTGACACTAGATTAGGCACACACCACAGGTCGAAAAATCGTCCAACCAGGCTAACTCTAAAGGTTGTATATCGCGCGCCCACCTTCCCCGCACACGCACACCTGCATGGCGTGTGCTGACGTCACATCAGTTGCCATTGTGGTGGCCTCGTGGCTGAGCGCGTACCTGCTGTGCATTTCGCATCCCAGAATTTGTTCTCCCGGCAAGAACAAGTAGAAATGATCACCATCATGGTTTGGTGACGTCACACGCGAGCCATGCATAGCCTGTGCACGCGCCCCGAAGAAACAAAATATATCATTTGTGAACCGAGGGTGTAAAATAAGCCGCGCCCAATTGCTTTTTCACTGGTCATCAATATTATATTCTGTATCGTAAGTGGGAGATCAAATAAAGCAGGGTGCAATCAACCACAATAATCTTTCGATTTTCAACTTTATTGTTTCTCTCCAATGGAGAGGGGGACGAAGAAAAAAAGCAGACAGTTGTCGTTTTACTCGGTTCTCCTCCCCACCACCATCAGGGAAAAAATAGTATGCTTGGTAATACATTATACATCAACATACAATCATAAACAAACTGGCACAGCCCATAAACCATAAAATATTCCCCAGCACGACGATGATCCTATTCAAATAAACGAAGTTAAACACTAGAGAAAGGGGGATCTCATTTTTTCTTTTTTCTGTTGAAACTTATAAAACCGATTCCACATCTCTGCATATGTTTAATACGTTTGGTAGCGAAAACTGCAGCATCTGGAGGTCATACCCTGCCCTTGATCGAGGCGTTGACCAAATATAAACACAACGGCTGGGATATATAGACGCCCTTTGTTTCATATTAACGATGAATAAAAAAAAATGAAAAAAGTTGATTTTGGCTTTCAGATTTTTGACACGTAAAAAAGTTTATAATTGAAAGTTTTTGTAATTGGCATAATACCAAGATTGTTATATAATAGTAGCGTGTGAGTATTTAATTCCGCATTGCACATAATTCGAATGATGTTTTTATGCAAAACATGTAAGCGGTGCATTAACAGTCAGCTTATGATATCTCAGTAGAAATCTAATGAACAATCAAGGACCAACCGCGAGTCTTAGAAATCCATCATACTTAACCATGCACCATCGTGGTAGGCCTGTTATTTGTAAGCTGTCATGATTGCCTAAGCAAGACAGAGCGCCAAGAACAACATAAGCAGATCAATAATAACAAAACAATAGGGAAGGATCACACTCAGTCAGTATAGAGATGTGGATAACTACTATAGTCACTGACAATTTAAGAAACGCAGGGCGTGACTTACTGTGCTCACACTTCTTGCTTCGTGATTTGTTCCTTACTGTTCTTGTCTGCTAGCGCCGTAATCTCATTGACCGCGGAGAGATAAGATGATCAGCACTCGCCACGCCCTGGATTTCTTTAGCTCTCAGTGACTCTAGAAGGTGTTGATACTTACGCAAGGATGCAACTCTGCTAGATGGGACATACGCCGGAGTTCTACGTGAAGAATCCCAAGGAGCTTACCATCCGCGACCTGCTGGAAGGCTACCAGACAACCAACGATGAGGAAAAGTCGGCCACCGCAGACGTCTGGAAAAGGCCGCCAACTCCACCTGAAGACGCAGGTGAGCTCAGGATTTTGTAATCTGTGGATTTGTGAGTGGAAGCTTAAAAGCGGCCAGTGGCTCCGAGAGCGGAAGGAGATGTTGCTTCCGCCTCGCATGCATCGAGAAACATTCTTAAGTGGACACAGCTGTGCATTAACACCTTCAATGGAAATGGAATAGTCATAAAAGATGTGGTTGATGCATTCTGAATTCATCGGGCGTTTGGTTGTGCACACTGAGGCGCAAAATGCTGCAGTTAAATTGATTAGGTGATTTCTAGTGTTTAAGAAGAATTTATATGTATATCCTGGGGGGTATAATAAAGACAGTATGCATACGACAAAAGCTGGAATTATGAAAAGTCCCATAAATACAAGAGTTTGGAATGATGGAGTTCTCACACAAAATTACTTAACAATGAAAAAATAACGACCTGCGTTCTCGTGAGCTCGTGAGTCTGAGAGACTTTCTTTTCGAGGCGTTCATTATCAAACGTCAAGAGATTTGTTTACGATATTTGATCTATAACTTCCAGAAGCCGAGGAGACGCCAGCCGTTCAAGCCCTGCCAGATGCTCCCGTTGTTTCGGAAGCGAAGTCGGTTCCAGCCTCCGTGCCTGATCAGGATAAAACAACAGACCAGAAACAAGCGCCTTCCAAAGAACCCGGAAAAGTACAAGCGCCGGTCGAAAAACCGGCGGACGCATCCGTGCACGAACTCAAACAAAAATTACCGGCACAAGTCCTACCATCCGCGCCGCCGATACAAGAGTCAGTAAAGGAAGAAATAAAAGAGAAAGTAAAGGTGCCGCTTCCAGAATCGACCAAAATGGCAGAAAAATTGCCGTCGGAAGCTCTGAAACCCGAGCCTGCTAAGGGAAAAGATCCAGAGACAACGAAAGTTTCAGTACTAGCTCCTCCTGCTCCGGCACAAGACCCAAGGCCTGTGCAAGAAAAAGAACCCCTGATCGTGCCGGTCGTGTTACCAACAAAAGCGCTCTCCAAAGGGAATCAAGTTCCTGTGCAAGAGCCTCCGTTAGTCCCCGATAAAGTGGAATCCCAAGCACTTCAATCGGCAAAACTAAGGCCAACTGCTGAAGAAGCGGCACAAGTACAAGGATCGACGCAGCTGCCAGAAAAAGTACCACAAGCGGAAGCGCATCTACCAGAAACGCCACGCGCCCATGCGCCATCCACGCGTGAGGTTCTTAAGAGTGCAGAGGTCCGACAACTAGCGCAGTCCATGCTGCGTGAGGGCAGGACCGTGGAGGAAGGCCGCTACCTAACAGACGCCGTGGGAGACGTCCTGTCCAGAGGTCTTCTAGCGGTCTCCAAGCAACGACCGGCAGACCCTGTCAACTTTCTGGTATCCTGGTTCAAGGAGCAGGTGCCTCAGAAGCCAGCACCAGTCGCCAAGGCTTTACCGGTGAGGATTGCTAAAACAACCCGCAAACTAAAAAAAAAAAAAAAAAACGAAATTGGGCAAGGAATTGGGAATCAATATGCATCAACGTATCGACAAGCATGATGTTGCGTCATGTTTGTGCATAGTGCAATTTAAACGAAACGGTTTTTATGTTAATATACTTTTACGAAAAATCCCACAAGTCATCTTGTCGATCCCACATTGCACCGCGCGTAGCGGGGAATTGTGGGTATGTTTCAGTGTGCACTCGGGCCGAGCTGTACGGTCCGTACATCCTGAAAACTGCGCGATTTCATCTCGATCGCTTAATATTATCCGTTAAAAAAACACTGAATGAACGCATGTTTAAGCCCTTACGTCTTATCATCGCTATGTCCTTGCGTTTTAAAATGACAATACGTTAAACCAACTTGAGCACCTTCTTCTACTTCACGTTTTGCACATTGGATTGCCGTAATGGGCCGAGAGGATGGCGCGGGCGCAGCGTATTTTTGCAATTGCCTACTCAGTGATACAATGTTCTTCTGTCTGCGGTGGCTACGATATATACCTAACCATTCTAAGATGTGTCGAACCTGAAAACCGAAGAGAAAATAGGAGAAATATGGAAAGTGGAACGTAGCTATGCAAGACCGCGCCCCTTCCATTGACCATCTTCCTTTTTGTCGATGAGAATCAAGCCAATTTGTGAAAAATTACAATATTAAGTAATACGGAAAGCTTTGGCAAATGTTTTTCATGTGCTCAATGCCGCTTCGTGCGCTCACTTCAAAGCATGCTTCGAGATGGCAGTATAGAAGCTTTGCACACACGCCAGTTACAGTAGCCATTGCAAAACTTCTCTGGTCTTACCGAGATACCGAGCCACTGAAGCGGGATTTGACGAACATGCACAAAGGCATATGCTGGGGAGAAGGACAAAGTAGAATCTAGAATGGCAATAACCTATCCTGTTGTGGTAATGATGAAATGAAGCAAACAAAATAAGAGAAAACAAAAAGTGAAGGTCGGTTAAGGCGGCGCCCTTGCACCAAAGTTATTCTATGGTAGAACTCAATCCGCCAAAACTTTCTGATACTGTAATAGCGTATCAGGTTCTATCAGGTTTCAATATTGCATCATACTAATAATGTATCAGGGACTGAAAGGTAGCACAATTGTTTAATACTGTAATAGCTAGTCGGGTATACTGAAAAGAAGTAGAGAGCCACCTTTTGCGTTTTTTTCTTTTAATTTCCTATTTACACCGGGAGAGTTTCCGTGAGACTCGCCGATTCTTAACACAGATTACAAGAAAATTTTGACATTTCGGTCTCCATATTATCTCCGTATGCATTTACATCACTCCAATTATTCCCTATTTATATTTTGTATTTCAGGACCCAAGTACAGTCACGAAAGAACGAAGCATTTCCTCCAGATCTAACACTAATTCCTCTTCGGCCACAAGGTAAAAGCAACACGGCTCCGTTGGGAACGTCGCCCCGTGATGTGCGCCTGGAGTTAGATATTATTTAGTTGTTATTTTATAGTTTACTCAAATGACCGTTAATTGTTTCATCGTATCTTGTAATGTTTTCAGAACGTTCAAATTGTCTCCAGGCTAGTTCAGTCTGGCGTAGGCGGTGGCGGCGTCAGAAACGTAGTGCGTGGCTTATTTTCTATGCGCTTCCTGCTTCGTGATTCGTTCTTTGCCGTTCTCATTGGTTAATGCCGCAACCTCATTGGCTGAGTAGTGATAAGGAGATGCCGGAAATTCGTCACACCCTGCTTTCTTAAGTTCTCAGTGACTATACGGCGTGCAAGTTGTTTCTCGGTTGGTTAAATTTGGTAGTAGTTTTTTTTTTTACCGGTGATGTGTCAACGTTGTTTTGGCATTGTTTTTTTGTAATTAATCACAATATTTTTACTAAAAAAAGTAAATTTAAGTTATAGGAAGGTTTTATGAGAGGCCACTCTACCTGACTTAGTGATAGCCATTCGATTAATTGAATGTGAAACAAATGCATTTACAAACATGCCACAACATAATAACACGCATCTTATTATACTATTAATGTTAGACAAATTAAACGTGGCTTCTAGCGTAGATGCCATTTTGCAGCGCTGTAGAATCCGTTTTTTTTTTATTTCTGATATCAGAACACCGTGTACCATCGCAATCTCATAAACCAATACATTTAAAAAAAGATTCTTAGACCTTCATGACTATACTTTGAAAGATATCTGCGATGTTATAAAAGCAAACTTGGAGTCACTGTTTGTTCTCAGGGTGCAGTATCGCAAAAGGTCCGTTGGTTTCTAAGGAAAGGGGATAGACCTTATGCTTGGAAGCTTGCCACCCTTCTCATTGTTCTCGAAGCGTCCACGTGTTTCGGCCGCGTGGTCAGAATAGTGGCGGACTTAGAGGGGTTGGAGGAGAGGGGGGAAAGGGGTCGAATTGTTGTATTACGTGTTTGAGACATGTACTCTCAAACCCCCCCCCCCCCCCCCCCCCCCCCGCCTCTCTGGAAACCCCTCCACCGCCTTTGAGAGTATTGCGAGAACCAACAGATGACACTCAGAAAAGGTGTGGTGCTGAACCAGCCATTCTACGGTTCCAAGATACATTTTACCTTCACAGATAACACCGTCACCACTTTTAGTTTGTACGCTTGGCTGATCCACTCCCAAAGGTTAGTTCACAATTTTGCGTATGACTATGACCGAGTGCCTTGTGATCTCTTGTGACCGCTTCCGGTGAGAGAACACAGCAAAGATCAGTGGAACACACTGGCGCCATCACCCTGGTAGCCCTGGAACTGCCATTGACAAGACAGAAAATGTGTTGCAGTATATATATTTATATCAAAGTAACGCAGCAGCTATAAGAAAATATAGACTATAACATCGGCAATAAGTATTTCGAGCCCACAATAATAATAAAAAAAAAACTAAGGAACTGAACGTAGATTGCAAGTGTTCCACAGGTTTACCCGATAGATGGCGCTAGTGTGGTCTCGTCGTGCGAGGTCACAACCGAGATCACAAATGTGTAAACCAGCTAGAACATTCTCCTTTGCAGTATGATTGTAATGTGGAATGATTTCTAATTGGCTTTAAGAACAAAAAAAAAACACTTTTGGCCAATTACAGCTCTCATTGTTTATTTTAAATTGGATTAAACCTGTTATACCGTCAGGTGGCGCAGGTAGAGAGAAACCGTTTAATTTCTTTATTTTTAGATCTCACTTAGTAATTGTAATTGTACAAAACACGTTTGGTACACACAAAAGGTACATCATGTCCCTACATTGGCACCAGCTTGTCGTTGGGACACAAGTGGCATCGAACAAAAGATCGATGGGGGTTTAGGGTGGTCTGCGAACATTGAGTGGCTCCGACTGAAACGCAAACTCCACGTAAAAATACTGATGTGCGCTTTTATTATAGAGTGGAAGAAAACTATCAAAGGAAAAAGGGAGTGTGATATTATCTACAGTTCTGTTATTAAACGGGTATTTTCTAGAGAAGTAAAATTCATGACCAAATGCTTACCACAATGAAGTGTCCCGCCAGGACCTCGCATGTCTTGCTTTGCTAGTGAGTTTCCGCACGAAGATTTTTGCTTGTGCACACACGTCTAGGGCGCGCACAGGTACAGAATCCCGCGTTGTACTCTTTCACCCAGGTCACTGGATCACTGTCACAAACATGTTATACCCTATGAGCAACAATCAATAGAGTGCCTTAGTCTTTTTGACACCCCCTATATACAAATAGTGGTGTATTGAACAGAACACAAAAACTGGTGTCTCGGCATCAACCACAGATAATTAATTCTATGGCGTAGTCACGTGTGTGTCATCGGTCTTTTGACTAGATTTGGGTCGTCTCACCTTTAGTAATAGCTTTTGTACGTTCCACGTGGTAAAATGTCTATCTGATGCTGCGGCCACGTTCGATATATTGTCAATGCAACCATATTGTCTAAGTCGTGTTAGCCGTCGTATTGGGGCCATCAGTTGGTCTGTCAGTTCATAGCCTCCTGTATATGGCAAGTGTAAATAAACCAGTTTTGTATATTAATCAACATATTTTAAACATTTCTAAGCACCTTTTGTGCAGCGCCGTACATATTTATTTCTTTATTTATTTTATTTATACATACCCCTGGGCGATAGACAGCTCAACGCACCTATTGTGCGCTGGGCTGCATACAAAGTTTGCGTTTGCAAAATTCTGAAACGAAAACACACCATGACAGCTGGTGGCGAAGGGGAAACAAATAATAGGGCATAGAGTTTTTACACAACAATTTTCTGAGCATTTCACATTGTACCTAGTACCAAAAGAATGTTTCTCCAGTAACCCAGAACACCCGATCGAAAAAAAATATAAATGCGCAAAAGCGATTTTCTTGTCTTTCGTCATATACGCTACACTTAGTGACAATAAAGGAAAGGTTAAACACATGCCTAGCAACCTACGAATTGCAGTAGAATTGATATGCTTAATCACATGAGCTTTCTGGGAGTTGCTAAATATATTGCTCATGGCTGCGAACAAAAAGTAGATAAAATCTTAAGCGTTCTCAGCGTGTCCATATATATAATTAAGGGGCTTCTCGCAGATAAGCTGTTTATTGTACCGACCTGTCCCAAGAGTTACAAGAAGTATGACCAACCTAGGCCCAAGTTGAGAGACGCTATCGTCATTACGACGAAATCATCACTTGTAAGCGTACTCTTGCCGTGTGAGGGTCCACAGGTGCTTGTCAAGTCCACAGGAGGTCGCTAGTACGACCTTTTCCCTAAGTGGACAGGACCGGGAAACGCTCTTCAATTAAAGTTACTGACACCGCACTGAATGCAAGAAACATGCGTCACGAATCATTCCGGTTTGACCCCAAGCCATAAATTTAGGAACGACAACGTTGGCGGCCTCGAAAGTCAATGAAGAGTTTTAGAAAATTATTTTCGAAGGTCCAATACTGCTCCGGCACGAACTTCAAGACATGCCTTGAAGTGGCAACGCAAGCTGCCGACACCAGTATCGTTCCACAAAAGATCGCCTGCCAAAACCCTTAAAAAAAGCAAAAAGAAGTGAAACAAAAAATACACTTTTTGATAAGTTGCTCAACCACGAAGGAGCAACGTAACGACACTCAACAAGTGTCGTTATATGAGCTGTAAGTGCTAGCTTCTGCAACTGTAACTGTTATCAAGCAAAAATCCATAACCAATGCCACTTCATACGCATTTGTTATAATGCGTATGAAGTGTTCATGCGTACGGGAACATCTTATTTTGGTTATTCATACAGATGGTGCGAGCGTTTGCAGCTCGTGTACTTACGTTCCCAGCATGCTCCTTGGTGCTCGGGTAATCTGGCCAACTGTCTGCGACAGCCTTGAAAGTTAGCGGAGCGCCTGTTATTTGGGCACGCTGTGCTTTTCAAGCGCAGCGTGTCACCTGGTCATGCCTGTGACTCGAAGCGCTTGTTGTTTATAGTATTTGTCCTGTTGTGGATCACTGGGTGTTGTCAAATGACATTTATTATTGGCGTAAAAGTGTAAAGCAGTAATCTCCCCCTGCTAATCATCACTCGATGATCGAGGCAGCTTTTGCATCTTATCGCCTAAGTATAACATGACAATGCCGTTGAATGGCCGAATAAAATAATGATTAAATCTTTCGAAATCTACAAAAGCCACCAATTATTCGCACATCAGATGTGCGAATAATTGGTGGAAAAAATGTATTCAACAAATATATATATATATATATATATATATATATATATATATATATATATATATATATATATATATATATATATATATATTTCGAAATTTCAGTTTTTTCTTATTGTTCAGACTCAATTTTTGGTTCGCTCCACGATTGGCTTTGAGGTCAAACTAAAGTGGTTCGGGCCTTTCTTGTATGTCTAAACTGGTCAGCAACTTTGGACGGCTGAGATCTGCTTTTAAGTGGTGGTGTCTCTCAAGAAAAGGTGCTAGGATTAAATAGTACGTGCCTACCAAGATACCATGAGGACCAAACCTATTTGGACAGAGCAAAGAATCCGTGCAATAACTGGTCACTTTCGTCATATGGCGTCACGACCTGCATTTTTTCGTTGTGTGCCATAGATAACAACGAAAATGGGGACGGCTGTTAATTTTATCGATGAATTCTCCTGGACCGAAAACAATACATTTTTCTTGATTTAACCTTAAGGTACATCCCTGAAAGCATGAAATGCTTAAAAACTGCTATGTTCACAAACACATGTTCTTCACTGCACAAAAATACATGAAAGTACGTTTCGAGCGGTGTGAGTTAGCCTGCTTTTCTTTTGAGTTGTAGTACTTTGTTGTGTTCTACTACGCTTGGTTGTTGTCTACTTGTGTAACATTCCAGAGGTGTCGTTCCTGCTTCTGTCAGTAGTCTAGCTTCAGAGTCCCCATTGTAAGCGTTCCCTCTACGTTGTGTCAATAAAGAAATATTTGTAGACCCGTCCAGTTCGTTGTCTGTCTTAATTTTACTACCCGGGCCATATATTTGGTACTCTGGATATGAGCCAATACGCGTAATAGCACTTTTCAGTATAAGCATGTATCCTTAGTTGCGGCTTGCATGGTTCTTTTTTTCTTCTGTTTGAGCACATCTTAGCGCAGTCTGCAACTTTTAGCGCGATAAGATGTAGGATTAGAGCACGACAAAGTAATATACTGCTAAGTTCGCACATTTTGTTTTTGTTAATATTGAACAAAATATAAGACACATCGCAGCCAGCGTTTAGCTTAGTATCCTCAGGGAAACAATGTTTGTTAGCAAAATGTTGGCTGCCCATCATCTGTTTTTATTTTTTTTCGAGCTCCTTCTCGGAGAGTTTGCTATTTGCCTGTACTGTTTCTTTAACTTGTTTTTTAAGTGTTTTTAGGCTACTCACACCTATGCACGAAACGAAAAAAACACTATCGAATTAGATTACAAAGTATTTTATCCAGACGTTTTCCGGATTTTCTGCAAGTGAAATTTCTGTATTGTATATTTGTATTTTTTGCGCAAGCACAAACCTATTAAGGGTGTTAGGTAAGACATAAAGACATGTAGGTAACATACGATAAAGTGTAAATTTAATATTTACTACTAGGATAGAGCCAGCCTGGACCTAAGAGAGAGAAACGTGAAAGTACAGTTTCTTTTCTATCTCTGTACTTTCACGTTTTCCTCTCTTAAGTTCAAGCTGGCCCTATCTTATAGTCAATGACAGGTTAAGAGTTCGGGGGACGCTCCTCACAACTCTTTCCACTTTAGTAAAGCGAAGGCTGGAGAGGAGGTTGCCTTCTCTCCTGCGTTTGTTGTGCTTAAGTGAAAAGGGGTGGGAGGAGCCTCCCTTGAACTCTTAACCTGTCACTGACTGTATAGTACCGCGCAGCAACTAGCTCAACTCAAGCCCATTAATATCTGCATTCTGCAGAGTGTCTTGTTGAGAAATTGCTTCAATCGAACTGTCCCAAAATTATAAAGTAAAAAAAAAAAACACGCTTACATCAGTCTGGGTGTAAAAATGACTGGAACAGGAATGTATCCACGGGAACAACAAAGAAATAGAGTTCAAGAATAAAAAGTGCAAACATCTTTCAAAACATCACTCGGACCGTCAATACAGGTATAAGGACAGGATAGTGACTATGAACGAAACATTTTTGAAGCGCACGTTGTGACCACGCTAATAAACGAAATTCAAAAAACTTTAGGCGCATCGGAACTATACGTATACTCCTGTCGTCCAGAGTAGAGTGAACGCGAGTGAATGGCCGCTCTAGTCACCAAGGTCTTAAGAAAAGCAGAGCATGGCTGCTCATGCTCACGCTTCATGCTTCGCGATTTGTTCTTCAGACTTTTTCTAGGTGGGTGCTGCAGTCTGATTGGCTACGAAACGATAACAAGATGCGCGAGATTCGCAACGTTGTGCGTTTCTAAGCTTGTCAGTAACTGTAAAAAGTCAACTCATGCACTGATATTGGCAATAAGTACAGGGGATGGTTAAATTGTTGAATCAGGCTCCTTATAAATGGTGGGTCATTTTGTGAAAAGGCTATAAGGACGCATGTATAGGCTTATTTGATAACATCTTGGTGAGCAAACAGATTGGGCCGGTGACGCAAAGACACAAAACAAAACTAAACAAAAGAAACACTGGTATGGTCGTCTGCAATGACTGAGAGACACGAGAATCAAGGAGTAAGGCCATGGTTGACCTCAGTCACCCTGTTTAAAAAAAAAAAAAAAAACTTTGTAAAAAAAATAAAGTACTCATGACACAGAAGCTTTTGATTGAATTATAAATGTGATAACAAAATCAATAATATTAACGGGTATCCCTTACAAAGAAACAACAACAAACTCGAGCTAATCTAACTGCAGCAGATTTTGATATTCAGCTAAATTCAGCTGAAACTCCTATAGCTCTATTGTGATGCGTCTGCGATGTTGTTATCAAAAGCATTAGAACAAAAGGAACTATAATCTTGTAATTACTATCTTGAACCTTAATCAATATCGTCTCATGGTAGCATTCCGCGCGATGTCCTCGAAGCATACTTTTGAGTCTTAGGATCAGCCAGAAATGGCTTATTTGCCACCAGAGTCACTGGCAGCTTGAGAAAGGCAGGGTGTGGCAAGTCCCGAGCATCTTATGAGCCAATGAAATTGCGGCATTAGCCGTTAAGAACGCTGAACAACCAATCACAAAGCAGAAAGCGTGAAGCCACACTGAATTTCTTAAGCTGCCAGTGACTTATAGGTCCACCATAATCACTGTAAGCATATTGCAACATGCCTTTTTTACGGTTCGCCATTGTCCAACCAACAAATTCGAGGCGAACTTGTGCAAGGTGCAACATAAAAAAAAAAAATCTGCTCTAAAGACGTCTGAAAACGTTTCGGTTCGAGTTACCATAGCCAGCCGGCAACGGCCAGGCGGCGCCAGCAGGGTGAGAGCGCACTGTTATACCCTGTCTCGCTGTTACTTGGCAAAGGGTGAACGATAAGCCCCACATTGCGTGCTGAAGGCTTCGAAACGCGTGGCGTATACGAGCGCAACGCACACATATTGGAACTTGACGCAGCGAAAAGACTGATACTTCTTCGGAGTTGAGGCGCGCTCCGGTGATACGCAGTCACGTTCCGATTGGCCCGCCAGGGCCGTAGCTTTCGCTGTGCTGGCACATTACGCGATCACGGCTTCCTGGGATATCCAGTATTTCTTGCTTCAGACACTAGGCTAAGCGGCGCCATCAGAGTAATAGCTCACATTTGAACAATGCAGCCGCCACTCTCAGGGGTACCCAATATTTCTTGCTTCAGTCGCTAGATGGCGCCAAACCAAACAGCATTGCAGGTTAGAATAGAATAGAATAGAATAGAATAGTTTATTCCAGGTTTCTTTCAAAAATACATTTTCCAGAATCGTCTCACTAAAGCACATGTGTGCTTGTGTGTGAGAACGGGCAGTCCAACTCTACAGGTCTCCCTCCCCCCCCCCCCCCCCCAAACGCATTACTACAGATAAAAAAAAAAAAAAACAAGAAGAAAACAAAAACTAAATTTCAAGAACCCGTGGGGTGTCGTACTGTGGCTCAATAATCATGAACACTTCGCGGATTGAACTTTGCACCGTGCAATCATATCCGTTACATTCATCCCGCGTAAAAAGAAGAAACACCGCATGGAGCAGTAACCAAAAACGACAAGTAACGCTCAACACGGAAAATGTCTATCCGAGCGAAAAACAAAAAATAATGAAAAATATATACATATGTAAAAAAGATACCGTAGACGTTGCTCGTGAATTCCGATAATGAAACGCAAAAGCAACAAGAAAATATTCGAAACTAAATGTTCAACAGCAAAGTCACTACACAAAAACCAACACAAGCAGCGGCCATGAATCAGTAATAAAAAAAAAAGAAAAAGAAGCGACAAAATTGTTTGACATGAGTGACAAGGCGAGATTATGAATAAAATCCAAGGGCCCACTTCCAAAATCAAATCGAACTGCTTTGACACCATTTCAATATTTCTTTTTTCACAGTACGTAACGATTGCATTTCCTGCAAATTGCCAGGAAGTTGGTTAAAGAGATTCGGGACATAATAATTTCTTGATCGTGTTCCATAATTCGTATATACTCTAGGAATATCATATTTCTCGGTCCTCCTAAGCTGTTTTTGTCTGGTTGACTTTGTCTTGTAATCGGTCGTAAAGTAGTTTGACGTGATGATTGTATAGTTCCTCAGATTACCTATCGCCAGAAGATTAAGCTTAAGATTAAGATTAACCCCCAGCTTCCCTAATACCGATCCCTGGGGTACATCGCAGGTGAGGTTGATGGTGTCACTTATACTATCCCTATAGACAGCGTGTTTCTGACCACGTGTTGCTGACAGGAACCTGTAATTTTTCGGTCGTGGTTGTAGCAGCTGTGGCAGCGAGTCGGACTTGCTGGTGCGAAAAGTGGGAAATGGGTGGGAAAGTGTTGTAGGGAAGGGTAAATCCAATTAACTCTCTCGTAAACGGTGAACTGTTGAGCAAATTGAAATGCTACAAGAGTTCCATGTGTCCCTCTAGCGGAGCTTTTTGAAGTCGGCTGACGTAAATATTTGAATTAAAATATTAAAGTAAACATAATAATAAAGCAAAACCTATGTGGTCGAAAGCCTAATCGCACAAAACAACCTTCATGGCAGGGTAGTTGTTAAAGAATTGGCCAGTTCTCTGTGAGGAAAACTATCGCTCGTCGCTTCGCGATCGAGTTCCGATTCGATCTCCATGGGCTTCAGGGATAATCAATTCGTCGTGGTTGCTAGACAAGCCCTGACGTTTTCACGCTGTAGATGCACTGAGAAGCTGACAGCCGTGTCCACCCTCCACACCATATCACGTCAGGCACACGTTTCTCCACTGCCCTCTACGACTCCCGTAGTGTGAAACATTTGACTGCGCAGAAATTACGCCGAGTGTTGTTTGATTAGCGTGCTTCTGCGTCGATTCCAGCGAAGGAAGTCTGAAGAAGGCAGGCTTTACTCAACCTTTCACCGAGGACGTAGTGGACGAGGATGCCGACCACTACAGGGATGACCACACGAAGCTCAAGGTTAGTATACCTCTGTACCACGGACAGCGTAATAAATGCAGGGCGTCCCATACTCCTAATTATAACTCCCTGGCCAACGAGATAGCAACATTACAGAACGCCGGAGAACCAAACACCAAGCAAGGGGCGTCAACAAAATAAGTCACGCCTTGTCTTTCTTAACCTGGTACGGACTCTAAGAGCAGTAGAAGTCCCAAGATGTGACAGGTCCAACTGTTACGTACGACTTTTATTCACCGTGCTCTCGTTGTGTGTATGCAAATATTTATGAAAAATGTTGCAGCTAGTAATTATTTTCTGTCAAGAAAGCCCCCCATATTGGAGAAGGAGACAGACGATGTGTTTTCCCTGCATATTTATGGTGTCGAGCCTTGCATTAAAAATCAGCATTGAAAGCAAGGTCAATTATGTTTTCACTACCGCGCGCCTACCTTACTCGACTAGAGGAAGTTACATATGCATGGCGTCTATTGACGTCCCATCACCGGACATTGGAGTGGCCTTATGCCCCTGAGTGAGTATCTTCTGCAGCCTACATTTCGCACTGTTAAAGTTTTCACCCCGCCAGAACAAGTAGGAATGACCTCCAGTATAGCGCGATAAGGTCATGTGCAAACCATATACATAAAAACGTATGATCACACAGTATGAGCGAACCGTTGTGTGAAAGTGGATCTTTGTGGACATGCTAATCCAAGCAAATGAACTAATGGAGCTTTTGGACGGATCCATCTGTGCGAAAGGTTCTACAGTGCGAAGAGTACTAGGTCAAGTATCGAAAACCTCTGGAAAACAACAGCACACGTACGAGAAAAATTATATTTAGGGTGTATACCATATATGCCTCGAACAACTAAAATGAGGTATCTATATGTCCGCGTACGAAGACCGCTGTCAAGTGCCATGCGTCTTTCCTCGATTATATTCAAAGGATAACACTCTAACTTCGACCTCCATCTTACCTTTCCAGTCACCTTCAGAGTTTTTATTCTTTGCACTGTCCAAATGTTCTATTGTGCGAACACTGACGTTATCCTATATCACATTAATGTAATCAGGGGCGACGTGCGCGTTCCGTTCACTTACCAGGACGAAGAAGGGCAGACGGTGCTGCATTTCGCGGCGTCCCACTCGCACAGCGAGGGATGCTTCTACGCTCTCATCCGCCAAGGCCACGTGCTGCTGGCCGAACGGGACGGCCGCTACCGGACGGCCCGGGACGTAGCCCGGGAGGCGAGCCAGAGGGACAACCTCCTGGACCTGGACCAGTACGTCCTGGACGCGTTCCTGGAGCGCCGCAGTGACCTCCTGAGGGCGCTGGCCCACCAGGGCTACGACCAGCTGCTCAACGCCGTGGACAAGCACGGCCGGGACGTCACCTCCATCGTCACCCAGTTCGAGATGACGGACATGCAATCACTCATGCACGAACTCGCCTACTTCTTCGTAAGTGATGCCTTGAAGCAGGAAGATACGACACAAAAGGACAAGGACACAACAGGGAGACAAACAAAGGTCGATGTTTATTTCTTTGGTGTGCTTCCCTGCTGTGCCCTCGTATTTTGTGCAGTGTTGCTTCCTACTTGTAATCCTTCTCGTGTTAAGATGGAGGCTTGAAAATCATATCAAGATGGGGGTTTCCAGACATGCTAAAATAGAGGCATGGAGGAAGGCTTCATCTTAAAAGAGAATCCTTTTACTTAATTCACTAACCGCTCAGGCCGTACGGGGACAAACCAGCCCAATTGGCACAGCCAAATTAATCTCTGGGTGTTACTTATCTGCACTTCGCTTCGCTCTTTAAACTCATAATTTTGGTTCTTCCTATTTTGGTTTGTTTCTTCTTTTTCGACTTGGTTTGTAGTTCTTCTTTTTCGGCTTGTTCACTTGCAACGTTTGCAAAAAATGATAGATCGTACTTTCATCTACCCTGTCGATAGAGGTTCACCAACTATTCTTCCGTGTAAAAGGCAGAATATTAACTTGCGTGGGAGGTTGCCCACCCCCACGCAAGTACGGGTATGCTAAGTACATAAATTTACTTGCTCTCTAGATTAAAGTGACCGCGCTCACCAGTTGGCCGGCAAAGGCTGCGCATTGGCAACGTCTCCAGTCATAGGTGTAGACTCGTGCCCGGGAGCGGGCTATGATCCTTACCGAGACGCTGTTTACGTGCCATGTAACGAGCTTCTAGTGGTGGGGTGTGAACAAAATAACGCCGACTTTACCTTCAATGACGAAATACATGGGGAATGGAACCCCAGCGTGCTTTTGTTGGCTTCAATCTCCAGTTCTGGCGAAAAGGTAACGCGCAGCACCCCCCCTCTCCCCGGAGAACTTCTCAGCCTGTGTCCCCCCCCCCGGGAAAATGGAGTCTACGCCGCTGTCTCCAGTGCACTTCGAAACAAAGCTAACTGCACTTACACAATGTTAATCGCCCAACATATTCATTGTTTCACTGAGAATCAGAACGTGATCAGCGCTGCAACTGCGACGACTGAGTAACTATTGACTGTAACCAGAAATGATCGAAGTTCATCTGGACAGACTTACACATAAAATCCGTGCGTGCATTTTATATATATATATGTATATATTTCCAAGTTTACGTATAGTATAGTTCCTAGCAGGCTTCGCTTGTTCTTGAAAGTGAGTGATTAATCCTTTCACGAACATGTGGATACGCGCCGTGTCTGTTTCAAAGCGGCAAATATCCCAATTTCTTGCAGAAAGCGCGTGACGAGCTGCATGCGTTTGTCCGGAACGGTTATCTGGAGGGCCTGCAGAACCTGATCAAGAAGGACGCTGGCCTGGTAACCGCAAAGAGTCAGCGCGGACGATGCGCGCTCCACGTGGCCGTGCTAGTCGAGAACCCGGAAATCATCGAACACCTGATCAGGGCCAAGCGAGATGCAGTCCACGTCGCCGACAATGTAACTTGCACCTCTCCAATCTCCCCCGTCCCTCCAATCACAAACAAAACGTCTGAATGTAACGTGATCGAGGTCCACTTTGTATCCCAAGACACTTCATCCAAGGCGGCTGCGTGAGCTCCGTATAAGCACTGATGACATGAAATGTCGTGATGTAGACACTCCTCGGGATGCGCGGTCTTGGGATAAAACATCTTGGAATAAAATGCCTTCGGTATGACGTGTCCAGGAAGAACTGTCCTGGGATCAACTGATCTTGCTCGTGACTGTTTAGAAGTTAACATTACGTTGGATCAATATAGTCTCACAGATTACATACTTTGCTAACTTCGTCGCACTGTCGTGGATGGCGCAAATGTCGAGGCAATTGTCCGAGTCTGATTTGCAAAGATAATGCCTTCGAGACCGAAAACAAACACGCAGTGTTTAATCGGAAATTAAATATCCTGAAGTAGCCATCAATATGGCTGCAAGTCAGTCACGCTCTGATTGGACGCACCTCGCAGATGGGACGAACACCGCTGCATTACGCCATGGCCATGCCACACGTGACCACCATCGGGCAGATTCTGGTCCAGAACGGCGCGTCGCGGACTGCGCGAGATGTCGTAAGTACGAGTCAGCGTCCCTAAATAGGCTACACTTCAAGGGAACGACATTTCTGCAACCTTGATGCTCGTTAATCATTGTTGCCAGTAACCTGAAGCTTTATCTGAAATCGTAGGAGGCGGTTCCTCGTCGTCCAGGACAGCGTTACTAGAACAAAGTCAGTTGACAAGCTTCCTAGAACGCCTGGCGCCTTTTCGTGTGGCGCTTGCGTTCGGTGGCATTCGCTACGCTATCATCCCGCCTGTAAAGCGGTATAGAACCGGTGGAACGTTGGATGCACGTTGCCTGCGGTGAAAAGTGATCATATTGTGTTTTTTTTTTTTTTTTTTTTTTTTTCTAAACATAAAGTTTGCACGAAAGTTTCCGCAAAAGAGCGTCCTTCGAAAATGTTTCCTGTCTGTGGTTGCCCCAGAGGCTTTGCCGCGGTGGTGTCGCTATAGGAACGCGATCCGCTCGTACCTGCTCGCGTGTTGGCATCAGGGAAAGACTGTTTTCGAACGACGGTCTTCCGTGGAGCTTTTCATCTGACAGATCAAAGAACGTTGGTCCAGGAATGTCAGAACAGTCGGCGGCAAAACAAAACGATAACACCTGAGCTTCCTGACGCCGTATCTAAAAATAAAAAGAAGTTAAATTTTTGAAATTTAACGGCGGCCAATTGCGTCCGCTCAGCAAGCACCAAAATGGTGGTGACTTTATGAAAATCGGAGAGAAAATTGCCGATTCTTTAAGCGTATATTAGTCAATGGCTATAGGTAAAGCACTGCAGAAAAGTATGAGATCAACAGTGGAATGCTGTATAGTCCTTAAAAACAGCTATTAAGTGCTCATTTCATAGGTAATCCTTAACATCTGCATCTATTTTTTGTGCGTGTTTGTGTGAATGAAATATAATTTGTGTACTAACCTTTGTTTTTTATATAAAGCAACAGCACCGAATAGTTTGCTTATTTTCAGTTGTTTTATGTCGAGTACCGCATCGCTCCCGAGGCATATTCTGAACTTTCTTTTATACGCCAATGGGTTTTGCGGTGCATAGAAAATCCACAAATTCCGAAAAAAAAAAAGATTGAAAAATATATAAAAACATTGTTTCTATAACTTGTCTCCTTTAATTTAAAATTTCACTGACGTTTCTTTGTGGACTGTTTTATTGTAGAATGTTAACGGCAAAGATCCTAGAGTCAAATGTCTTTCCGACGTTACATTTCAGAAAATGCGTACGCCGAGCTACTTCTTCATCTATAAGCAAGAGATAATGAAGCTCAAAGAAGAAGAGACGGCGGACTAGGATATTCTTCGCACGTCGGATCCAGGATCTACGTGGGGTTATGATGCCGCGCTAACTCACGGCTATCATGCTCTGTTTACGCTTACCGGTACCTGCAGAACACTATAGTGATGTGTTGCAGTCACACCACACGTCTCCAAGCTCAACGACCAGGTGGCAACCAAGAGCCAAGACAGAAGCGGATGCTTGTCGCGCCGACAGAGCGCATAGAGCTCGCGCTGTTTCTGACATTCATACAAACAGTTGTCGTGCTTAGTTCTGGAGATAAAACTAAGCCATGTGTTCTTTATATGATGGAATTGTGCTTGACCAGGGTGATAAAAAGGCAATGAATTTCTTTTTTGCTAGATGTTGGTTAGAGTGGATTCTTGACGTTTATTACTATAACATACGAAAGCAAATTAGTTTTCTTTCAATGCTACTCCGTGTCATCTTGTATATTATATTGGCACATAACCGCCATCATTTAGACACGGCTCTGCAGGCCTCCATGGTACGGCCTGTTGCCTTTCTGCGGTGCCGCGGCTCTCGCACGAGAAAGGTAGGTCATCTAAACTAAAGGATGTGCAGTGAAGGGGAGTGATCACGTGTGCGACGAACCTTCGCTCCCGTAGTTGTTCCCTCATGGTGACCGTGGCCCAGATCACATTTCAACAGCGGTTTTTCAGTTAGTTTTTGTGTGTTTGGTAGTACTTAGTCGACAAAAACAACATACCCTTCGAGGTACTTTCTCTCTCTTCTCTGAGAGGCTGAGTACTCGTTCGTGAAGAACCGGTGGATTTCTGAAAGCCAAAAAGGTAAGACAGCCATTAACAGGAGTAGCGGATGACGCCGGCGATCGGCGCCCGAATGCCGGACCCCTACGTCATTGCTCCTTTTTCGCGATCAGCAGACGACAAACCTGCTCACTCTGATTGGAGGGACAAAGGCAGCTAGCATTTGCGTCCACCCATTGTCCTTGTAATCAGAGGTTGGCACTGTGACGCCACTGTACCCCTGCGCAAGAAACAGACAAACTTTCTCGGAGTATGGGCTCGGACTTTAGGCCTTCGCTGTAATACATCTTAAAAATAGAGTATAGCAATGGCAGCATCAAAGGCAGCGGTAAGACGGGGTGAATTGTGTGTTGCTTCCTAATGATGTTGTACAGATGAACTTGATACTCATATTACGCCTCGGCGGCGCGAACATCGTCGTGCGTAGCGCAGCGTCTCTGAATGAAACCCAAACAAACTGTAGGGCCCTAGCGGGAGTGGAACGCTAAGATTGCGTCTCTTGCGATTTCATTCCGCAGCTTTGATTCTATTATATCTCACTTCCCCGTTTCCTCCGAGGCCTAAGCTTGTTCTCTTCGCCCTCGCCTCCGGCACCTTCTCCCGTCATATGAGGACAACGCTCGCTCAACACACTTTGCAATCCGATACGAGTTAAGAATGCGCCAAATAAACACACGGACGAGCCTCTGCATCGAATCGTTCCGCAGACCAACCAGGACAAACAGTGGTCACGACCTCCGCGATTCCCAGATACGCAAAGTCTCGGAGTCTGTAGCAGGGATTCATGATAATTCAGCCAGAGACTTCTATATGAGCTTATATCACGGGCAATTCCGTCATCGTGCGCCGGTCTCCAAAGAGGAAATAATCGAAAATATTCATATGAAGGTGACCGTATTTGATGGAATGAATCAATGTTTACGAAACCGCTAAAAGACAGCATTTGGCGGCGTATTGGCAATTTTCATCGCGTGTCTTCGAACCTACTTTCACGGCTTTGTCTTTCTACCGCCAGGCGCTGTAAATATTTGATTCGCTCGAGAAATCTGGTGAGCGAACCGGCCGCCACAGCTTTCTGTTCTAGCCGCTAGGTGCCGTCGATTTCGCTGGAGTCACCTAGAGAGCATGTATTACAGAGAGTTTCCAACTATTTGATCGGGGTCACGTTTTTTCCGGGCCGCATTTGCAATACGAGCTGCAAGGAGGTGACGTACACGTTGGTCGTCTGCAAACGTCTCAGACGTTCCTCCTCGCAAAACGAAAACGCAGCGCATGTGCACTTGGAACCGATCGCCGGAGGAGGTGTCCGCCATTAAATTGCAAACGTTTAAGATGAGCCCTCTCTTGAATCTACGCTATCTAGAGTCGCCAATGCGCCAAGCAACTTAGGGAGAGGAGAAGACGAGAGGGGACTTCAGGACGCCGAGGTCTGGTTGGAGCGATTAGTGAGTTGGCAGAGGTACCCGCATCCTCAGGTCAAGCCCCTACCTAACGTTTGCAAAGAATGACGATGTTGATGGTGTGGAATGCACGTTGCAGAAGCACTCTGGAAGCTTTAACACATTCAGCGCTTTAACATGTTAACGTTCTCCACCAAGTAATATTCAGGACTAAAGGCCCTGTCACACTGAGGCAACACGACGGCAACGGCAACACAACACGTTGTCCAACAGTCGGGCAACTTGTTCCTCGCTCCCCATGTTGTCTGACAAACCTGTCACGTCGCGGCAACAGCACGACAACATGGACGACAACTAAAATGTTGCCTCGGAATGTCAGCTTTCGGCAACAAAAACAGCAGTAATTTGTGTTGGACAACGTTTGCTGCCCTGATCGCTGGCTGAGCGAATTTCGGGCCGGCAACACGACAACATAGATAGCTTCGATGGTAGAGCTAGTCCCCTATCAATAACGTGTTACTGAAACAGAGGCTTGGAAAACGTTATTTAACAATAATTAGGACTGGCGTGCAGCTAAAATATGTTCGATTAATGTTTTTGCTTCGTAGTTACGGAAAGCGATTTTCGAAATGGTCTCACCTACGGTCGTGAACGTTCAGACTGGTTTTGAAAATAGAACTGCCGAGACCAGCTCACATTACTGATAGTAAAATAAAATGACATGCCTACTCACCCGCTGATGAAGTATGATACAAATAATCCAGAAAACCAAAGATTAAAAAATCGAAGCACTAAAACGACTATTCTGATCATGATTGTTGATACTTGGAACTTGGAAACAGCCGCTACCAAAGACTGATTTGCTTTAAAAATACCGAGGACGTTTTGGGGAAATGAAGCGATCATTTAGCAGGTGGTAGGCAAGTAGACAGCGTTGAAAAATATTTATTCCAGCGATTGTTATGAAGGCCGATTGCGTCGGTGTCGCAGTTTTGAAGCACTGACAGTTCAGCTCACCACCACGCTACAAAAGACGCTTTGGGGTACTGCCGGTGCTAACTCAATTTTACAGTAGACATAGGAATTGCGGGAAAGAACCGGACAGAAACACTTCATACGGTGACGTAAATCCCGAAAATATATCAGCGATGTAACTTTCCTCGGTTAGGGCTATCTGCTTTGTCAGCGAATGAAGAACATTTCGATAAAATAAAGAGCGGAAAATACTGCCCATGTCAAGTTTTCTAATCACAGTCACTGGTTGATGTAGTACCGTGGTAATTCCCGGCCCTTCGAACGCACTAGCACTTTGTAGTGTCACATTTCCAGCGATTCCGCGCCGCACACGAACGAAGGTAAACAATCAAGATGGCGGAGTGTTCCCCGTGTTATCCTCGCCGTCAGCGCGGTGTGACAGGGTTGTCGGACAACAAATCGGGCAACACGGTTGCCGGGCAGCAGCAACATGTTGCCCGACTGTTTTTGTTGCCGCGATGTGACAGGGTCGCCGGCAACACGACTTTCCCGTGTTGCCGGATAGAGTTGTCCAACTGTTGCCTCAGTGTGACAGGGCCTTAAGTAACTCCACGAGCGAGCCATGCTGCCGAGAACTGGCGCTGCTTCTAAGGAACTCATGACGGGACAGCATTGAAATGGAGCCTTAGAGACTGCCACCAGACGCAATTTTTTTAAACTGTTAATTTGTTTTAAGATTTCATTTCTTGAATTTCCCGCCGGCAGACCAGAAACACTAGTCTAGGCTAATGTTTCTGGGCTGCCGGCACAACATAGACCACATCTAAACAAACAGATAAGCGCCACGATTTCGTTTCCTTACCCCTCTAAGGGTGAACGGAGCACATACTTCTTTCACCACAGTGAGGCGGAAGCTATGAGCTCACCGGAACCAATCAACCACCTTCTTTTCATCGCCTGACCTCTTCTCTATGCGTGGCTATCAACGAGATCGTGGTTACGTGTCGAAAGATACACGCGTGACCGGTTCAACGAACAGGAAGCTTCCATCGTACCTTGGGGGTGAACGGCTTATAGACATGTTCAAAACCAGAGAGGACTGGAGACGCAGATCTCCGCCTTGACAAGGACCCAAAAACGTTTCGTGCGTAGCCTTGGCCTTGTTAAATGAAGACGCTTTTTGTAGTAAAAAAAGACGGGAAGCGAGAAAAGCCGGTGCTGCTCGCGGTACGCATCTTTGTTTTTCCTTAGAGAGTTTATTCGGGAATAAACAAACGAGCAGATTTCGCCACCAGTTTATAGACCGATCTCACCAAGCGTTTGGCGCATGCGCGAGGAGTCATAACTTTAGTTCACGGGAGGCAATCGGCCGTGCACGAGCCTGTTCGTGCCCTGCACGCGCAGAGCTCCAGCGAGGTTGTCGCACGCGCAGAGAGACTAAAGTTCCCTCGATGCATTGCGGCAGCGGTGGCGTAGTCAAACTGGCTGGTGAGATCGGTCTATTGGGAAAGTACGTTCTAAGAAGCACGCGCCATCCCTTTCCTCAGCTGACAACGCGTCTGCCCACCAAACAGCCAGCCCCCTTGTGTGACAATGCAGAATAACTTGGGATCTTCAGGTGCTTTGGAATAATATACCTCGAAAGGAATGACTGGGAATGCGTCAACTAGTGAGCTTGAGCGAAAAAAATTAGACTGCGTCCGAGTCGCAACAAAAACGTTTCATACGACGACTTCTTGTAAGTACCGATACGGACTATACATTATTCAAAATTAGGAAGACGGAATCATAACCCACTTTAACTAAGAACGTTCATTGTTGAGTTAACAGCGAAACCTGTGAGTCGACTGTCTTAGAGTTACATCTAAAGAAGAAGCTATTCATCATGTTTAACATTTCTCTGGTGTATGCCAGCGGAGCGACTGTTCAGTATGGTTCACTTTGAGGCGCATAAGGATGTTGCGGTGTAAACAGAACGATCTAAGTTATTGGTATATATACTGTATATAAATGAGCACATTATTGTCTCAAAGTATTAAAAAATAATGTCAAAGTAATTTCATTACTTGTGGGAAGTAATTGTAATGTAATGTTATTACGTTTATTCTGCGGTAATTTGTAGTGTAGTTCAATTACATTTTCGCATTTTTCAAGAAAGTAATTTGTAATCTAATTAGTTATTTTTAGGTAATTTTGACATCTCCGGTTTATCATGTTAATAAAACCACGGAAGACACAAGATGTGTTAGGGAATATTTCACTATTCCAATATAAACCAGAAAATAAATATTTACACCGTGGCTAATTTAAGGACATTCATTCTGAGAGTTGTCTTTCTCACTGTATTGTCTTGGTCACAATGAGGGGTGGCGTCGTCAGCCTTGTATGTCGCTTGAATAGGCCGCTGGCGGACCGTTGAGTGGACCGACGGCTGGTTCATGGGCTCGGAGACAACTGTTGGGGACCTGAAACTTCTGGTTCCCAGGGATGTTGATGTGCCCGGTCGAAGGAGTTGTCCTCCGCGCCTCAGGTAGTTCAGTCGTCAGGTCGGCACCTTGACTTCAAGAGGCGACGGGGACAGAATTGGGCCTCGTACGTCTGGTAACGTCGACGAATGCCCGCCTAGCTGTACGCAGCTTGGCTTTCTGAGACCGAGCTCTTCTCGCGCCCTTCTCGAGCCCGTCCGATAAACAGCACCATTTCTCAAGCATTTCTTTTCTTACACGCATTTTCTTTTTTGTTTTCATGGTGGATCGACCATCACACCAACGTTCCTTGTTCTAACCTCTTCGACAAGTGCTTTATCTTTATCTGCGAGAGAAGTCAGAGCTTTTTGTGTTTCTCTCCAGCTCGCTCGCTCGAGCCAAGCCTGAACGGACGGAGCATTCGTGCTCGCGCTTCCAGCTTTGCCTTTCTTCGCACATAAGGTGAAACAAAGTATGGCTTTAGGTCTCTCCACTAATCGTTCGAACCAGAGCTCGGCGTTCTGATGTCCCCGTGCGCTCTCATCTCCTCCTCTCCCTCAGTTTCTCGGCGCGTAGGAGGCTCTGGCATTTCCGAAGGACTGAAGAGCTCGCGAGCACAGCTGTGATCGGCGCTCAATGTGCGCGAGCGCACGGTATAGCTTTGGTATAGCTTTGGCTCCATTTCCCCCAAAAAAAGTCCCCAAGTATTGGGCAGGAGATCGAAAAGTCACGCCTCTAGCGGTACGCTTTAACTTGCAGGCTTCTAACTCCGATTCCCTCAGACCCTGTCCCCGGATGAATATGACTCAGCAATACTTCGGCAAAAGGGTTTATAGATTCACTTATTGCCTGGGGGGTTATGTTCGTGATGGGGGAACGGCCATCAGCGAGGCCGGGGAAAGATCCGCTGCCACTGCAGCTGTTCCAAGTCCCAGCGGTGGTCGTCCACACCGCGTATGGGGACGTCGTCGTCCAGGGTCGCCGTCGCTTGTCGAGTCCGCCACTCGACGTAGCGCCCGCACTGCCCCGCGCCAGCGTCCGTCTTCCCGTCGATTCCCGCGCCAGGGCCTTCGTCTCGTGTCGCCGCTGACGCTTCCTGCCGTCCGCCGTCCGAGAGCGTCGCCGTCCAAGAGAAAGCCCTCTTTGTCCTCCGTCCCCTTATCAAGCCTTGGGTCCTTTGTTCCGAAAAGCCAGCCGCGTGACGTCAGTTGGTTAAGGTGTATCCACACGACGGACCAAATTGCTCTTTTGGTCCGCGGGCCGCGCATCATGTGATCTTACGTCACCGGTTTTTGAGGTCCGCCGGCGGTCCGCGGCCCGCGCTTTTGAGAAATGCCAAGCGACTTTTCTCGCCCGGACCTTGGCGGCGGACCGCGGCGTTTTTAGTATAATTGAAGCGCTAAGTCTGGCAACAAGCTGACTTTCGTTGTTTGGATTGAAATCCAAATCCAAAGTCGTTTTCTTTTGGCGCCAACTGTGGAAGACGAAGAAGACGAACCTTTTGTTGTGCGACGATGCAACTTTTTATTTCATCGCGCTCATGGAGCGATTCCCCGCTCTGTGGGACAATAGTCGCGACGACTACCCAAATAATCATCTAAAGATGTCCCCATGCCTTTTTCGGTTCACTTAAGTCGTCCTCGTCCTCAATATTCAACGCCAGGGCCACCTCGGCCAACCGTCTCTTTCGTTCAACCTCCATCTTGGCTCCTTACAAATAGCCTCAAAGCAGCTCGCTGCATGCGTTTGGCGGAGCTGTAAGGTCGAGGGTTAGACCGGCCCGTTCGGTCTGTCGTCTGCTCTTTTGGTCCGCCGTGTGGATGCTCATTGCAGCCGGGCGGCCCGCGGGCCGTGCATCACGTGATCAATCGGTCCGCGGACCGGTCCGTCGTGTGGATACACCTTTAGGGGAACGGTGCAGCCAAATTTTCTGGTTTTTGTTTTTGATCCGAGAAATCGAAGATGACGATCCGAAGACCGCTCCTCGTGCTACTAAAGCACTGCTTAGAGCGAAGCGCTTGTGATCAGACCGTTTCACCTTGTGTTGTACCGCAGGAAAGGCTACAAGTGCGAGCTCCTTTCTCTTTGGCGCACCTCGGCGACACAAGCTCTCGTACACCAAGGGCAGCTGCCACCGCTATGAGCTCGCGCTTCTAGCCTTCGCTGCGGTACAACGTAAGGTGAAAAGGAGTATTGGCGAGGTTCAATTTCTTTCTTAAACCGTGTTGGTAAACACCGGGTTGTGGGGACCACACGCTCCATAAAGCGCCCCCTATAGTTCGATCTCCTGTATACTCCGAATACACGTGCTCGGATGGACAAGGGACCCAAGTGAATGTGTGCAAACGCATCGTTTCTTTTCCTATTTCTTCCTGCGAAAGAAGAATAAAGAAAGAAACAGTTAAAGTTGTTCCTCCCGGTGGTGTGGGAGGCAGGTTCCGCTTCGATGGTCTGGAGCGTGGTGGCACGAACGTCGCTGAGTGACGGGTCGACTCACTGCTTGAATAGAACTATGTGCATTTATTTACACTCTAGTTACAAGTCCCAACTTGGGAAACCATCCTGCCTCGTCTAAAGTCTCGACCCCCGTCCCCAATTTCTCTCCATCAAATCCAAAGTCCGAATCCCTCAAAATCCTCTCCGCGCTCCTTTTGTAGGCCCGTAGGGGCCTCCTTTCCCCTCAGAAACCGACCAATCTCTTCAAATTCCGCCACTCACACGTGGTACACTTTTCTCCAATGGTCGGCGAGCTGTCATTTTGGCGTCCTAACCGCCAAACCCAAACTCCTTGTAGAGTTGTTCTCTGCAATTTTCCCAGCCTGACTGGCGCCAACCGCTAAGTTATTGCATCGGGCAAAAAGAACAATTTTACACTAAGCGGCAAAACCCTCTGCCTACACGCACATTCGGTTATAAGCCACAAGCATCTTCCAGCGCGGGCTCTTTCGGTCCCGGTCCGAGCAGACCCCCGAAACCCGAGACGCTTCTTAACGACCGCAAGGGGGGACCGTTCCCGCACCGCGGCCGCTCTGGCCCCACCGACCCAAACGTAGAAAGCTAAAAAAACACAATGCCGACGCAACTCTGGAAAGATAAACCTTCCTAACCAAAAGAAAACACCTTAATTAATAAGCATGACTTCTAAATACTTAACTGAAACTTTGACGTCCATGTTTATACAGCGTAAGGTCGGTCTGCCTTTGAGGTGCGGCGACACTAGTTTTCTCTGTACCTGAGAAATTTAGTTGGTGCAGTATGATACATATAGTATAATACACTCTGCTACACGACCGCCACTCCGGTACGATGTTTATTCAGTTCGAAACGGGCCGTGGTGTGGACTGAACCCGAGATACCTGGGTTCTGCAGCGTGAGCTTCTACTCCACGTGCTCTGAGCTGCAGTGCCGAAGACGAGGACATATTGCTCCAAGTAAAAGGAAGCAAAAGAAGAGGAGGAGGAGGCGGTGGACCACAGGGGCGTGCGGGCGTGCTCGGCGGCACGAGATCCCCCTGTCGCAGCCAGTGCCATACCAGTGCGACAAAGAACCCTCAGTGCCCCTTAACGCCATGCCTATTCTGTACACGGACGGCGACAGCGGCAGCGCGGACGCCAAGGGAGCCGCCGGCGCCAGTGGGGTGACCAGGTTACCCTTCCGCGATGACTGCCCTTCTAGCGAGAAGAAGCGCCGCAAGAAGAGCGTCATCGGACGCTTTGGACGCGCCGTGGCCAAGTCCTTCAAGACCAACGACAAAGGATCCTCCCGTCACAGGGATGTCGAGCTCGCCAACGAGAAACTCAGGCAGATAAACAGAGGTACCCGCGTCTTGTTACTCCATGGAGCCTTCCGCACGGGGTGTGCGCTGACCTGTAGATCGTTTAAGACCGCAGACCCTATAACATCCTAAAGAAGGTGCGTTATGGTCTGAAAACTATTTACGAAGAAACTTTTGTTCTGCGTTCACGTGTAGCCTCTTTTACAACGAAACATTAAGCAAAAAATGGGCAACCATCTCAAACCTGTAACATTCCCTGGCATTCACTGGACTACATATTTGGGTGAGCTGTTTAGAGCGCATGCTCAGAACGAGCTCACGTTAATAAGCTGCTAAGACCGTCATTCTTCATGGTGCGGAATGCACGTTGCAAAAGAACTGTGGAAGCACGCAGTCAGCACTGGCTCAGCAGTCTCGCACACAGCTATGGCCGCCAATGAATCCAACGTCCCTTGTAATTCCTTTTAAGACATTGGTCAATGGGTCAACGACCCTTGTCAATGGGTCAACGACCCTTTGGAAGTTGACCGATTTACCAATGTCTATGGGTCAATGGGTCATGGCACAGCCAGAGCCGTTTATACTGAGAGAGTTTGGCCGATGGGCGGAGCTTGTTGGCCGCTAGAACCAGCGGATTTCGCGATAACACAATATGGCGTTACTTCTTTGTCTTGTTCATTCCTGTGAAATCGCGTAGAGTTCCTATGAGTCAGATCCACAATATGGCGGACGGAAGTAGTCATCCCCCGGTTGTCAGACTACGCTGCTGTGGTTGTCAGACTGCCAAAATCTCCTTAAGAAGGCCAAACTCTCTCAGTATAAACGGCTCTGGGCACAGCCATTTTCTAACCCCACTCAAGCTATCACTAATGGTGGACCATTGTCGCGGCTGCGTCGCACAGTTCTTACTACGGAATGACGATCTTCTCGATAATCTGCATCCCGAGACTCACATTATGACAAAATAACGTTTCACGTCATGCGTGTCATGCTTCGAACATTTTTTTTATTCGTTTCACACTACTTCCGCAGTGGTCCAACGCTATCAAAGCTACTTGCGTGAGTCGCCTCGTTTGGTGTCTCCTACGCGCAAGAGCGTGTACGAATGAGGCGCAAAACGAAGCCACATGCTCCAGCAGCAGCACGGGGCTTCTCGTATACTGTGCTAGGCGCTAGCCTAGCACAGCATACGAGAAGCCCTGTGCTGCATAGAAGCCCTGTGCTGCATAGAAGCCCTGTGCTGCATAGAAGCCCTGTGCTGCATAGAACAAGACATTTGACACCGAGTATAACAATTTTATAGTCACTTTCTTTGTAAGATCTAGAAATATTTGGTAAAAGTCTCCTTCACTGTCCACAACAGTATCACGGCAACCAGTTTATTTACCGTAAAATATTGTGCTATATATTCTGTCGCTACCATGTTTTTTATAGGGTACTTTTTATATCTAACAAAATCTACGACATTTACGATGATGAAGCAGATTTTCTCTATGTAGCGGGCGAGCACAGTAGATTACTTCCATAAATCCGTCACCGCGAGCGTCAATTGCATTCTGGGAACCCAGAATGCAACGCTTTCCGGGCCAGGAGCGGAGTGCGTATGGATTTTGCCTCTCACTGATTCCCACAATGCATAACGTGGCATTACGTCGTGATGAGGCACTTCAGGTTTTGGAACGAGTCTATAGAACCGTCATGCCCTAGCCATAATTATATAGAAAAAAGAAGCTTTAAAAATATTATCGTCCACTGTCTAGAATCCTGAGCCACCGTTGGATGGATGGATAGGTGGATGGATGGAGGCTGGACCCTTTTAATCGGGCTTCGGCTTGCGCCACCTAACCAGTGTTTTTTTCTTATTTTTTCCCTGTAACATTCTTCTAACATTGAAATATGTATCCAGAGATTCTTAAGAGCTACGATCCGTAGGACGGAGGTGCCTTTATGTAACCGGGTGCCCACACATTCCGCCCTACGGGTTGCCTAAAAGGGAGTAAGAAAAGATGCCTCCTTCGTTCGCCCTTTGCCACCAGTCCCAGGACCTCAACCCTCGACCTACGCCACCATGTGTTCCAGTCTCGTGCCATCCGGTGACTCAAATACCAGCTTAACTTTTGCTTTACTAATGGTGATGATGAAACCGCGTTTCTTCAGGCACTGCCACTATGGCACGTCAAGGGCAGATGAGAATAAGTTCTTCGCCTTATAGCATCTCGTACTTTCTTTATTTGTTTTAATTTCGAGGGTGTCAACAAAACAAAACAAACTGACCAGTACGAAGCGGCGACTCATAGACCCTTTCATAAAAATACCGAAAAGTCTAAGCCCACTTCGTGCAAAAAAAAAAAAAAATGTTTCACTGAAGTAATCGCTGACGCAGTACTTGCATCTAATTCGTGCGAAGGACTTTACTAACGTTCCTAATTTTGACGTCTTGGATCCTCCGTTTAGGAGCGACTTCAACTTCTTTATTTATCAGCCAACATAAAGCCGCCATTTGTTTGGCACAAATACCGTACACTCAAACGATGATAGTGATCAAAGTGACCGGTCTGGAATTCGGGACCGGTCTATTCACCCACTCCTATCACTTCCTTGAGGTGTCCGCAAATTGCCACCACGCACTGTCAACTCAGCCGTGAAGACGCAAGTATGTAGTGCCGAGATAAAGCTGTTTTACGAGAACTTTAGCATGGTTTATGACTTATTACTCTAAGGTTTAACAAAAGGCAACTCTAAAATATATATTTATAGACACAGCTTTTTTCCTAATTCCGAACACCCTTGTTCCACTGGACAGCCGACGAGTTCCGGAAAACGACGAGGACTTCCACCGCCATCACGAAAAGATCGGCGCCTACCTTGGGGGAACGTCATCGTGACCTCGCGGGCAGATTCTCGGAGGGCGGAAAAAGTAACTCTGGTACGATGTTTTACACGTAGCGATATTAAATACAACTCAAACGATAATAACGAATAACGTGGCAGTTAGAAGGAACTGTCTGTAGTCAACAAATTTACAGCAGGCTTCAATGAACCCCATTCCCCTAAAGCCCATAGGTGTGTTAGTGCTTGCCTTACAAGTAGCGTCAAATTCTTTAAGGTCTCATGCGGCCGGCTGACGCTCGGTGACAAGGAAGCGTGCGATTGTTGTTGATGACGCCTCCTGAAAAAATTATGAGCTGGCATCTCAGACGATTTGAATCTGCAGGAACGGTGGCTAACCTCTTTACAAACAGTCTGACTGCAGAGCCAAGATTAATGCATACAATTTTACAGTCCGTGGAACAGTGGTATCACGTGCCTTCCTGAGTGGCGCCATGCAAGTAATGAGTGGACGTATATTGCTTTAATATACACATAGAATATTATGAGCATAAAAATTAATATCAATACGATGGTCTTAGACCATGTGGTTGGGGGGAATCAGCGTACGGTGACACAGGTGCATTCTGTGAAATGAGAAATTCATCAGCTGCATTGTGATTGCTAACTAGTGAACGCGCAACACGCAGCGGTGATACACCGGTAGGAATCAGTTCATCGAACGACGTTTCCTCGACAGATCGTTTCATCAACAACTCGAACTAGTGTTGTTTTTTTTTTTTTTTTTTTTGTGTTTTTTTTTTTGGGGGGGGGGGGGGGGTTAATAACCTGCACGAGACTGTCGCCGCGAAGCGACCTGTACGGGTCGGTTAGGTGGGTTAACATTTTTATAATGTGCAGCCGCAGGCTGTCACCGCGAAGTGGTGTGAACGCAGGCGGGAGTGTGGGTTAACGCGCACTTCACTGATACACGCGTGGCGAAACGACCCTGCAGCGTGAAATTCGCGTAACGAGTGCCGATGAAACGTTCGTGTCGACGAAACGAGTCCATGAAAAGTTGTCCACGAAACGTACTTCCGCGAAACGAATTTCGACGAAACAATAGGGACCCCCCGGCGAAAAGAGCAGGCTACAGGCCGCGCGAACAACGTTGCGAAACTCGTAAAGCACACTCACGCACTCAGACAATGCGTTGTCATGTGCTTTACTGCAACACTCCTGCCAGCCAGCACGCGCGAACAGCCTCCCAATCGCTACGAACGACGAACCGCGCGTACCAGCGAGCTCGCGACATGACACAAGGTTCAAACGAGTACCGGACATGAGCTTTCAATTCTGAGAAGAACGTCAAACACGGACTGAGATAGCGGCGACCGTCATTGAACCCGAAAGTTTAAAGCGACGCAAATCCGTGATTTCGTTCCTTTCGAGGAAATAAGTGTCAAAAATACGAACGCATATATGACAGTCCCCAATCAATGTTAATAAAAAGAGCAGAACAAACTCACCGTTTTGATAACAACAATGTAGTTTAACGTAGAACAGTCGCAACCGCAAAAATCACCAAGCGCCTTTACCCCTCGACAAAACAGGCGCGGTAGCAAAACAAGGAAAACAAGCGAGCGGAGATGGGTAGATGAAGAGATAGCGGTAGTGTGATTGTACTAGACAAAAATCTCACCTCGAGCCTTTTCGACTATGCGGTAACTAGCGCCACCTCGTTTCAGATCCTTTATTATAAGTTGTTTAACAGTGCAATAAATGATATTTTAAAGAGTGAGAACCGTTGTCTATTAGTCTAAACCAAATAAGACAATTTTCAGCTTGTTGCAAACAACTTTTGTTGTTGTTTACAGAATCGTAACTTTAGATTTACGGACAAGTCAACCGTATTTCAGATTACGGATGCTTCTCCGTAGCTTTTAATGAGAAGTTCTACGTTTTTTTACGGAACGTTTTTACCGTGTAGGAAGCAAATGGCGGCGCGGCACTGAAATGAACTACCCTTATATGGGAGTGGCGGCTGAGCACTCGCTCGTGGCACGTATGTCTCGCTTAGGCGCAACAATGGTTTTTGGTACTTGTCAGAAATGCGAAGCGTGAATTTTATCAAAGGGTTTACTTTTCCTCTGAAGGAGCTTGATGGAGTCCACGCTTCGCGTTTCTTACAAGTGTTGGCAATCATTGTTGTCCGAACGTGCGAGACACGTGCCACGAGCGAGTGTTGCTCTGCCTGTCGCACCCAGAGATCGCTCATTATCATTATCATTCGTTTTTTGTTGAGGGGGGGGGGGGGGGGGGTGTTTGATGACCTATCGCCATCTGTTGGATTAAAACAACACCATTTTCCGAAGCTCGGTAGTTTAATCACGTGACCAACTGCCGCAATGTGTTTTTTTTCTTCTTTTTAGTTACAACAGTCTAGTGTAAAAAGTGCTAATCTCTTGCGCTAGGAATTAAAACATTAATTCTGCTTTAGAGGCTACATGAATATACGCCTGCATATAAATAACAGCACGCATCGGAACAATGCCCCGTTGTAAAACAAGCTCTCACTCCGTGCTTGCACGCCAGCAATCAGAATCGGCACCAGGGGTATCCACTCAACACGACGCCGCAGCAGATACTCGAGAATAAACTCGATCCTCTCCTCCTCATCATCATAATAATAATAATAATAATGATAATAAATCAATCGGTGTTTATTACAGTGTCCAGGAGCAACCTTGCGGTCTTGGTGCGGGCGCACTTCAAACTACAAACTAATAAAAAATACAAAAAAAAAAAAAACAATTTGCGCAAAACCCCAAAAATAGAGAGGGGTAACAAAGTTAGGAATTCTATCCTGGTGAGAATCATGTGTTCGAAAGAAAGTTGAAGCGTGCAAAGTAAAGGCGAAGCAACGAGAAATCTGCAACGCAATAATAATAATAATAATAATAATAATAATAATAATAATAATAATTTTATTCCACAATAGTCAGAGGCTCGTTACAGATACGGGTGCGTCCTAAGCCAAGAGAGGCTTGTGGGTCGGTACCCGGCCAGCCAAGACGACAAATTCATAGAAAGCAAGAAAGGTAACGTAAAAACAATGGTACAATGCTAATTAGGCTTCACGTTGGTCAACATTTTCTTCAGTTGTCTTTTTTGTATTAGTCTTAAAATTTCTATCTGGAAGTTTGTCAACGATAGTAGGAGCGAACTCTCATTCCATAACACGTCAAACATCAGGGGGCTGAAAAACCAAGAAAATTAAAAGGAAGATCCATTGGTGGATGTGGGAATTGGATCCCTTGGGAATGCGATTGCATGACCCCTGGGAACCGCCACACGCGTGCCCTTTTTGGAAACGCTAACGCTGAACCCTTCACTTTTTTGTTCTGGCTTTCTCTTTTGCTTCCTCTATTTTTTGCTACCTCTTTTTGGCTTCGTTACGGGGTCAGCGTTAGAGTTTCCCAAATGGGGGCGTGTGTGGCGTTTCCCAAGGGTTACACTAACGCATTCCATAAGGATCCACCAATGAATCTTCCTTTAGTTTTGAAGGTTGTTTGAGGGTTTCTTTAGAAAATCTCTTTTGAAAGGGTGTTTTCTGATGTATGCTGTGTATATTTTCTTTTTTTTTTTTAGAACACCTTTGATCACGCTCCGTCTTCTTTTGCCGCCTACTTAGACCAGCGCTAGTACTTCATTCGCACTTTGTAGCACAAACCAAGGCATGTACGCGCTCCACACACCTGCAAGTTCAGACTCGTCCCAGCATCCGCACGCGCATTGGCTTCCGCCCCGTGACGTCACCTCCCTCTCGCCCTCATCTTTCCCTACTCTCCTCCTCTCTACACGGCGCGCTTCCCTCTCCACTGTTTTGTTCGCAGACGGACGCCGTCAACTTTTCCGTGTCATGTAAATACTAATGTTAACGCATCAAAAAAAAAAAAAAAAAAAAGTCGCCGGCTTGAACTATTGTTTGAAATAAAATCGCACATTTATCTCGCAGAATGCACGAAAGAGGTGCTGCGATATCGAGAGGTGTCCCCCGTCGTGACGAGGCATCCACATGGGATCACAGTGGTGGCCGGCGTCCGGACAAGGGGACATTCGGAACCCAAGTAAGCACTCCGCCGACTAGAGTCGCTGCTTATGCGCAGGGTATCTTCCCTCCATTCGTCGAGTTTCTTGCAGGCAACGCCGTTTTTGGTCGCTTAGTACAAGCAAACGCAATTGGGGATCCCCGATTCTGAAATGCGACTGCCCGTGCTTCGGATACGGTGTCGGGAAGCTCAGGAGATATCGTTTCTCTCTGTCGCGGACTGTTTAAACATTAGAGAGTTTTAAGGAACTTTAAGAGAGTTTTAAGGAAACCGATCCATAAAACCCTTAATTGTTGGAGTACGGATAACCGTTACCTGCGTTTTCAAATAAAACTTCAGAAACAAACAATTATTTTTTGAGTATCGAAATAGTCGAAGTGTCGTCCCTCTGTAGCGCAGCCTATTTAGTGACTCTAGCTTGACACGTACGACACGTATACAATACAGTCCAACCTCCAGAGTGGCTTGTCCTTTTCTTCTTCTTTCTTTTTCCCCATGGCGACCCAGGAACTTCCAGGAGGACAGCGGCAGTCTCAGCATGCACCTGCACCACAGCGAAGGTCCCCGGATGAATGTAGCCATCCTCAGGCAAGAAGTGGAGGAGTCATTCGCCGTCATCGAAGCGGAAAGCCCCGTACCGTCGTCTTCCATGTCGACGGCAAACATCAGCATGTCCAGTGAGGAAACGAAACATTTTTTTTTCGTCTGTTAGTGATTATAATGCGTCATAAACGACCCTAATATTAATGTAAAGTACAACAGATTGAGCGTAAGTAACAGGCCGAACGTTGGCACTCGTACTTTACATGTGGCCCGCGCTGGCCCTCGTAGGCGATGCATAAAATTCTGCACTACGGATCTCCATCGATACTTCGTTTCACCGTAAGTTCGAGCACGGCCAAGGCCTAGAGGACAAACAAGCGCATGCACAGAGGCGGATGAACGCGCACGGCAAGACCGCGAACGCCGTGACGTTGCGTTCTCTGCACCGCTTGATTAGAGAGTTTGGACTTTCCGCTGGGCCGGTTGGGACTTCCCGCTGGGCCGTAATCTGGCAACCACGACGGTAAGTAAGAGGGGTAAGAATTAAGATGGTCGTGGGGAGGGATGTGGATCGTTGTCAACAGAGAGGATAAAGTTATGGCGGGAACTGTTGTCACTGACAGCATAGGAAACGCGTAACATATTGTGATCATCTTGATTCGTGGGCTGAGCAGACTGCTTTAGTGGAAAAGAGAGTGAAAGAGGCAGAAAAAAAAATACGGGAGGTCAGAGTGGTAGAAAAATTCAGATCTAACAATGTACAGGACACAAAAAAAAAACAGGACATAAGAAAGAAAAATATTTTTGAAAATTCACTGGGAGAACGGGAGTTTGAAAGACGAGGACGTATAGGGCTAAATTTCAGGAGACAGACAGATATGTGCTGCCTGCAATAATGAAAGCGAGACACTAGATCACTCGGTTTTAAAATACACGGGGCTTTGCCCTGCCCTCCCTGAAAGTGTAACAGGTTTGGCCGGGGACTTGGGTTTCGCTAGCGATGATGGAAGGACGGCCGAGGAAGAGATTTCACTCACAAAGAGGCCATTAAAGATTGGTAGAAATTATCTAGGGGGAAACTGAATTATACACACCTAACTAGCGCAGCTGAGAATAGGCGGGACAGAGGAAAATTGGGACCCCCCCTAGTAAGTAATTAGTAATGCTAGTAATTTAACTTCAGGGGTTGCGAATTTAAGTGGTCGTTTTAGTTGTCAGAGTTCGTTTGTAGCTATTGAGGTAACAGAAGCAATGTGGGAGTTCCAGGACAAGTTATTCGAAATGGTGATTCCCAGATACTTGTGCTCTGGGACGCTGTTAAGTGTACGTCCGTCTACGCTGTAGCTAAAAAGGTAAGGGTATTTCTTCAGTGATATGAACATAGTTGCACACTCGAAGGGGTTTAAATTCATTTGCCAAAATGGCAAAGGGTATAGCCATTAACATCCATCCATTCATCCATCTATCCACAATGCTCGGTAAAGTGGGCCGGTTGAACTCCAGCCTTCTGCTGATGAGTGTAGATCGTCTGATAGTCAAGTCTGGATAGATGGATGCTAACGGCGGCGCCATTTCTAGCGGGCGGCGGCTTGAGCCACCTAGTCTAGAAGCTAAGAACCGAAAGTATGATTCCTCCCTTCGCCCTTCTAAGCCAAGTTGCTTACCCTCTGCAATTTTGTATTGTAACTATCACAAGGCGGTGTGGGATATTACCAGGGTTACCTTCGGGGGATCGAACCCAAAATCTACCCCCCCCCCCCCCCCCGGCGCTCTTTCCCCCTGGTGAGGAAGTCGCCTATTTTAATTTGGTCAAACCGTGTTGGTGTTACCCTAGCACCGGGCCTAGTGGGAGACAGTAGTGACAATGCACACACCTTGCTTAGGTTTGTCCACTGTCACGTATCCACTGTTTGTTGGGGCACCAGTCTATCGATAGACTGGTGCCCCAACAAAGCCTTTTCTACGCACAGGTGACCAGACCATCTTTTGAAGCGTGGTTTCTTACGAGCCTGCAGTCGTTCGGCATGTAGAAATATGATAAAGTTTTTTAACCACGAACCCAGACGCTCCTGGCGCGTTCACTCTTTCGTGACGTTAGGCGCGGTCTACCGGCGCGTAGAGGAGAGGACGACAGTGAGGCTACTCTACGCCAACGCGCTCCTCCCAACAGACGAGGACCTGGCCTCTCTGGGCGCCCAGCAGTCTGGCACCCCTGCGGTGCTGGAGTGCGGCCAGATGCAGGAAATCAAGCTGCACAAGTCGGCCGGTGGAGATGACTGCATCCAACAGCGCTCCGTCAGCAAGAACACCACCCTGCCCGACCTCAGGTAAACTAGCTATAATGGAGATATGGGAGAGTGTCTACATCGTAATAATACTAAAAGCGCCAGGAAACAAGAGTTAGAATAAGGGGGTGCAATATTTATTTTTATATAGTCCATGTTCTTTGGCAATGCATAGTGAAAAAGAAAACGTCTGCACCTATGTAGTTGAAGAAATGTTAAGAAGCCAGTCCGCCTCCGACACGCGCTCGATGCTTTCCGCCGGAGCTTTGGCTGCGCGTGAGGCGAAGTGTTGCTAGAGGCACAGAGCTCGCGTTCGAGGCTGAGTCTCCACTGGGTTTTTAACACTGATCCCTAGTGTAGCCGGCTGGATCGCGAATCGGGAGCCCGTAGGTGGCGCCACCGGCGGCCTTTGCTCGACACGAGGCAATACACTAGTGATGCAAAACTATCGATAAATTGACTATCGACACTATCAATAGTTTTTCCAAAACTATCGAAAAACTATCGATAGCTTTTCGATAGTGGACTATCGATAGTACCATTGATATTTTTTCCCATCGATAACACTATCGATGGTATCAATAGTCACCAGAAATCTGACTATCAATAGCAAAAAAAAATATCGATAGTGCTATCAATAGCAAAAAATATATATCGATAGTGGTGGTGTCAAGCGTTGCTGCCATTAGCTGGTGTCAAGGGATAGCTGCCAGTGGTTTTAACCTGTCACTGACTATAGTTAGCCTCACACGGAACGCGGGGATCCAGTCAATGCAATATTTGAGTTCAGCCCAATGAAAAACGAGGATTCAAACACTTTTTAACCCCTTCCCATCCTAAAAACAAAAAGAAAAAAAAAAAAAAAAAAACGAGATTTGCGTTTAACATGAGCAGCGGCATTCTCAATGTGACGCTTCAGAACTTTTCACTCCGTATTTTTTTTTAGCCCCTTCAATCGCCAAGCTTGCTTTGCATGCTGCTGTGATTCGATGGCTGTCCGCGCAACTGGGGCAGCCATCGAATGGACGCGCAAATATTTTTTTTTAACGCGTCCAGGCACTTGGTATTAAGAATGTCACTAACATTTTGTACAACTTCCAGGTTCGACTGGTTTGGCGAACCTTGAGACTGTTCGCGAAGTTCGACAAAGTTCAACTTATTGACATTGTTGCCCGGCTTCTACACAAAAACTTAAAATTTTGGGAAAAACAAATTAGTTTATTTTATATTTCATACAATGATTGCGTGTGTTTACACGATATAATTTACCAAAGATCGGTACTTTTAAGGGGAAATATGGCCTCAGAATTCATATTATTCAGAAAAAAAGTTTCTTTTCTTTTAAATAATACGTTTATGTTTATTGCATTCCAAAGAATGGTTTCAGAAACTTTCATTTATAAACACGCAGGATTTATTTCACAATAAATTATTTTCGACATGTCGGCAGCCCTCCAAGTCAGCAAGGAGCAAGTTCTTTGATTTTTTTATGTAGCGCTGCTTCATACTTGTTTAGCATAACCTGAACGTCTCACCCTCATTGGAAGTGCCATTTACTCTAGATTTAGTCCGTAGAAGCATTCAAAGATTAAAAGTATCAATGGCCAGGACAACCCTATGCATCCAAACAGTAAAAATTTCGAAAGTTTGGTATGAGCAATCTTATTGGTTGAGACCCGAAACAGGGTCTACGACTGGTCCTGACCGGTGATGTGATATTGTGCCATCGTCAGTTACACCCTTTCACAGTATTTTCCAATTCACATCATATTTCTGCTTTGCTGCTCTTCCTTAGTATGATTTGCCTTTTAGTTTTGCCAGTTTATCTGTCAAGGAATGCCTGCTACAAAAGTTAGCTTGCCTACAAACGACACAAACTGGTAGTTATTGTCAGGCGAACAACGAAGTCTCAAAGAGGAAGGTGCTGACAATGCTCCAGGTGAGTTTTGCCTACCTCGGACTAATAGAAAGGAAAGAAACCTAAAGTTAAAACTTCAAATGCGTTTTTCTCACTTTCACTTTTTGGCTGCAGATGTGGTATCAGAAAATGTATCGTTTGACATTTTGAAAGTGTAAAGATTTCATTAAGCGGTGTCCCAGACTGAAATTTTCAGAGGAACAAGCTAAGGTACTCATAATCTGGAAAAGCTAAATTCTTCACGACAAAAACTGGATATTTTAAAACGCAGAAATTTGTTAAAATCTTTTGCTTCTTTCTGGGTGTTATTGTTTTTCTCTAGAATTGCAATTTCTACAATTAATATTTCATTGACTTGCACCATAAGTATTTTACTTCACATTAAACCAAACATTTTGTGGATTGCAAATATTATTTTTTTAAGATACATTTCCTAATAAAGTTTTTTTTTTCTGGAGCTTGTTAAACATAGTATGTTGTATAATTGACCAACAAGACTGAAACTTTAAATGTCATCAATCCTAATAAGGTTCAATTCACCGAGAAAGTTTGAATAAATTTAAGAAAATGGTTGTAAAGTTGACTCCTCCCAGGCCATGTCCCCCCTTATTGTTTTCGCTAGTGAGTAATGCGAACCAGTGGAACAATACGTGCAACAAATATTGCACACTTCCACCGCCAGACGGAATCAGCTCGTTTTCAAATTTTCGCGCATGCGCACGAAACTTAAACTTCAGTCGAGCTTCTGTCGAACTTCGCCTTACAAGTTTGAGAAAGTCGAACGTGATCAGAAACTCGAGCCTCGGCAGGTTCGCGACATTCCAACTTAATATCCAGTTTAAAGCTTAAAATCAAAAGCCATCGTAAGGTTCGGGCTCCTTGGAATTTTATTACACTACAGTTGCCTACCCAAGCGGGTGACACCAGACGCAGGCTATGATTGATTGATTAACTGCTTTAGGGTACGGTCTCATACTCACGACGCGCTGTGGTACCAGGGTATGATACCGCGTCTCAAGCACAACACATTCTTCAGAGTAACGAGTTACGTACCTGCGGTACCAAGGAATCACAGGTACGAAACTCGTGAGATGTAGACATTGGAGATATCCAAAGATCAAAGATGTCATCTCGTTCACCGGCAGGACAGCCAGTGTGATGGCCGCCATCAGCGCGGAGCACTGCGCCCGTGCCGCGATTCAACTCCAGGACGCCGCAGTGCAGACGGAGCTGAGCTTACGGGACCCCAAGAACCCGCTCTTTTGCCAGGCTCTGCGGAACTTCTTCGCAGCCCTGCGGGACTTCCTTCTCTGCTCTGCGTGCGCCCACAGGGAAGCGACAAACGAATAGCCGCACTCAACACGCAAGGCTCAACGCAACAACCTACATGCGTGGGCTGGCCCTGCCTGTCCTATCGCCTGATTTCCTGGTGTCCTGACACGCGCCGGCGAGTGTGGGCCATTGACAACTCTCCCGCGCTGTGTGCTCCTGCTTGGCTCCTGCGAAGCGCATGGGGAGGCGAGGAGGAGAGCATCTGTTGTCATTGCCAGTTTCTCGGTCGTCGCTCGGGAGCTGACACACCACAAACTTTGTCGTCTGGGTAGAAACTGTGCTGCTGGAGTGGGGGCAAAAAAGAAATGGGGAGGATCGTCGTGGTTGGCGGGACCACCTTGTGTGTTGCTGTTTCTGCGTGTACAATTTAGCTTGAATAAACGTGCAACGTTCCGTGGAATACTCTGAGGCGTCGTCAAGAGCGGTGTTGAAAAGAATGTATACTGTGCCGCTTTTTCTTTTTCCGGCTCACGAAAGCCATGGCGCCGCGAAGAGTAGCAGTTTTTAAGGTGGAGAAGACACAGTGCATGTGTTGCAGTGGCATCGGAGGTGGTTGAGAGATGTGGTTGCGACGTGGAGTGTCTGGAGGTAGGAAAAGGAGGGCGGGGGACATAGGTTTTGTTTTCTGTACTCCGTTTTATACTTAATATATAACGCTGTCAAAGCTGCTGGCGCGATTGCGTGGCTTCATCTATGGTTTTGTTTGCGCGAGAACGCGAGCAGAGAGAGAGAGAGAGAGAGAATAAACGTTTATTAAAGCACCATGGTCCGGTGCCCGACGATAGTTACCACAGGTCCCCCAGTACAGCACGAACATGTTGTACCAGCTCGTGCAGTAGTTGTCGGACGACGAGGTGATGTTGGGGGGCGATCCAGCCTGCCCAGTCAGGGGGTTGGGAATGGGGTGGGAGTGTGGAGAGGAGGACATTAAGTGAGACTTGGACGTGGGGACAACGCCAGAGCATGTGCTCGTTAGAGGGGTATTCCTGGCAGTGGGACATGAAGGAGATCCAGGGAGACTCTGCATGTGATGTCTAAAGTTGTGAGAAGGGAGGTTTGAACTCTGCAAAGGATGGAGGCATCTTGTCTAGTGTAGTTAGTGCCTTCTGTAGAATGTTGAGGTGGTGACAGGGCCACGTCAGGCAGAGTTAATCTGCCTTTTGTCCTGTTACCCTTGACTTAGGGTCTAAATAACACCAATTCAATTCAATTCAATTCAATCATATTCGTCTGACCAAACTTCTGAGGTGTCCGGAGAGGGCCCGTCGTTGCTGAGCGCGTGCGCGCGTACGTTAACATCGATAGCTTCGTGGCCACTGATCCACTCGATAGTTACGTGAAGGGAGGGCCGTTGTGTGAGGTGATCGATAATCTTGATGTTAATGTGCGGGGAGAGTAGATTATGCAAGAAGGCACGGAATGCCGACTGACGGTCCGTCCTGATAAGGATTTCGTCGGTAGGGTGTTGGGGAAGGGTGGTGGTTTCAGATATGGCCAGGGGTTCTGCCAAAGTGGGGTTTGGAACCTGGATGTGTGTCGAGGTGAGTGTGTAATGGGGACTGTAGACGGCGATATGACAGCGCGTTGGGAAATGAAATGCGTCTGTGTAGTAGGTTGCTGTGTGAGGAGGGATCTGCGCACCGCTGATGTGGTGTACTCGCTTTGCGCGACGTGCTTCGTTGTGCTCAACCGACTTGTGTTTAGGGATTAGGAGGACGCGTACGCGTGGGAGGGATGTCCACGGAGCTGCCGGGAAAGGGATGGGGTGTTAGTGCGCGGTGGGATAACCGACAAGTTGTAAGAGTTGCCTGGCCTGTTTGGACGTTTTGAGGCGATCTTGCTGCGCTTGGTGATGAACCGTGATACGGTCTTCGAGAGAATTCAAAAAGGCCTGTAGTTTCGAATAGGTGATTGTTTGCGCATCGGGAGACGTCAAGGGCAAAACGGTGGCTTTTCAGGAAGGATGTGTTTAATTGCTTCATTTGTGTGGATGACAGTTTTTGGTAGGGCAGTTGGTACATGACGCGCGAGTATACAAGGGCCTCGATGGTCTTGCGGAGCTCGTGCTCTTTGAGACCGGCCTGGCGGCGTGTAAATTTGCAGATCATGTGATAGACCTGGTTGATTTATCTCGGGATGAATTGGAGTCATAGATAAGGTTGGCCTGACTGGTGGAGATGGAAGTCGAGCACGGTAATGGACGATTTGTGGGAGATGTCTGCGCCATGAATGGATAGGGAGATCAAACTCCTCCTTCTGTCTGCTCGTTCGGTATGGTCATTGGAGACAACCACGAATTCGAACTTGGTTGCTGAACAGGAGAGACCAATGTTGGTGACGCAGGTCTGAATGGTGTCGAGGCCCTGCTGAATGGTTTGTTCAACCTCCGTGGGAGAGCCTCGTGAACACCAGACAGTAAGGTCGTCAGCGTAGTTGTTATGATGGAGTGTTGGGATATTTTCAAGCTTAGTAGCTAGTAGGTGGATCATAGCAATGTTAAATAACATAAAGGGGAGAAAGGTGAGGTTGGGAAGTATAGTCATTGACTTGAAGTTGTACTGTCCGGTTAGAAAGAACGGCTTGGACGTAATTACGTGAACCAACGTGTAACTGAGAGCGAGAGAGGTTGTGTAGGATAGCAGAGAGGGTGACCATGTCGAAGGCTTTGTAGACGCCCACGGTTGCGATTACGCGGAGTTGGACCGTGCTGGGGAATCGGTAAACGTCCTCGTAGATGCGCATGGCCGTGACTTGGGTAAAGATCTGTGGGCGGATGCCTCTCTGTGTAGGGGCGAAAGCGTCTATGGAGTCGCGGTGCCACTGCTATCTGCTGAGTACCATGTTCTCCATAAGTTTTCCAAAGCAAAAAGTTAAAAATATAGGGCGGAAATTAGCCGCATCCGTTGGCGGTTTGGCTGGCTTGTGGGTAAGGATAACTTGTGCGCCATTCTTGCGGGATGTGGCCGGATTCCCAGGCTTCGTTGATGTAGGAAAGAAGAATGACAAGATAAGTGTCGGAGAGGATGCGTAGCGCAGTGTAAGTGACGCCATTTGTACTCGGGGTGGTTTGTGTTTTGATGTCGCAAAGGGCAGCGAAAAGTTCGGAAAAGCTAATGGGTGAATTGATGCCCTCTCTGTTGCCTGGTTCTGGGGCCAGCAGTGCCGAGTGGAGGAGGAGAGTAACAGTGACGGAGTAGAAGTGTTGAAGGGTGTCGTTTGCTAGACCTTTGCCGGATTGCTGATTACGAATAAGTTTCACGAAGTGGTGGCGCGATTTCGTCTGGCGAAGCAGAGTCCGAAAGATATGCCATACGCGTGCTGTGTGGAGACAACCACTTATCCCGTCGCATGTGTCCAGCCAGTTTTAGGTAGCGAGAAAGCTTAGTCCTGGGCTTTTTGGGTGACGTCTTGAATAGCTGTTTGAAGTCGTTTATTTGTCTTGTATCTCTTCCACCTATGGACTAGTTGGTGCCGTCTGTCCCATGATTAGAAGAGATGGGCGTCCATGTGCGGGTGGTCTTCGGAACGAGCAATGTGCCTCGTATATCGGTGTACGACGTCTAGGACGGTGAAGAACTAGTCTTGGAGGAAGGTTGGAGGTGCCGTGGAATCAGGTTGGGTCCTAACTTTGCCCCATTTGGTTACGCTTGTGTGGGGGACGAGTTTATGAGTGGTGTGTCGATGAAGGATCCTCCCCGACGATAGATGGCTCTCGCCAAGCCCAGAAAACCTGTCCGCGCCGAGGCTATAGGAAGTATTCACTGGCGGCCATAGCTGTGTGCGCGACTGCTGAGCGCGTGCTGATAGCGAGCTTCCGTAGTTCTTTTGTAACGTGCATTCCGCACCCTCAAGATTGCCGGTTTTAGCAGCCTATTAATGTGGGCTCGTTCTGAGCCTGCGCTCTAGACAGCACCCACAAATATGGCGCCCAGTGAATGCTCCTTATTGTATCTGAGAGGAGTGGAATGTATTCCCCCTAGTAAAGTATTTGAGGTCCCACTGGAAGAATTGAATCTCGTGATTTAGATGGAGCAATGTCGCAGTTAGCTTCACGGAAAAGAAAAAAAAAATGACAGCATCTCCACGTGGTGAATGATGTTGATTGGGGCAAAGCTCTGGTGGTGCTGATGATACTGATTTTACGGAACGTGGTTATATACGCATTTGACCGCAGCGCCATCTCGTCTATAAACGTTGAGCCAATGCATGCAAAGTTTAACGCGATTATGCACGCATTTGACCGCAGCGCCCTCTCCTGTATAGACGTTGAGCGGCTACATGCAACGTTTCATCCATGACATCCCCAGCTCTTGAGTTACTACCACATCTCAAAGCCCCCGACTCGTCCCGCAGTCGTGGCCGAGTGGTTAAGGCGATGGACTAGAAATTCATTGGGGTCCCCCCGCACAGGTTCGAATCCCGTTGACTGCGCAAACATGTTTTCTTTTTTTCTTTTTTTTAAAGAAGACAGATGGGATGGCAATCAATGTGCAGTATAGGCTGTGGTGCAGTATAGGCTGTGGGTGCAGTATAATGGTGCAGTATAGGCTGTGGGAAGACAGGCTCGTTGACCTGAGGCTGTAGGCTTCCAGAAAACCAAGCAGCAGATCCACGTCCACTACTGCGTGGTGCACGACAAAAAAAAAAAAAAAACCAGGATAGTGGTTGTACCGCATTGACTAAATTTCTCGCTTACAGCTCAGACACGCCCACTAAGGCACTAATTCCCGGCTGTATAAACATACACACAACAATTTGCTTGTGAACAGAGTCGCCGAGTAAGCCGCAATGCCATCGGAAGCTTTTTTTTTTTTTTTTTTTTTTTTTTTATAATGGGGGAAAAAGAAAAAACCACCTGCGACATACCGGGATCGTTATAGAGGCACCTCTCACCTCTAAATATGACTCCTTCAGCAGTACTTGCTGCTACGATTGTTTCTATACTTCGTCTCACCCTACGATGGACTAAAGGCAGAAGCTACGAACCGCCAGATCCAATCACGAGCCACTTTGACATTGTGTAGTATTTCGTTTCGAAGCACGTATCGGTGCCCACGTCTCGGATGACTGATGGGAATGGGCCGACAGTGGATCGGATCGAGCAATGAGTGACTCAGCAATTTTACATTGCAAAGAAAGCTACGGCTTACTGGCTCATTGCAGTGTCGAAGCTATAAAAATGACTCAGCGTCTGTGGATTCGGACCATTATTTGTCCAAACCTAACCAATGCTAAGCGTGTCATAGTTTAGCGTGGAACGTGATTGGACCCGGCGGCCCGTGGCTTTGGCCTTTAGTCCATCGTAGGATGAGACGAAGTATAGATGGCTTCTCCGGCATTCTGAAGCAGTAAATGTGTCGTCGACACTTTCAGTGGAAGAGCGGGGACGCCATCTTGAACGCAGGGACACGGTATCACGGTCGCGATCACGATAAGGCGACCACGGTACAGCGTTTCAGGAACGTGACGCCGGTGTACGAGTCGCGCATGTACAGTTGGCCCCACGGTAACGGTAGTACGGTAACGGTTTGCAAAAGTCCCTAATAAAATAGGCGCTGGAATTTCGCTGCAAAATCCCGGCAAGTTAGGCTTCACTACCGAAATGGTTGTTAAATATATTCTAAACAAAAATTAGAACAATCGCAAGAAAGTGAACTCAAAATTAACTGTTGGGCTAGTTGGCTACACATTGTATAAAAATTCAAAAGCGCAAACACCAAGGAAAAGAAGAGGGGACAGGACAGAGCGCTCTGTCCTGTCCCCTCTTCTTTTCCTTGGTGTTTGCGCTTTTGAATTTTTATACAAAGTGAACTCGCAGACTTTCGTTTCGAGTGTGGTACCAAAATTTGCTTACAAAAGACAAAATAAAAATACTATATATATTGCAGCTCATTTTATTGAACTATACAGTGTGGCCAGTGTATCTCACGCTGGACGACCGCTCCCTCCGCAAGCTTCGCATGCCACCGGGTCTTTGTCCTTCGTCAGAAGGGTCGTCGTCCCCAGTCCCGCGGCGCCGCTGCAAGTGGCGATGAGCAACTTGGAAGCCAGTGGGATGCCCGCAGCACCCCAGCTTTGCATGGTAGCATACAGGCCTCCCTTCACGACCAGGCCCGGCATCACCGAATTGGTCCAGGCAGCGTACGATCCCGCAACTACGCCGCTAGCTCCGAAACCAAGACTGCTGATCAGGAGGGCAGGGACGGTGAGCCCAGCGGCAGTGGCAGCTGCACGATGCAGGGGCAGTGATACACAAGAACTGGTGCTGACGTGACATGACATGTAGGATGGCTAAGTTCAAAATGAGTTTCCGATTCTTTTACGGCGACAGCCGTTATTAGGGAGCTTTAGTATATCGTTACGATGCCTCCAACAGCGAGTTTTAGTAGACCGTGTTTCCCCCTCCGCTAAGCCCCTCCGCTACCCGGAACTCTACAGCCAAGGCCATCGGCGCGCAGGCGCAGTGGCGGTTTCTTCATAGCGGAGGGGGAAACACGGTCTACTAAAACTCCCTAATAACAGGGAGTTTCCGTAGATCGTTTTCCCTACTCCGCTATGCTCTCCGCAACGAAGACTAGTGTGCATGCGCGCCGCTGGCCTTGACAGTAGAGTTCCGGATCTTGTACCGGATCTTGTTGCAGGTTGCGTTGCAGAACGAAGGAAACGACCTACGAAAACTCTCCGACGATTCCATGCATGCGCAAAGGCGCAAGCGGAGTAGCGGTACCGTTATCAGAACGATCTATACTAAAACTTCACATTAGGGAGTTTTCCTAGACCGCGTCTCCACCTCTCCCAAGCCCTCCTCAACGAAGAAGCCGCTACTGCGCTTGCGTGCCGATGGCCTTGATTGTAAAGTTCCGGATATTAGGGAGTTTTCGTAGAAGGCGTTGCCCCCTCCACTAAGCGTTCCGCAACGAAGAAGTTGCTACTGCGCCTGCGCGCCGATAGCCTTGAATGCGGAGTTCCCGCTATCGTAGCGGGTTGCGGATGGCCTTGCGGGATGGCGAAGACGATCTACGAAAACCCCCTATTGGCAAGGTTTCGCAGCGGATTCCTTGTGTTTTTCGTACACCTACGTCGTGGCGCGTTAAAATTTAGCTGGAAAAATTTTCTGCTAAATTTAGCTGGGAATCAGCGTGTGGCAACACTGTGACCTGTCACATGACCATGTAACGAGGCCATTTTTTTTTCGCTGGTACATCTCTCCGCTAGTCACGTTACGTCACGGTATCACGCGATGTCACGGCGTCACGTGACATCACAGTGCCGCACGTACACCGTCCGCTAAATTTAAGTGTCATCGCTAGTGGTCCCGCGCAGCGCCGCCCTATGCGGAGAGCACGTCGTGTGCTTCTTGCGCAGGAGCTGCGGTGACGTTAGAACGACGCCGATCTCCTATTGGCTGACTGAAAGAAAATAGTGGGTAGACGTCTCAAAACATCTACAGCACTGCAGTCTACCCACTATCCTTTAAATAAAAGCCAATGCTTGTTAATATAGATGAATCCAAAGCTACTGGTCCTGATGGCATCTCCCCTATAGTGTGCGGTAGCGAAAGATCTTTTTGTCATTTTTTCTAAGTCGATACAGGAGGGAAAACTACCTGATGATTGGAAAATAGCCAATTTCGAGCCGGTTTTCAAGGGCGGATCTAAAGGCATTGTTTCGAACTACAAGCCGATCTCGCTTACCCCAGTGTGCTGTAAAATTGTCGAACATGTTTTGTACTCGGCGTTAATGACGCACCTTGTTTTGATAGGCTTTCTGAATGATCAACAGCATGGGTTCCGAAAAGGTTTTTCATGTACGACGCAGTTAATCGAGTTTTATCATGATATTGCCACAGTACTTAATAATAGAGGTCAATTTAATTGTATATTTTTAGATATCAAGAAAGCATTTGATACTGTCTCTCATTCGGTATTACTGCAGAAACTTGAAGTTTTAAATATTGATAATAATGCGATGCACTGGTTAAGAGATTACCTATAGCTTCAAGGCAGCAACAGATCATCGGGTCGTGTTTTTGTAACACCTGGCGTGCCACAAGGGTCTGTGTTGGGACCGCTTCTCTTTCTCATTTATATTGATGATATTTCCCGAGGAATTGAATCAGAAATACGTCTGCCGATGATTGTGAAATTGTACAACGCAGTGTCTGGTGAAACAGATTTCACACAGCTTATGAGAGATGTTAAACGAATGGAATCATGGTGTAGTAACAATAAGATGTCATTGAACGCTATAGCAAGTGTGTTCATGTGTGTATCACTAGAAAACATAATAAATTGACTCATCAGTACTCCATTAACAATGAAAATATTAGAATTGAGCCATCTTATAAATATTTAGGTGTTATATTTTCTGAAGACGGAACATGGACAGCTCAAGTGAACAGTGTCGTTTCCAGGGCAGGCAGGGCTTTAAGTTTCTTACAGCGCAACCTTAAACATGTAAGCAAAGAGCTTAAGGAGGCAGCGTATAAAGCGTATGTTAAACCGATATTAGAGTATGCTTGTCATGTGTGGGATCCGTCTTGCCAGGTTCGTATCAGTGCTATAGAACGTATTCAATCTGTTGCTGCTCGGTTTGTCCTGGAAAGATACGATCGTTCCAGTAGCACAACTGAAATGAAAAAGGAACTGGGATGGGTGCATTTAAATGAACGTCGTAAGAGGCTGCGTCTCAAATTGTTTTACTCGATTTATCACAACCAAACAGGAATTTGTGCTGCAAACTTTCTGCATTCCCCATCTTACCGTTCTGCTCGCAGAGACCATTGTTATAAGGTTCAGCCGTACTTCTCCAGGACAAACATAATGAAACACTTTTTTTTTGCACGAACCATTGCGGAATGGAAATAATTACCGGCGGAAGTGGTGTGCCGCGAGACTGTGGATCTCTTTTTTAATGCATTGTGCCCCCCTGCAAATAATGCCTCTATAGGCGCTGCGGGTTTTTCATGAATACAGAATAAAGAGCTCAGCGTAGTTCTGACGTCATCGCAACTCCTGCGGAAGAAGCGGACGACTTGCTCCCCGCATAGCTTGCGTCAGCCAGTCCGTCTTGCAGCGGCGGCGCTAGCACGCGGCGTCTCCAAGACAGACGCGTTTGCCGCTTTAGTAGGTCCAGAATTTAATTTGAAAAAAAGGGAACTTGCACCGTGTAGCACCCTCCATTTACAACTTCCCGCTCTTCCTTTTTTTGTGGCTTCGATGGGAGAGGCCAACTGATGTGAATTTGCATTCATACCATTCAGCTCGCTTGAGGGGAGAGAATGGTTACCGGACGCAAGCAGACCATAATCCTGATCGCTCTCGGGTCGACGCCGGGGACTTATGCCCGTCTGCTTGGCACTCGAGTTTCCTCCAACGTATCAATGTTATATTCTGTTTTAAGTCATCCGCTAGCAGTATTTGGGATGTGTCACGCTTATTCAGGAGCCGTATTAAGTTAGTTCCCGGACTATTCTCCCTCCGCACGCGCCGAGTCACCAGCCCGTTCATACGCTTCGCGGATGTTGAGTGCCTAGCGCAAATTACTCTTACGTAAATTTCGCAATGTTCAGTTTTAGTTGGCGCTTCTTGGTAATTTAGCAATGTGCAACGAGAACAACTTCTAGTTCGCAGCTGAGGGGCTTTCCGTAGAGTGTTCTGATAAGCGAGCGCATACGAGGATGCCATCGTTGCCCGTGTTTTCGAAGAAAATTATCTGTTAAATTATCGAGCGATCTAAAATCCTTCGACTAAGAGTTTCCCAGAGTCTCCTTTCTTCCTAATTTCCTATGCGTCAGCCTGTCCAGCGAGATGGCTCGATTGAAGCGAATACGCTACTCCTGATATGGGATGGCCACGCCGTGCACGCTTGCAGCGTGCCTCCACCAAACTCTCTCAGCAATGAAACAGCGATCTTGTTTTTCAAACATCTATAGAGGCCGGATGGTTACAAAGAAATAAAATAAGTGAAGCTTGTGCGAGTGGGCTGGCATTAAAAACGGCGCCGGCACTAATCTTTGTCGTAACGTTAGAGCCGTCTATTTCATAACTGAATTGGTTACGAAATAACATCGTGCCAGGCGGCTCTTCGCCAATGGTAAGTTTGCTCGTTTTAATAGATTTAAATTAATTGATTGGCCGTTCCTAACGGCGCTGAGATACCAGCATTCATCGTCATATCATTAGATGAAAATTAATGGAAGATATAAAGACAACAAAGTCAGCTTTTTCATACAAAAAAAGTAACATTTATTAAAGGCATCAAATAATAAATTCATTCACTTCGCGGTTTGGACAAGAAGGCAGGCGAAAATGCTTTACAGATGGGACGTCCCTGTCTTGTGCTGTAATTATTCAGATGACACATTACATGCGAGTTTTCTGTATCAACTAGTTCGCTAGTTTTCTAGTCCATTTGATAAAAAGTTTCCAGATAAAAAAAGCATTCTAACCTTACAAAGACGGGAACCTTCCGTGGGCGTCCACAATTGTCGCGCTTGATTTTATTCAACTATATTTTTCGACATTTCTTTTCTTCTTTCTCTTAAAAAATTGTATTAAAAAAAATCTTTGACGGTTTTGATTAGGACATCCAACCGCACAACAATTGACCATTTTCTGACCAGAAAACCTAAAGATAAGGGTCTGTACGCAGGATACCATGCGGCCCTGCATGTGTGCGCGTTGGCCTGGGATCGGTAATGGTGGACAGGCCCGCGCCGACCCCACGCGTTTTCCGTTGCTAGGCGGTTGCTAGGCCTGACGTCAGTTCTATGGGAAGAGTCTGAGAGGAGCGAAGGTATGGCGGAAGGCCACCGAGGACATTAGATGTCAAGACTCTTCTTCATATGGCTCCGCTCGGGGCCAAACTTCAACGCCATCTATATGTGCAAATTAGTGGTATACACTTACTTGCCTTGTAGTGCACCTAACGGTTTTGGTCGAGAATGGGTTATGAGAGAGATCACAAAAGAACTTTCCTCACTTTCACTAGATGCTGCCCAAGATGAATCCCTCAGAGTCATAGCTAGGCTACAAAACCTGCCTTTGCAGAAAATATTGTAGAAAGACGAGTGGCGTTCACTCTCTCGACTTGCAGACATTATAAGTGGCCATATGACCCAGTGCTTATCACAGCCATGTGCTAGTGTTTTTTTAATGCACAGTGCATGTGCTATGCTCTGGACACGGTTAGAGTTTGGCTATTACCATCACTGCGGCGATTGGACACGAACCGCAACCCAAATGCTCGCCAAAGTATTGATTGAGTCCAAGTCGAGTGCTCACGCAGTACTCCTGCTCGATCCCTGGGACAAATTCGGCTATTGTCACTTAGGGTTATTCCCGTATCAGTGTCATTTGATGCCCACCACTGTGTCACCATTTGCGAAGGAAACTGAAATTGTCCATTTCCATCTTTGAAATTGCACTATGACAAAACAACTACTGGCTCAATGGCGTTGCGTGAGAGTATACAATTGCGTTACACTTGTATATGATGCTCGTGTCAAGTGTATAATATAGTATAGCCAATATCGTTTTATAAGCCATTAATGCACCTCAAAAAGTGACTCGACTAAATTAATCAAATAATTTGTCACCTCAACGTTCCAGCCAAGAGTGTCGGGAATAAACAGGGCATCGCCATAAACATGCTTTATGTTGATATAAAGTCTGCGTTGCTAATACAATGCCCTTACAAAGTTTCAGTTTTGGTGATGCAAAACAGGCGTTGTGTGCAGCCACTAGAGAAGACTTCTGAGAATGACGGCAGGGCCAGACTCAATTTTGACAAGATTTACCTAATTTACAGATTGGGAACAGAGATTACAGTCCCTCCCACCCAACAACAATTGCGTACCTGCACAGCCTCCGACTTTAAGAAGCGTTTTCTGGTCCATCTTTTCCTGCAAGACAACAAGTGTACAATGAATTTAGCGTAGCATGTGTCTCTCGCCCCAAGCCGACTCTAGCCGGCTTCTCGGTTGAACATAGCACTCACTGGAGTCACTGATAGCGTGAGAAGGGCAGAGAGTTCTTTCAGTTGTTCTATTTACAGCGCGAGCTTCCTAGCTTCGATAACGGCTCCGCGTCTCGTGAGCTTCGATCGTGCACGCGCAGCCAAAGAACAATGGGAGGCAACGAGCGCGTGCACGGCCGAACATCAAAAAGAGACGCCCCACCGTTCTTATCCTGCCGGTGTCTACAGTAATACAAAGTGTGGAGGGTACCACCAAGAAAGTACGGAGGGGGAATCCGCTCAGATATAACAATATATTATAAGGGGACGAGCAAGAGAATGGTACACGGTTTTCGGACCGCAAGAATAAACTATGCATCGCAGAAAGCTGACACTTTACGAGAGGGTGACGTACGCTAGCGGTGATGACAAAATGCGAAAGCTTGAGAACATGACATTAGCTGGATCAAAAGATACATTAGAAAAACAAAATTTATTTATGAGCCAATGTCCACCTAAGCCTAATATTTATCGAGTCAAATAATTACATTGTGGGTGCCTGTAGCATTAATTGCACTGGAAAATGAAAACTTGTTAACGAGAAAGACAATGATTGTTTTCTTTCTTTCGGGCAGGATTTTTTTTTAATGAAAATACATGCTATAAGCACTTAAGAATGTCATTTTTTTTCGTTTGATGTATATTAGGCTTAGTTAGAGCTTGGCTCAAAGGAATCTTGTCTTGCTCTCGCATCTTTCAATCCAGGTAACGGTATAAGTTCCTAAACCTCTGTATTTGGTCACCACCGCTAACGTCACATTTTCACGGAGTTCCAGTTTCTCGCGATGCGTAGTTTACTTTTGCGGGCCGAAAAAAAAAACTGTTTGATTTGCTCAATCGACCAGTGTATACACTCTGAACAAAAACAGCGCAAAGGACAAGGACAAGAGAAAGAGCATTCACGACAGGACAAGCGCCTGTCCCGTCATGAATGTTCTTTTTGTCCTTGTTCCTTGCGCTGTTTTTGTTCACCATGTATGACGACTACCAACCAGCTCAGCTTTCAACTTTATTACGATCCATGTATACATACTGTGCAATCATTACTCGGTGGAATGCTTGCACACATTTCATGGCGTCCTGAGCACACCATCAGGACGCCATGAAAGTTGGCAGTCTCATGTGGCTGGTCAAACTGCACTTTTACAGATAAGACATAACATGCCGTGCCATAGACAACCTTTTGCCACAAAAGCAGTCCACTATATTAATTTCGAAGTATTAAAATATTTATTTATTTATCGACACGTACAGCGATTTTTCTTTTTCCTTAATCGCGGACATTCCGAGGTCCTACACCAGTTATGACAGCTGCTTCCAATGCATAAACAAATATCCAATCTAAACAAGACACAACTTTTAAAGAGAATTTGTGCTACATTGTGAAGGTTATCGTATAAACCATTCCCATATTTCAGACATGGGTAAATTACTAATTTAATTACAATAAAAATTATTCTGCTCCAAAAGTAGCTTAACTACAATTACATTATTACTATGTGAAAATAATGGATTACAATAACAAATTACTTTTTAAAAAGTAATGCAATGCCTTTAACAATTACTTATTTCTGATAGCGACCCAACTTAAGCCATACAACTTTAAACAAGCATCGCTGTAAAAATGTCACGTATTGTACTTTCCTTTTATGAATTTTGTGAAATGAATGATAGAACTTGAAAGTTCGGAGTGATGAAGTCCCGCATTCTTATATTTTCAATAAATAATAATATTTGGCTCATGTACTAAAAGACGCCGTATCACTAACGTAAAATTGGGTTGACACGCTTTTGTTAGTCAGGCAAATAAGAATGCGAGAATTAGTTATATCTTATTATTTTAAGTGTTAGCATAGAACTACAATCCACACGCGCTAATACGACCGCATTCACCTACAAACGTTTCATGTTGTTGTAAATTATTTACATTGTGTTGAAATCATAATGGCTCTGAAATATATAAGAACTGAATCGGGGCAATCGATGGTGACAACTTATTCATAGCTGCGAGGTGGGTATCCAAAGTGTTTATGCAAATAACATTCGAAGTAAAAACAACAGGAAACAACAAACTTGAAAATAATACAAAGAAACAAATTCGCGACCGTACTGGAAGAGCGACGTAAAAACTGGCAAAGAAAGAAAAATAAGCTTAGGCAATAAAAATCCCCAACCTTGGCTGAAAGCTGAAGCTCTTATTCTTTTACAGCGGAGCTGTTAAGGGCTAGGTTCCCCAGGATCGCGTCCGGTGTGTCGACACAAACCTACCTGGACAGCTACCGCCATCTATAAGCGACGGCGGCAAGCACACAACCAGTATGGTTTCCGCCGTCGCTCGTAGATGGCGCTGAACTTTCCAGCTATATATGTATATGTTACACGAGAACTTTGGAAAGCGGCCATAGTACCGGGACTGACTTTTGCCAATGCTGTTATCTGCGTACCCGGGGATGTGCGGGAGATATTGGAGCGCCGTCAGCGAGACGTCGGGAGGCAGGCCGTAGGATGCCATGGTATGGTGGCCAACGAGGCTGTCCAAGGAGACCTCGGGTGGTCATCCTTCGAAGCCAGAGAAGCGACGAGCAAGATCGGCTACAACGGGCGGCTGCGATTCATGGACCGAAATCGGTGGGCAAAGCGACTCTTCGTATACATCCACCTTACAAGTATACAGACAAGATGGAGGAAGCGGCTATACCAACTGGAAAAAAACTTTGGTTTCTTCACAGTGCCCGTGAGTGCCAATACAGACACAAAGTGGGAAACGGAGGTGCGGAAAAGAGTGCGTGAGGAGGAGGCCCTTCAGTGGGCAAAGGCGGCCAAGAGCAAGTCAACGCTACGGGTGTACAACCTCAGCAAAAGTACAATATCAGCGGAGGCTCAGTTATATGATAACAGCCTGGGCAGCCGCTTGCTTTTTGAGGCACGTGCAGGAGGGCTGAGAACACTAGTGTACCAACAGAAATATAATCGGATGGTGGAAACAACAACATGCCGGGCTTGTGGAGAAGCGGATGAAACCATCGAACACATCGTCCTCTCATGCACAAGCCTGCAACCAAGCCATCCGGTGCAGTGGTATTACGCTCCCGAAAACGGACAGACACCTGGCCAGCCCCTTCCACAAGCCCAATTGCTGGCGGAAGCACTCGGCTTCCAATCACCGGCGACGGGGTCAGCGCTGAACGCGTTTCTAGATAGAGATGCTGTTGCTATCCCTCGAAGTGAGGTTGAAACGCGCGCCGCAGCGTCCACGAAGCCGATTGGACGGAGCTGGAAAGTAATCGGAAGAACGAAAAGCAGACTGGACTGGTGGCGAAGGACAAAAGCAAATTGAACGCGAAGAAATAGTTTTTTTTTCTTGTTTAATATATATATATATATATATATTTTTTCGGCTAGGTACGAACGTTGTTCGGAACCGCCCGATACAAAGGGAACAGCTGCAAGATCATCATCATCATCATCATCATCATATAGAGTGCCTTCATACACACGCGCGCTTTTGCTTGAGTGGTGACATCTCGGCCATTTTTCCGCCCAATCGTTCTTTCTGTGCATTTTGAAGTGCGCGCAATCCGGTGTCACTCAGCACGAGCGCGTAGCTTTGGCTAATGCATAGACGCCATTTTACCGCCCAAGTCACGCACCAAGTGCGCGAGAGCGTCACGCGCTGGCACATTCAGGGCAACAATGGATGTCTTCACCCTGAGACAGACAGACATGTAGGCACCCTACAGCTATAATTAGGGAGGCTCAAGTGAGGGTGGGTGCAACTGCTAGATCGGGGATCACGGGACATGGACGCCATTTAATTGCTAAATTTTGCTGGGACTCTATGGGGCAAAGGGTCGTTTTATTTCCTAATTCAGGTCATAAGAGCCCATTAAGGTGCTTGAATAATTTACACAAGGTATAAATGATTACTTTTCCATAGCCACCAGTTTTGTTGCGATAGGTTAAGTATTTTTTTAACGCGAAAAATGGTAAATTCCGCCATCTTGGACATTGCTGCTTGTCTGGCAACCCTGCTTTTTCCTCTCGACGTGGAGCGAGGAGGAAGCGAGAGAGCCTGCGCCAAGGCGTTCGTTGCTTGCAATGGGAGCCGAGAGGAGGAAAGGCGCATGGAGCAACAGAGTTGCAACAGAGCGGGCGTCTGCTCTCGTGCAGGCAACATTGGAGCATATCCTTTCCCGAATCCTCTCCCTCAGGCGCCGCCATTAAATTGCAAACGCTCTCCAGCTTTTGAGTTGCACCCACCCTCACTAGAGCCTCCCTAGCTATAATAAAGGAATTCATCGTAGGAAACAACGCGAAAAACAGACGACGACGAAGAAGAAGCACACAGTGTATCGACGAGTACAGCTCCGCTGGTCTTCCTTCTTCACGAGAGTGGAGAGGCTGAACGTTTTTTGTTTTGTTTTTTGTCAGTATTTTTGCGTGTTTACCGTTTCAGAGTTTATATGTTTACGTTATTGTTTTCTGCTTGCACCGCAGATGGCGCCACACTGTTCCGTTGAAGGTGGGCGCCAATGAGGACTGTCTCTCGACCCGCAGTGTAAGCAGCAAAACAGCGAACAATGCGACCCTATTTCTGTTGTGTGTGTCTGTGTGTGCGAGCGTGTCACCGAGAGCTAGGCCGCTTGTGCGAGCACTGAGGCTTTCAGACTAATTCAACTATACTCCGTCTCATTAAAACCGTGCAGTACAGACAAAGCTGCAGGGCAGAGACGCATATATACGGTCGGCGCTGCAAAGTCTCGCAAAGGTAATGGTAATTCTGCCTGAAATTTTGCAACTACTGCTGCTAGAAAGTGATTAAATTAAAATTACAATTCCTTTTAACGAAAAGCAGCTAACTACAATTTCAAACTACAAAAAGTGATGAAATTACAGTAAATCAATTACTGTAATTGAATTATTACCTAGGTATGCAATATTTACAAGTCCTGACTCCTCAGGCCAGTCCGCAGATGCTCGTCGCTTCGGAAAGCGAGAAAGTCACGCGCCATACGCACGAACATTGAAAATTGGACCCGCCAGGAGCTCTTTTTTGGAAAGGTGTATGAATCTTCCACCGTGCTGCGGCCCGCACTGCTGCGAGAGTAGGTGGCTTTGTCTGGCGTCGCACTCGCTCGCGTGGCTAGTTTTGTGAGAGTTGGAGCGTTGCCGAAGGTATACGCTGGCCTTGACAACGTGGCACAAAAGAGTTGACGCCCAATATTCGCGAATCCAGCCAAGAGGAATCGAAGAGGTACAATAGGTTAAACCCAGGAATTCTTCCGAGTGCATTCTCTAATATACACACACCTGAACAGCTCGTTCTCGGAGAAATGATAATGATCGGTCACGTCATGGTACTGTCAGCGTGCACGACTTCGCCGGCTCCTCAATCTCCCGGTTATATATGTTAGAGCCCTCGTGTATAACTAAGTAAAGTAATAACGCGTTGATGTCATCAAAGGTCAAAGCTCATGACTTCTGTACGCTTGGCCCTATCGAGGCCGATGACGTTGAGGCCAAGTCCAGCATTGCCTACAAGACAATTCCGTAGTGCAGACATGTTTGCGTCACCAACAAAGGCCAACGCTGGATGCAGATTGGAAACGAGTGCTGCGTCAGCGCACGGCTTCAAAAGTTTGAGCTGAACGAGCGAGCGCTGCGGCTTTCTATGACTGATATTGAAGAGCTCGCCAGAATCGAACATATAGAACTAAAAATACTGCCATCCTTTTGAAATACAAGCGTGCGATTGTCATTGGCAGATAGAGTTGATCATGTTTAACCTATGTCTGAAGGTAAGAGGGATATTTTAAGTTTCGATTCAGCATCCCTTTATTGCTGATCAAAATCCCTTCGATAAGTGCTGGTATTTCCCCTTCGGTATGCACATGCTGAAGAGTGAAATACCAGTCAGGATTATGCAGAAGATGCTACTTATGAACAAAACGTATGTGCGCAAACAAGCAGATGATTACATAATACCACCAAAAAAAAAGGTTTTGAAATTTTGTGTTCGTGCTGTTTTCTATTTTACCCTAGTCTCAGGTTTTTTTTCGTAATTATGCTACTTATACTGAAATTGTACTCACCCAGACCTTTGAGGTAGAGGCCAGTTCCAGCGCTTGGCGGCCTTGGTGCTCCAGTCCACCTTTTCAGGATAGTGAGGATGGAGAGCCCTTCATTAGTAATCCCCCTTGTGAAATCAGTCATTGCGATAAAATGTACGAAATTTTATTTTTTTGCGAAGTTAAAAATTTTTTTGAAAATTTGTTCGATAGGTTGAGAGGCTCCACATGCTCCACTAAAACCCTGTCGATATCCTTCAAGGCCCGATGAGAATTACAGAAACACACTGGCTTGGAAGGGAGAAAAAGGAAATCAGGTTCTTGTTGTTTTTAGGCTAGTTGGCGTAAGTTACCGCCTGGTATAAAGGGTACAGCCAATATTCTCCATCTATCCATCCATGTTGTAATAGAGAAGGGGGGGGGGGGGCAGTGCAGAATGTTCTTTACGGGTTGCAAAACGTTTACTGGTGTGAAACAATTGCTGAAAAAGCTCACGTCACAAAAAAAAATATTAAAACAACGTGCAACAGTAGTTTTTAGACTGCCTGCCTGACCTACAACTCATTCAAGTGAAAACCGAGGAAAAATTTGAGCGGTGGTTTTGGTTTCGGCATCATCTTTATTTGCCCTTTTCTCGATAGCTATTAATAAATAGGATACCGGGAAGATAAGCACTGGGTGTTTTGAACATATGTTTAGTTTGGGTAGCTGAAAACTCCAGCTGAGCAAGGTAACCCGCCGTTCCGTGAAAGAAAATTATATACCGCGCGAGTCAAATGGATTGTTGACTTTTGAAGGCACTGGATAAATCTGCTTCTCATTGCTTCGAGCTAACATTTCGTACAGACATGACTGAAGGTGGTGCATTTTCTGTACCAAATTTTCAAAAAATGAGCTTGCCTGAGTAAAGAGTTAAAAACCAAATTAAGAGCCTAAATTCACTACATATGGCGGCCGTTTGCAAATGAAAGACGTCCCGATGACTAAAGAGCCGAGAGATGGCGACATCTGTTGACATATAGCCAAAATATCCCGACAAAAATAAAGCTTTTCTTGTTGGTTTTACGTTCATTCAGTGTGTGTTATAGCAAAAATAACAAAATAGTATGCACTAAACCGATGAAGTTCGCGCCATATTTGACTCAAACATATTGTCTGCCGTCGGAGATCAGTTTCTGCGCCTACCACCATATCTCGGCTGTTGCGTCACACGGCCGTCTTCCCCAAAATTCGCAATGTTTGCGTAGAAGTTGGGAAACACTGTCCATAAGTCGAACCTCGTTGTACAGTTTGCTCAAAGTTCGAAGGTTCACCGCATCTGTCGAACCTCCGGGTTCGACAAAGGCTCGCGACAATCCAATTTTTAAGTAAGCACGCTAAGACTGGGCTGGCAAATAATGTTTATTCGCGGAACGAAAACTTAAAACCAATCAGTCCTTGGAATTACCTGCCACGGCTTTGCCAACGTCCAGCATCACCGTTGGTGTGCTCGATACCGCTGCATAGCCAGTTGCGCTGAAAGCACCAGTGGAATTTCTCTTAGTTATATTGTCTTCGACTATAGGCCAGTATACATGCAATTCACCTTTTTCCAAATATGTGCTGCCACCTGGACGCGCGACCGGGTTCGGGATTGAGTGGCTAGAAAATAACGAGCTTGCAAGGCTTCTCCTACCCGTTGGGCACCCAAAACGCTGTTCACCCATTTAGACGCTGTCATGGGCTCCCCAAGACTTCGCTTTTGTTCCCATACTGTATTATTTTCTGCCCCGAAGTTGGTACGAAGAAGTCATCTTCACTTTCTGCTTGGCCAGAAAGTAGAGAAAGGGTACCAAATCTATTTACTCTTAAACCAAATCTTCTAATTAAAAAACGAACTTTTTTTTTTTTTTTAAGAATTGGCACAGATACAGTCAGACATACTTTCCTGGCGAGAAGGAGGTCGAAACGGAAACCTTATCGAGCTCCACACAGGATGATCAATGGCTAAGTGTGTTATGTCGCACCACAGCTCGGGCTGCCGAAAACCTAAGATTCTGGGCTCAAACCCCAACCATGCCCGTTTCGATCTGGTTAAGCATTGTACCGGCGTGCGGTCGTGTAATCACTATACAGGGTGAGCATTAAAGACTGCACTGGTCTTTAAAAACATTAGCACTGGTACCGGACTGGCTAAACTTTCCATCTACAGCGGAGACAGCAGACACCCACCGGGGCTGACTAACTTCCCGATGTCTGAACATACACAAAATTAAGCTTCTACTCAAGGGTAGAGGTATCTGCGTTGATCTTGTGGGGACATTGTATTGCTCCGCCTGCGATTCTTGGGTGAGCACGCCACATTTAGCGAGGGGTGTAGTAGCGCACTAACAATGTTCACTGAACTGTTGACATCAGGAATATGTGTTTTTCCTCGATATCTGTCAGAACAGGAAATCCGCTTACGAAATCAGTGCCTTGTTGGAAGTAAACCGAAACTATCTTCGAAAGCATATTTCAGTGGTCGATTTTCCCATCACTGAAAAGAACTAGGGCGAGTGCAAGAAGAGAAGTACTAGTTGCCTAAAAACGCACGGACAGCAACTGGCCAGATGCTCGGCTGTCATTCCAGAAGGCCGGGATGTTGTCCAATGGAGAAAGAGCTATACTCCCGAATATTGCACCGGCTGCATGCAACCGTTGAAATATACATTTCGAGAAAAAACCTCAGCTTGACGGGCTGAGGCGTCAATCGATAACATCAACAGTAGAACCACTATATATCCGTAAAATAGTTTTACAAAGCAAATAGTGCCCTATTCAGCTTTGCAAGATTGTTGCAGCTTTCGTATAGTGTATTCGTATTTATACGGTATGTATGTATAGCATAATAAAATGTTAATCAATGTACAGCCAGTTTGTATGTTTATCTTTGCGAAAATCACTATTTTTATCACAAGGGAAGCACAACCTGCATTTAGTAAGTTTGTTGTGCCGGCACAGTCACTTTAGATACTTATATGATATAGTGCAATTATTAGCATACTGACCGTGCTACATTAAGCATAAAGGAGGATTCGAGGCATACTTCTGTTAAAATTGAAGTACATCAATGGTAGGCCCTTTCTTTTCTTTTTTTAACAGGAACAGCTAAACAGTCCGTCATGAGATTTCCAAGTGACTGCCCAAGTGAAAAATGTAATATGCATAAGAAATTTTTGTCCAATAAACGCATATGATCAAACAAGAACATACAAGAACCTTATAAGAACATAGAACATTATAAGATTATACTATTGGTTATAAGAAACTTCTTATCAGTTTCTCATAACATCTTAGGTACTTGTATGCTCCTTATGTGGTCTTATTTAATCATATGCGTTGATTGAACAAAGAAATGTCTGATACACATACTGTAAAATCCCGAGAGATGCCCCCATCTCCGAAAGATACACCATTCAATTTTTGGCACGATTTCCTTCTTTCTTAAAAATACCGAAAGATAGCCCACTTATAACAGTTGTGGGGCCCTGGAGGTGACCTCGGCAGGAATGGTGTTGCTTAGCCACAGTGGGAGATAAGCGAACATTGCTGACTGGAAAGGACAGTCGTCTTTAGTTCATCGCCTCTCCCTGCGATTACAAGTTTCGCAGGTCACATATCTAAAACTAGCATTTTTTTTTTTTTTTACTTTTTTCAGATCGCACTTCGAAAGTTATCCCGGTCCTTAGTTTCACCCGATTTGCTTTCGATTTTAGGTGGGCCATCTCCCGGGATGTTACGGTAAGATATTTTACTATTCGCAACTCCAACGCCCTATAGGTGGCGGGGCGGTAGTTCCAAGATGGCGGAAGAGACGGGGATAGATTCTCCCGGATATCCCGTGCGCCTGCTCGCGCTGACGCTGTTCAGCGCGCTTAAAATGCTTTATTTGTCCACAAATGCGAAGCGGTTAGGGAGGGATCATATTACAGGTGACGGAGATGCTAATGTACGTTAGGAAAATGAGCATGTTATTATTTAAAAGTTGCAGAAACCTCAAATTGCGAAGCTTTGTGGTGAGCGAGCGTGTTTTAGGCACCGGCCACGTTACTGTTTGTGGCAGAATATTTTTGAGGGTGATGAAGATATGTTTGCGCTTTGCCTGGCCATTAGTGCTCTAAAAGGAGAGCCGCGAACGGTGACCGTCAAGCTTTGGAAGAGCAGCGTTCACTGTATTGGTGTTTTCGCGTCACAGCCTCAAAACTCGCTGCTCACCGTCTCGGTTTTAGTGTATTGGAACACGTAATCAAACTGCTCTATGGTTATTAATAGAAAGTTTGTTACCGCAGGGCTATAGCCTGTGGTAACAAAATGGTACACCGCACGGTATACCGTGCGGTGTACCATTACAACGGCAGCTCGCGCTGCGCCTTTGAAACACTATTTTCAGTGCGCTCCAGGAGCGTTGCCGTGCTCATCGCTCTAAAAGAAAAAAATGTTGTAGTTTTTACACCCCTTGTCACATATTCGGCACTTCAAAACTTCAGGTCGCCGTGCAGCCCACTGACGTCAAACTGACGGCCCCAACTTTTACGGGAGGCTTGACGACGGCGCAATATAAGATATTAAACAGCTAAAGTACGCATCAAAGAGTACAGAAACAACAACAACAACAACAAAAAGGAATACCGAGGTTCTGCAGCAGGGCAAAAAGAAAACTATCTTTTTTTTTTTTTTTGCGGTCATTTACACTTATTTAAGCTATTTTAATAAGTTGCACAACTCGGCTATCAAGCCGCTCGTGAAAGCTGGTATAGTCAGTTACAGGTCAAGAAGGTAGCGGCAAATGCCCCTCAAAGGGAATCGGATATCCCTCCGCCACCTCCGCATCCAATAGCGTCCCACCGTTTCCGTGACGTCGCGGCCAACGCGCGAGGAGGGTCTTGCCTTTCTGTACATATTTGCTTTATTGTTCGACTTTGACTTAGCATTGTGGAAGCCACGAGAGGGAGATTAGAGTTCTCCCCCATCGACGGAAACAAATGCGACTTTCGGGGACTAGCTTCCCCCCCCCCCCCCCCCCCCCCCCCTCGATGGATACAAAGGCTGCTTTCAGGGGCTCTACGATGAATACAAAGGTCGCTTTCTTAAAAAGTGGGATCGGAGACAAGTTGGAATCTATTGAAGCGGAACAAGGAGCGTTTCCAGTGAACTCTTCTTTCGACTGCGGAGAGATTTGAAACGGGCGCATCACACTTGTGGGAGGAGCTTCTCCTACCTTCTTGACTTGTAACCGACTATTAGCCCCGAGAGCGAGCACAAGCGTCGCTGCGGTCGCCGCGCCCGGATTGGGTGAGGTGTACCGTGACGTCAGGGGGAGTACTCCGCTCCGCGATCTCGCATCGGCTCGCCTCCCAGCACCAATTTTCTGGTTTGGCGTCAGGGTGTCGAACCGGAACCGAACCGAACCGAAAACCGGAACAGAACCGTTATTTTTAGCCGAACCGGAACTGAACCGAACCGAAATCTTCGCCGCCATCTTGGAACTGAACCGGAACTGAACCGGAAAAAAATATAACGGTAACCGGTTCAAAACGGTTCACGGTATTTTTTTTTTAGTATTACAAATTTATTATTATTGGTACGTGTATTCCTCTACGTATTGATCAAATCGTCATATACAGAATTGCAATGTATAATAAATCCTGTTTTTTTGCGGCGCTTTCTTATTGGCACTATGATTAGCCATGTGTCACAATGTCACGTGACGTCATGATGTCAAGACATGCTGTCAAGTAATGTCACATCACGTGACCCCGTGACGTCACGTGACTCACCGCGTTAAGTCGATTCGAATTGAGGACGTCGCTAGATCTATTAACGTTGTTGATACCGTGACGTCACATGACATCACAACTTCGCACTGAGAGTCACGTGACACCATGATGTACCCGATTGTCATGATCCCGATTCAAATGCTCTGGTTCATGACAATCAGTATCGCCAAACATTCGGGTAACGCTCGTGTTCAACTCAAAGATTATGATGGGCCCGAGTCCCACTAGAGCTAGAAACAGAAACAAACGAAAGCGACGAGCCTCAGACACATGCAGCATGTTCGCGATGGTACCTTTATACGGCTTTGAGTTGTTCGGTGCTCGCGAAGTTAGCACGAGTGTTTACAAGCCTGCAAATGGTACCATCGTGTGCATGATACTCGTGTTTGAGCATAGCCTTCTTTATTCTACAAAGCCTGTCAAATCGCAAAATACTCTGGTTTAAGGCTGTCGTTTGTTTCTGTTTGTCGCTTTAGTGGGGCTCGGGCATTATAGCCCAACTAAAATTATATCTGAATATCAGCCCATGCTCTCTGCTTTGCCAACCCTGCGTATGACTATGATAAACACTGACGGTGTATATATTAGGATCAGATCACGTGGCTGATAGTTCTAATTGTGAGTTGAGGAGGGGAAAGCTGTTTCATTTCTTTCTTTCGACTGTCTGCCATTTCGCGGAGGGGCAAACTAATGGATGCTTTTGCAAGTTATCAACGTCAAGGATTACAACTTAGCGGTATTTATTGAACTTAAGGTAAAAAAAAAAAAAGATGCTGCACGACCCATTTTACATGTATGCACACCATTGAGGCTCCCAAACATGTTTTCGTTATTGCTGAACTGCCTCAGAGAGTTGTCCCGAGAATAGAAGTGTTAAAGGGTCTAAATGTGACGTATTAGTCGGACGTTACATGGAACTATTG